GTCACACCCGCGGCTTCTGAGTGACATACACCCAGAGCGGGAGCCGGCCGTTGTGGGCAGGCCTCGAGGAGGGCAGCCGCGGCCAGGCCCGACGGTCGTCCTCACCGGCTGGTTCCCCGCCTACCTGGCCTCCGTCCACGCTCCCTGCCTCCTCCTGCTCTTGCCTTCACTCTCCCTCGGTCCCTCTGTTCTCCCTTCGTCCACTCTCTCTTCGTCCATATTCTCTCTGTTCCTCCGTCCACTTTCTCTCTGCCCTTCTCTTCTCTCTTAGTCCGTACACTCTTCCACTGTTCATTCCTACTGTCCGTCGGTCCGCTTCTCCACCGTCCAGTCTCCTTGTGTCCTTCCGTCCACTCTCTCTCTGTCCGTTCTCCCTCTGACCCTCCACTCTGTTCCTCCACTTCCCCCTGACCCTCCGCTGTCCCTCCGTCCGTCCACTCTTCCTCTGTCCACTCACCTGTCCTTCCATCCCTACCCTCTCCCTCCGTCCGTCCACCTTCCCTATGTCCGCTCTTCCTCCGATCTCTCTCCCTTGGTCTTTCGTCCACCCTCCCACCGTCCTCTGTCCCGGGCGGGCCTACCCGCCCATCGTGCCCATGTGGCTACTTCTGTTCTGCGTTTCCCTCCAGAGCGGCGCGTGGGCGGCGGGCGCCAGAGTCCTAGCGCTGGACTTCCTCTCTCTTCTGCTCGTAGCAGAACTGGGTGTGGGGGCTCTTGTTGGTCGTCTGGCCGGCAGCCGCTGCCTGGAGGGTGAGAAGTATTCCCTGCAACTCCTGCCCGGTGAGTGTTGGACTTGAGTTCGTTCCCTTTGTCTCTTGCCTTTACTTGCTTTGAGGACACCACCAAGTGTACTGCGGTGGCTGCCTTCCTCTCCTGGTGCAGACCGGCTTCCTCCTAGATGGGTAGTCTGTGTCCCGGTGAACAGTGTTCAGGGCGGCAGGGTGGGCCCCAGGCAGGAAGCCAACTCTCTTCCCTGGCTGCTCTGCTGGCTCAGTCAGGTAGGACTAGGAAAAGTGCCAGAGGATTTTTCTAAAGCTTCTTTCCCCAAAATAGGGTGACCAGGGAAAAGAATCCTCTGAGAACTTCCGGTGTGTTTTCTCTCCTGCTGGCCTTTGTGTCTGATGCACCAGACCACAGGACTGAGCTAACCATTCTTTTAAATGAGCCATAGAAAAAATTGCCTGGGCACAAAATTAATGTTTTATGAACTTCTTGCATCCAGCTACACTTTATTTTTTTAAAGTTAATGTTTTATAGTTAGGATGAAATTTAAAATAAAATGTCATTTGTAATCATTTTAGGAAGAGCGCAGGTTCTATCTTGGAAGGAAACCAGGAAGTTTCCCTTCACTTGCCATTGGAACCCACTCCCAGGCTAAGAAAGTCTTGTCTTTCCAAGGACCATAAAAGTAGTTGGAATTAACTTTTAAGTAACTGAGTGGAATTCAGATGAACATTGGAACTTTCCCAAGTTGGTCCCTCCTCCTTGGTCTTTGATGAAGTATTTCAATGCAAACCCGATTGTGTGGTAATGAATTATTAATGCTGACTCACCTTAAAAACCCAACACTCACATGTGAGTGGCTGTAGGTTTAGCCATGATGGTGATAGATCAGGTCAGTTGAGGCCCACACTATCCCTGGCTGACTCAAGCCTACTGCACGGATTCCAGGGATCTTTGTTTCTGCTGGAGCACTGAGGTGTGAGAATGAATAACTGCTTGAGTACAAGCTATCCATGTGATGTGGGCGGGGGCGGGGCCATCTCCTTACCTCAGGTTGCTCTAGGGGAGCAGTCACTGTTATTCCTGCCTTGCTCCCTACTGGCCTCTGCTGTCCTTTGCCACTGTGTCAGAGCTCCTGAGTCTGACTGACCCTTGTCTTTCAACTAGTGTTTGCACTAGAGGAGGCCTGAGGGCAGGACTGTAGATTGACTGAGGGATGAGGCCTGCTGGCCTTGGCTGTTGGTGGATACCAGTTAGAGGTATTTCAGGCATTTAACTCGATGTGGAAAGACCTTCTGGCTATGTGGAAAGACCTTCTGGCTATGTGGAAATAGTACTTTATACAGAACTTAGCAGGGAGCCAGACTGAGAGGTGTTTTTGGTATTATCTTGCATTTGGAAGGGTTAGGCAATCTCAGGCAGAGTCATAGGAGTGGCCACAGGTGCCCAGACCTGTCCAGGAGGGACCCTGTCTGGATATCCTTAGGGCTGGTCAGAACTAGGCTTCATGCTAACTTGGTCCTTTGGAACCAAACGTATGAATAGGGTGCTCCTCATTGGCCACCTTCTGGGCCCAGAATTATCCCCTTTTTTCTGGAACACAGGTTCTGGGTGAAAGCATTTGTGGTCACAGTATTGTAAAAACTGCTCATGAACTTTATTCTTATTGTGTGATAATTGTCAGTTTTTTTTTTTTTTTTGAGGGGGGAACACAAAATTAACACTTTCTTAGGATTTGGGACATTTGAAACTGATGATTTAAAGATGACATGTATATGGTCATAGAACATGATCCAGAGTATCTAGTGAGATACAGGAGATGCAGAATCTGAAGTGGTTTTCAGTTTTAAATTAATGTACCCTTTTCCCACTCCATCAACTGATTTATTTACTTTTCTTTGTAATCAAATTATGCCACGTAATAAGGTGACATGAACAGATAACCGTGCAGTTCAGTGAATAGTGACAAATGCACATCCGATGCAACTGAGGCACCCATGCAGATGGAGTGTCTCCTTCATCCTAGACTCCCCTCTTGCCCCTGGGTAGCAGCTCCACCTGCTTGCAGCATCATCTGCCATCTTGTTCTCTCACAACTTAGGTTCTAGATCATCAGGTAAGCAGATCACTGCTTATTTCAGTGCAGAGCTTTGAGATCTGTGTTGAGCATGAACCATCAAAATTTTTGTTGCTGTGTTGTATTCCATTGTGAGAATACACCACACACCACAGTTTATCAACTCAAGAAGGTTCTTGGCTAGGGGAGTGACTCAAGTGGTAGAGCACCTGCTTTTTGTGAGTTCAAACCCCAGTACTGCCAAAAAAAAAAAAATTAAAAGAATGTTCTCATCTGAGGGTGGTGAAACAAAGATAAGGATAGAGTGGCCCTGGTAGAAGAGCTACTCTACACAAGGTTCCTCTTCTAAGGGAAGAGGGGAACAGGAGGAGCATTTAATTTGGAGAATTTAAAACAGAAGGAGAAGTCTGCCAACAAATGTACAACAATTAATGTAGGAGAAAATTGGTTGGGGGTTCAGTCTTCCTAGAAAGCAGTTTGCTATGTTCATCCTACCTTTCACAGGTAAGGAAACTGAGTGCCAGAAATACTATAGCACCCAAAGTGAGAAACCATTATTGTCTGTGACTAGACACTGTGTGAAGGGAGAGAGAGCACTGGCTAAACACAGCTGGGTAAGCTTGTTCATGCAGTAGGCACACAGCTGGCAGAAATTTTGGTGTGCCTTTTGCATCACATAGAATGTGATAATGAGCGGAAGAAGCAGAACTTGCATTGGACTATGCGGAGAGGAAAGTACTTAGGGAAAAGGGTGGGAAAGAAGGAACTAAGGAACAGGATGACTTGTTTTCTCTGAGTGGTTAGAATTGTGGGACATTTTGTTTTGTACTTTTTGATTTTCTTCCAGATTGTCTAGTGGCTGCCAGGAAGAACAGGCAGAGGCTGTGTACACAGAGCTTCTGTAGCAAGGGGTCAGCTCCATTACTGTGTTTAGTGGAGACTGGGGGAGAGCTTTATAGTGGGGCAAGGGAAAGCCCAGGATGCCCTAGCTGGAGGCTGCTGGTGGAGGATGAAATGGCCGACTAGGTATGGGCTTCCTGTGTGACTGATGGGGGTACACATTTGCTTCTCTCTGGTTGGTCCTAGGTTAGAAGCAGAGACACAAACTAGAGATGCTGTCAGATTTTACATTCTGGCCATGGGGACCATCATTAGGAAGTTACCATTTAGATTCCTGGGATGTTCCTAGAGAGCCTGCTCCTTCCTAGCTGTTCATGTAGCTCAGCAGTTGACTTCTCAGGCTGGTCACTGCAGATGTGAGTCAGAATTCTGTTCATTTATAGATTCAGTTTCTTTTAACAGCAAATACAATAAAGATGCTTCTGGGCTCTTTTTTCTGCAGTGATATGTTCCTAGAGCTGCCCTCAGGGCTGCTGACCATTCTGGCTGTGCAAAATGCACAGCCTCTTCCAAGCCTCAAAGAAGCCTCTTAGAACTCACATCTGGCTTTCAGAATGGGTTGTGAGGGTCTTCATTGGGTTTATCCATCAAAAGACTGGTGACCCAGGATTTATAAGGATCCTTCCGGGAGAGGAAAATAGGGGCACCAAGTGCTTAGTGGTCGCATTTTTTTTATTTTTTGAGAAAGGGCATTACTATCTAGCCCAGACTGGCCTCAAACTCAGTGATCTTGCCTCACCTGCCCAAGTGCTAGGATTACACACTTGTGCCACTCTGCTAGCTAGCTTCAGGTAACTTCTTGAACTGTCTCCCAAGAATAAGGTGTGGGTTTCTGGTCCACTCGTTCTTAGTCCTTTGTGAGTTGTCCCTACCCACCCCTGTTTGACCATAGTGACTGCCCCAGGACTAACCTGCTTTGCAAGTGGGTCCTCTGCCAAATTTCCGGAGTCAGGGGGAGTAGCCAAGAGTTCTGTCTGTAAATGAGGGCTTAATCCATGTCATTTGAGTGGATTTGGTTTGAATCCTACATTAAATCATGCAGAGTTTAGAGTTTTAGATATGGTTGAAAAGAGATGCCCACAAGCAAAGATTTGCCACACAGGAACATTTGGGTTTTTTTTTTTTTCTTGCCCAGCACAGGGTGTCTTGTTATAATTTGACATAATGTATTAATTCTAAAAACACTTTATTCATGTGATTGGGTTAAAAAAAGAACTCTTTAAAAGTTAAATTCATACTAAGACAGCTTGAATTTCTTTCATTAAAAAGTTGATGGTAAGCAGGTGTGTACATAGCTCAAGTGGCTTGTGGACAATAACACCTGCATGCTATGCTAGGGAGATAGTCTTGTAGGGAAAATAAGCTGTAGTCACTGAGTCTCTCTTTTAACTTTTTATTTTGTTAGACCCACAGGAAGAAATGTTGGTAGACCCTGTGTGCCTGTCCCCCCTCCACAAGGGCAGCATCTACATGGCTGGTGCAGGGGCACAGGGTGAGTGGAGAAAGGGGCTCTGTGCAGTCCAGCACACTTGTCCAGATGTACGTTCCCTTACCCCAGAGATCTTCCATGCTCACCCCTAATGGGCCACTAGACCCTTGTCTTGCCATCTCACAAGTATTAAGAGAATGGGGTCATATGGTGTGTGACTACTTGGAACTGGCTTTTCTCCAGTGCATAGTTCCCAGAGGAGCCTTCCACACTGCCCTGTGTGTTACTAGTTCCTTTCTGCACAGAGTAGGACTTGATTTGGTGTGGATAAATGAGTTTCTTTAACCATTCCCCAGCTAGAAGGGATTGTTTCCCATTTGGGGCTGTTATAGAGTGCTATGAACATTCTTACACATTTCACATTGTTTGGTTCCAGCTAAAATGACAGAGGTAACTCCATTTCAAACTTAGGCTCCATCTTAGAACTAACCTAAGCCTGACCCCGAGTTACTGAAAAAACCACAGATTTCCTCTGGAATGCACCATCCTGGTCCTGAGCCAATCAGAAACGAACAAGACAGTCCCTTTGTTCAAGATGACTAAAACAGCCCCAAATAAGGAATAGGCCTGGCTGAGCTCCTAACTGCCCCAAATAAGGAATAAGCTTGGCTGCATTCCTCACGGCTTGGACGCAGCTAGGGCCAGCCAATCCCAATATGCCAAGACTATCTTACCCGAAAACACCCAATCATGTAACTGCCAAGATGGAAAGTGCCGTCCCTTGCTCACCCCTCAATAAAAGCCCTGCCTAACTGAAGTTCGAGGCTGTCTGCACAGATCCGCTGCGTCGGTGAGGTTGGAGAGCCCGAGCTTAAGCCCAAATAAAAGCTCTTTGTTTTTACATACGACTTCGGACTCCTGAGTGGTCTTGGGTGTCTCGCGATCTGGGTCCAACATTTAGGGGTTCGTCTGGGATCCCCAAGACCCCCCAGGATCCCCATTTTGTGGAGCCTGAGGCTGGCTGGTCAGTGTTCTATTTCTGTGAATTGTCTGTTCTTGGTGTTGTGCCCTATTGAAATAGCCTGTAGGTGGTCTAGGTGGCCACACTGGAAGACCCCAGGCTGTGGGACTCGGGAGACGTCCCAAGCCCACTGGACAGGGATTGGATCCCTTTGGTTAAGTTGAAGGGACGGAGCGTGTCGTGCCCACGGAGTGGTGAGAGGCCGTCGTCCCACTTTTGTTTCTATCTTAAAGGCGCCAGGAAGTACTATTGTCTCTGTGTGCGTGGTCTTAGTGTTCATTGTTGTGTGTGTGACTTATACAACTTTAAAGATGGGACAAAACGCAGGTGACGCCTCTCGGTTTGTTTCTGAACCATTTTCCAGACGTCAGAGCCCAGCAAGAGAGCAGGGGCTAGAAATTAAAAAGGGCAGACTATTTTTTGCAGGAATGAATGGCTGACATTCAGCGTCATATGGCCACCGGAGGGCACTTTAGACCTCCCCACCATTTACAGGGCCAAAGATGTGATCTTTGATAAGCCGGGGCATCCGGACCAGGTCCCTTACATCGTGACCTGGCAGATCTTGGTGGAAGACCCCCCTGACTGGCTTAAGCTTCTCTTGCTGCCACGGTCACCAAAACCAGCCATCCTAACTTTGCAGGAAGACGAGCAATGGAAAAATGAAACTAAGCCCTCCGCCCCACTCTACCCTGTTTTACAGGGCGGCACTGAAGAGTACCTCTTGTCCCTACTGCCACCAAGGGCGGGGACTCCTGAGCCAGAGGGCCCCGGGGAAGCCAAGGCGGGCCTGGCTCCCGGAGTCAGGAGCACCCCTCACACCAGGAGAAGGGCTCAACGGGATCAGCCGAAGCCCTTGGCTGATTCCACGGTTCTCCCATTGAGGGCGATAGGGCCCCGCAATGAGGCAGGAGACCAGCAAATGCAATATTGGCCCTTCGCCACTAGTGATCTCTATAATTGGAAATTACAGACACCAAAATTTTCTGAGAAACCCCAAGGTCTCATTGATCTTTTAGACTCTGTTCTATTCACCCACCAGCCCACTTGGGACGATTGTCAGCAGTTGTTGCAGATTCTGTTTACCACCGAGGAAAGAGAAAGAATCCAGACGGAGGCTCGCAAGCTGATTCCGGGGGAAGATGGCAACCCAACCACCAACCAAGCCCGAATTGACAAGGGCTTCCCCTTGACCAGACCTAATTGGGACTGTGACAAGGTGGAAGGTAAGGAGAGGCTCCGGGTCTACTGCCAGGCTCTAATGGGGGGGTCTCCGAGCGGCCGCTAGATGGCCCACTAATCTGGCCAAGGTAAGCGATGTACAGCAGGACAAGGCTGAATCACCAGCGACTTTCCTAGAACAGGTCTTCGAGGCATACTGTACTTACACTCCCATGGACCCTGAGGCCCTCGAGAATAAAAATGCGGTTATTCTAACTTTTGTAAACCAGTCGGCCCCCGACATAAGGCGTAAACTGCAGAAATTGGATAGGTTAGCTGACAGGTCCTTGCAGGAGCTCCTAGCAGTGGCTGAAAGAGTTTATAACCATTGGGAAACTCCGGAAGAGAGACAAGCCCGAGCTACCATGGAAGCAGGGGCAAAGCAGACTCGCCAATTAGTCAAGATTCTCCTAGCCTCCACCGCGGAATCGCCAGGAGACCGGACACGCCAGCTATGTCGTTTGGCAGCCGACCCAGTTAAAGAGGGCCCACAGGGGGACGCCCTAGGCTGCAGAGAAACCAGTGCACCTACTGTAAGAAGCTAGGCCACTGGGTCAAAGAATGTCCCGAAAAACTGCCGTTGTAGGACGATGGCCGAGGCCGAACTCAAGTCCTAGAATTGTAGGAACTAGATGACTAGTGGGGACGGGGTTTGGACTTCCTCCCCGAACCTAGGGTAACTCTTAAAGTGGAGGGACACCCGTAAACTTCCATGTGGGAACAGGCGCATAACACTGGGTCCTGACGTGGCCACTAGGAAAACTATCACAGAAAAAGTCTTGGGTACAGGGAGCAACTGGTATGAACCAATATCCACGGACTACCTGAAGGATGGTGGAACTGGGCATGGGCCGGGTATCCTGCTCATTTATGGTCATACCAGAATGTCCCTACCCACTCCTGGGAAGAGACTTGCTTACTAAAATAGGAGCCCACATTCACTTTGACCCGGAAAGGACTCAAGTGACCGATCAAGAGGGGCGACCCGTTCATGTGCTGACCCTCTACTTGGAGGATGAATACAGATTACATCAAGGATCTACTCCCTCGTGGGGGGCAGAAATGTCCGACTTGTTGCAGAGGTACCCAGCTGTGTGGCCTGAGACTGGAGGCATGGGGCTTACAGCTCATCGCGCTTCCGTGTGGGTTGAATTGAAACCTGGAGTTTCATCGGCTAGGGTCAAACAGTACCCGATGCCCCTTGAGGCCTGAAAGAGGATCACCCCTCATATCTGACGCCTCCGGGAGCAAGGCGTTCTAGTGCCTTTCCGTTCCACGTGGAACACCCCCTTACTACCAGTAAAAAAGCCCAACTCCAATGATTACCGACCGGTTCAAGACTTGAGGAAAGTCAACAAACAGGTCATGGACATACACCCCACAGTGCCTAACCCTTATACGCTCTTGAGCTCTTTGCCCCCCTCCAGAGCTTGGTACACAGTCTTAGACCTGAAAGATGCTTTCTTCAGCTTCCCCTTAGTGGGACTGAGCCAGCTTGTTCTTTGCTTTTGAGTGGCAGGACCAAGAAGAGGGATTCAATGGTCAACTCACCTGGACCAGGCTGCCCCAGGGGTTCAAGAACTCCCCTGCCATCTTTGATGAGGCCCTCCATGAAGATCTGAGTGAATATCGGGTGGGACACCCCCAGCTCACTCTCCTACAATATGTTGATGATGTCCTGATAGCGGCAGCTAACCTCTCAGAATGTCAACAGGGGACAGAGGACTTGTAGACCACCCTGGGAGACCTTGGCTATCGGTCTCTGCAAAAAAAGCCCAGATATGTAAAAAGGAAGTAATCTACTTGGGCTACATTCTCAAAGATGGACAGAGATGGCTTACAGAGGCTAGAAAAGAGACTGTGCTCAAAATACCCACTCCTACTACTAGAAAGGCAGTCCAAGAATTCCTGGGGTCAGCTGGCTTCTGCCGCCTCTGGGTACCCAACCTTGTGGAGCTGGCTTGACCTCTATACGAAACCACTAGAGAAAATGAGCCTTTCATGTGGGCCAAAGACCAGGAGGAAGCCTTTGTCAAAATAAAGTGGGCCCTGCTATCAGCCCCCGCTCTGGGACTTCCTGATATCACCAAGCCATTCCATCTTTTTGTGGACAAAAGAAAAGGCATAGCTAAGGGAGTACTAACTCAGTCTTTAGGGCCCTGGATAGACCAGTGGCCTACCTCTCAAAGAAACTGGATCCCGTGGCCACTGGGTGGCCACCTTGCCTGCAAATCATTGCAGCAACTGCCCTGTTAGTCAAGGATGCAGATAAATTGACCTTGGGACAGGAATTATTTGTCACCACCCCTCATGCTATTGAAGGAGTCCCAAAGCAGCCGCCCGACAGATGAGCAATGCCCGAATGACTCATTACCAAAACTTGCTCCTCAATCCTCCGTGGGTCCGCTTCCTCCCGAGTGCGGCCCTCAATCCATCCACCCTGCTGCCTGACCCAGACCTGGAAGCTCCCTTACATGACTGCGCGGGGATCCTGAGCCAAGTCCATGGGCTCAGGAAAGACTTGATGATGAGGCACTCCCAGATGCTGAGACTACCTGGTTCACAGACGGCAGCAGCTTCATACGAGATGGGCGAAGGTACGTGGGGGCGGCAGTGGTGACAGAGTCCAAGATAATTTGGGCAGCCGCTCTCACTGCGGGGACATCTGCCCAAAAGGCAGAATTAATAGCCCTAACCAAGGCCCTAGAGCTAGGCAGGGACAAAAAGCTCAATGTGTACACTGATAGCCTCTATGCCTTCGCCACGGCACATGTTCATGGGGCCATATACCAAGAGAGAGGGTTGCTCACGGCAGAAGGAAGAACCATTAAAAATAGGAGATCTTGGATCTACTGGCTGCGTTATGGTTGCCAAAGAAATTAGCCATCATTCATTGCCCTGGGCACCAAAAGGCGGAAACGCCCATAGCCTGCGGCAATCGGAAGGCAGACCTGGCAGCCAGAGAGGCGGCCTTAAAAGCCACCGCGGTCCTGGCCACCCAGCTACCAGACCCAGGGCCGCCTCTGTTGCCGGATCAGCCCCACTATTCTCAAGAAGATTTAAGGTTGATACATAGGTTCCCTATGACCCAAAGGATTGATAACTGGTGGTTTACAGGAGACCGCAAAATAATTCTACCTAGTGATCTAGCCAAAAACCTCCTCTACCACATCTACTGGACCACCCATCTGGGGACTCGAAAAATAGAAGACCTCCTAAGAAATGCCCACCTAAAGGTGCTCAACCTCAGGCCACTCATCGACTCGATTGTTACCAAGTGCCTTAGCTGTAGGCTAACCAACGTAGAAAGCTTGCCCAAAGGACAAGGGGCTCGACTAAGAGGCTCCAAACCAGGAGCCCATTGGGAAATGGACTTCACAGAAATAAAACCTGGTAAATATGGCTATAAATATCTCCTAGTCCTGGTAGATACTTTTTTGGGATGGACTGAGGCATTCCCCACCAAACATGAGACCACACAGACGGTCATCAAAAAGCTGTTGGAAGACATTCTGGCAAGATATGGTATGCTGACACTCCTGAGCTCTGACAATGGACCGGCCTTTGCTTCCCAGGTAACTCAAGAGTTAGCCAGGGCATTGGGGGCGAAATGGGAATTACACTGTGCATATAGACTCCACAGTTCCGGACAGGTAGAAAGAATGAATAGAACTCTAAAAGAGACCCTTACCAAACTAACCATGGAGACTGGCAGGGACTGGGTGGCTCTCCTCCCCTTTGCCCTATACCAGGTGCAAAATTCACCCTATCAGTTAGGCTTAACCCCTTATGAAATCATGTTTGGGAGGCCTCCTCCCATCTTGCCCAATTTAAGAACTGAATTGATTGCTGAGTTTGGTAACCGTCAATTGCTTGATTCTCTTGAAGCAGTAGCCCATGCTCACAAGGATGTATGGCCCCATCTGAAGGCCATATACGAGACTGCTCCTCCTCCTACCCCGCACAACTATCGACCAGGAGATTGGGTCTATGTGCGCAGACACCGCCAAAAGAACCTTGAACCGCGCTGGAAAGGACCATACATACTACTCCTAACCACACCGACGGCTGTCAAAGTTGATGGGATCGCCACCCGGATTCATCACACCCACGTCTGGCTCGCGGACCCCCACACTCAACAGGAGGACTACGTTCCGCAATGGAAAATCGACAAAGACGTGGACAAGCCCCTCAAGCTGAAGCTGCGCCGTTCCTGATAATTATCCTAATGCTCACAACAACTGTATGTACAACCCATGCCAATCCTCATCAACCCCTCAACCTTACTTGGCTGGTCACAGATACCTCCACGGGAGAAATCTTGGCCTGAGCCTCAAAGATAACACCCCTCAACACCTGGTTCCCAGAATTGGGTTTTGACCTACATGCACTCTTCCCTGATATGCCTCTGGCATATTCCTTACTTTTATGTTTGTCCCGGTAGAACTAATAAGGGTTGGAAAAAACAATGTGGGGGAGCTAATGATTATTTTTGTTACTCCTGGAGTTGTGTGAGCATGGGAGACATCCACTGGGCACCCCCAGTGAAAGATGATCTCATTACTGTTACCCGAAACGGCACATCCACAAAACAGGGTAGACGGGACGGGTAAATGTTCCTCCCATACAACACCCTCTAGCTGCAACCCTGTCAACACAGTGTTTACTGACGAGGGTAAAAGAGATAAGACCTGGAACTTAGGAAAGACTTGGGGGCTACGGTACCCTAGCGGCAGGAGCCATCCAGGAGGGTTGTTTACTATTGTCTTACAAAAAGAGGTTCCCAACTCCCCGAAACCTGTAGCCATTGGCCCAAACCCTGTCCTGATTCCCCCGATGGTACCTAAACCTGCAGCTATGGTTCCCCCGACGGCACCTAAACGTGCGGCTGCAGCTTCTTCTCAAATACAACGTACCCTGGTTATGTACCCCACAGCCAAGGGCTTTCCCTTCTCCCGATACCCTGTCTGGGAATTGGTGACCAAAACCTTTAAAGTGCTTAACACCTCCCCGCCCAACCTAACCAAAGAATGTTGGCTTTGCTTAAACACTCAGCCCCCATTTTCTACAGGGATAGCCATAATAGGAAATCACTCTCAAGTCACCCTATCCCAATGCTCCTGGGGACTAAGTGGTAAACTTTCTCTGCAACAAGTGACAGGAACGGGGACTTGTGCCCGGTCTCCCAGTGTCCAGCCCCCTGCAGGGCTATGTAATCAAACGATTAATATTTCGAGTAACACTTAATATTCTGCCACCTCTGGACGGTGGGCCTGCTCCACTGGGTTGACCCCCCTGTATCCATGGAACGGTCCTAAACACAGGAAGCAGTTACTGTGTTATGGTGCAGTTGTTCCCCAAGATAACTTATTATGAAGAAACCCAAATGGAGCTAGCCTTTTCACCCATTCCTTCCCCCAGAACAAAGAGAGCCATAGGGGCATCAGCAGTCCGTTGTCCTCACTGGTTGGCTTAGGAATAGCTGGGGCAACTGGGGTCTGCACTTCAGCTTTGATTTTACAGGATAAAAATTATAGGGTTCTCCAGATAGCCATTGATTCTGATCTCAAAAATTTAGAACAGTCAATCACTAAATTAGAGGAGTCTCTAAACTTTTTAGCAGAAGTTACTATACAGAATAGGAGAGGCCTGGACCTCCTCTTCATGCAGCAAGGAGGCCTATGCGCAGCCCTAGGAGAAGAATGTTGTTTCTATGTTAACCACTCAGGTGTTATCAGGGACTCTGGCTCTGCTTAGAAAAAGGATCAAGGACAGAGAGCCTAAGGATTCAGGGTGGTATGAACAATTGTTCAATTGGTCTCCATGGCTCACCACCCTACTCTCAGCCTTGGCCGGACCTATAATACCCCTCCTATTAATGTTGACTATAGGGCCATGTGTAATCAACCAGCTAATGGCCTTTGTCAGAGAACGGATAAATACGGTCCAACTTATGGTGTTAAGATCTCAGTAACAGCCTCTATACACCATGACCCATACTCCCTCCTCAGACCCATGATTGGGCCTGAAGAATCCACTAGAAGAGGGGGAAATGTTGGGTTCCGGCTAAAATGACAGAGGTAACTCCATTTCAAACTTAGGCTCCATCTTAGAACTAACCTAAGCCTGACCCTGAGTTACTGAAAAAACCACAGATTTCCTCTGGAATGCACCATCCTGGTCCTGAGCCAATCAGAAACGAACAAGACAGTCCCTTTGTTCAAGATGACTAAAACAGCCCCAAATAAGGAATAGGCCTGGCTGAGCTCCTAACTGCCCCAAATAAGGAATAAGCTTGGCTGCATTCCTCACGGCCTGGATGCAGCTAGGGCCAGCCAATCCCAATATGCCAAGACTATCTTACCCGAAAACACCCAATCGTGTAACTGCCAAGATGGAAAGTGCCGTCCCTTGCTCACCCCTCAATAAAAGCCCTGCCTAACTGAAGTTCGAGGCTCTCTGCACAGATCCGCTGCGTCGGTAAGGTTGGAGAGCCCGATCTTAAGCCCGAATAAAGGCTCTTTGTTTTTACATACGACTTCGGACTCCTGAGTGGTCTTTGGGGGTCTCACGATCTGGGTACAACAACATGAACCTTGGCTGTCTTCTCCTTGGGGTAGATGCCAAAGAGGTCACTCAGTTATATAAAATTTAAGATGTTACCTGTGTGGAAGGTAAGATCTGTGACATTGAAAGGAAATTCAGAAGAAAGGGAGACCTTTTTGTGTCTATTCAAGGTAAGGTTATCAAAAATGAGCCCATCGAGGGGCTCCCAGACCCTGTGCAGGGACAGCATACACCACATACACCAGCTCCCCAGAGGCACTTAGCCATACTGCCCACAGGGAGCCACTGGATCGATGGGTTTTTAAAGAAATCTGAGAGTTTGCATATTTAGAAGATTCTGACTCTGTGATTCAGTGAATTCATTTAATTTCAAATGAATTATTTGAAATAAAAATATCTAGCTCTATTACAAACATGAGAAGAACGAAACAATACATTATGGCTTAACTTTGTGCTCTAAAAAGGGTAGTCCTGGCTGAATGCTTGCCATATATTACAACCTGCCAGGCTGAGGCCCAAGCACATGCCCCAACAGAGCTGTAGAATTGCTGAGTCTGGCCCCATGGGACATCAGACACAAAGCAGCCTGGCATCCATCTGCCCTCGGGAAAGTCTGAGGGATTATTGTGAGTTCTAGGCTGGGTGGTTAGGCTGCACAGCATGGGAGCGATGGACTGTGCAGTCATGGGAGTCCTGCCAGGACCCTTGTCCCTTCTGAAGATACTGCTGTGGAACCAGACAACACCAGACAGCTGGTGAGGGAGCATGCTGGGTATTCCCTCCCTATGCATATCTGGGGGTAGTGGTTTCAGTGGGCTGTCCACCATATGTGACTGTACCTCTGTTAGGAAGCATCTAAAAGGGAAAGAACCAATTGTTCTGAAAGCTGTAAGTGGCTTTGTCACCCTCAGAATCCCGCTATAAGCTGGCTTCAGAAGGTATGCAACATAATAGTTCTGGTCCTGTAACCCCTAACCCTTGGGCTGGGCTGCCATGCACACCGCGCCTTACTGCAGAGTTTTCCTCTTCCCTCACAGGCACCGACACTTAGGTTTGAGGGAGAGATTTTCAGCCTGATTGTTTAAAAATATATTTTTCCTACTTTGGAGGGCAGGCAACACTGTCTAGGTAGGCACTCTTCTGCTTAAGTCATTGCCTCTAGCCGTGTTTGCTGTGGTTATTTTGGAATTAAGCGTTTTGCTTTTTGCCTAGGCCCACCTGTACTACAGTCCTTTCTGTATTAGCTGGGATGACAGGTGTGCACTGCCACACCTAGCCTTTTCTGTTGAAGTGGAGTCTTGGGAACTTTTTTGCCTGGGCTGACCTGGAACCCCATTCCTCCTGTTTACACTTGCTGCCATAGCTGGGATGATAGACAGACACCACCATGCGTAGCTTATTTCTCCTACTTCTGCTATTTATCTGTTGATGATGAAAATTGTACAACAGCTTAGAACTTTGTCATCTGTGATGATCTGGTTGTGCCTGAGTCACAGACATACAGGGCCACCTCCCAGACTGTTTCTTTGGCACCCATGTGCTGTTGCCTCTTTTGATGGTCAGAAACTGTCCTGGGTGCTGTCAGCCAGGGTGGAGAGATGTGCTCACTGGTGTCTTCCTTGTTATCCACAGGACATGATGTTTGCACGAGGGCTGAAGAGGAAATGTGACCAGGAGGAGGTTGTGGAGGGCTTTGGCACCATCCCTTCCTACAGCCTACAGCGGCAATCACTCCTGGACATGTCCCTGGTCAAGCTCCAGCTCTGCCACATGCTAGTGGAGCCCAACCTCTGCCGCTCAGTCCTTATTGCCAACACAGTCCGTCAGATCCAGGAGGAGATGAGCCGGGATGGTGTGTGGCCTGGGGGGGCACCTCAGAGTACAGGGCGGGCACCACTTGACCGCCTGGTGTCCACGGAGATCCTGTGTCGCACAGCAAGAGGGTCTGAGGGGGAGTACCCTGGTCCTGAACAAGACAATGGCCCCTCGCCGGGTCTGGCTTCTGAACTTTCTATGGTCAGCTCAGTACAGGGTCCAAGGAACCCTCAGAGCAACCTTTGGGAGATGGACACCCCTCGAGAAAACAGGGGAAGCTTTCAGAAGTCACTGGATCAGATATTTGAGACCCTGGAGAACAAAAACTCCAGCTCCGTGGAGGAGCTTTTCTCAGACGTGGACAGTTCCTACTACGACCTGGACACAGTGCTGACTGGAATGATGAGTGGCACCAAGCCCAGCCTCTGCAATGGACTCGAGAGCTTTGCAGCAGCAGCCCCTCCTCCCACTTCAAGCTGCAAGTCTGACCTGGCTGAGCTAGACCATGTGGTAGAGATCCTGGTGGAGACCTGAGAGGAGGCCAGGAGGCCAACAACAAGGCCACGTGCCCCAGAGCGTTTATCATATGTGTACTGTGTGGTCCACAGAGACCTGCAGAGCACTTGGTCTTGTGAAGGAAGCCCTCGCCAACCACAGCCAACGACCTAGCCCTGCTTGACTTGCTGTTGATTGTGAAAACATCCTGAACAGATTGCCACTGGCAAAGGCTGCAGCGTCCAAGCCTGACCTCCTCCCAAGGAGTACAGGACAGAGGCTGTTTCACTATGAAGTCTTCTCAGCCCTGGGCTGGGTGAAGTCCCATAGCCCTGGGCCCATTTTCCCCTTTTGTATGTGGACTGCAGCAACCATGGAGGACAGCCTGAACCATGAGCTGCATTCTACCTTGTTTAAATTTAGATAGGTGAACTTTTTAAAATTAAGTTTTATATGTTTTGGGCAACATATTTGTCTTAAGATATATTTTTAAAACTTTTTCTACTTTATCTCTTTAGATCTTTTTCAGCTATTTTCTTAAAAGTATATTTTTTCTACAAATATTTTCTGCTGCTACATTAGAAACTTTTACAGCCCAAACAATTATAGTTACTGTGTTTCCTTTTTTTAAAGGTTTAATTAGGGAATTATTATTCTTTGCAATGAGCTTCACTACACTCCAGGGCAGCTTTAGCTTTACACGTGAGCCCTCCATCTTATTCTGCATTCCAGTAGAGTGCGATTATTGAGAACTGAGCACAGCTACTGCACGCCCATCACTAGAGCTCTGCAAGCTGCTTCCTAGACTTGTGTGTATAGGATGGAGGGTTTTATTTAAGCCTATTTATATGTAAGTGCACTGAAGGTGAAGGTCAGATGTCTGTAGAGATGGCGGCACCAGTTCATCTTCAGGACTGTGGAGTGTCAGGTGGTTTTATTGTACAGTCTTCTGTGGGTTGTGTTTACAAGATGCCCTCCTGTCTGGTTCCCAGTAACACCCTGTGGGGATAGAGGTGGGAGAAGAGCACTGTGCTCCATGCAGTGTGTACAGGGAGGTTTCTGGCACCAGATGTGCATTTGGAATGGATGTGTGCCTCTGGGCCCTTGGGTTGGAGAATGCCTATGGTTGCTCTATTCAATTGGTGCTGGGACATTTAAAGGTTAAATTTAAGTCTGGAATGAAGGAAATACAATTCCATGTAGCTTATGGCCCCTCAAACCTAAGGGTCATTAGTGTGCTGCCCCTGAAAGAGAGCTAGGGGGGCTCTAGTGCCCAGACTACCTATACCTCCAGGTCCCTGTTGCCAGCTCACAAGTCACACTCTTTGCCCACTTTCACCCTGACACAGGTGTTTCCTGTTTCTCTTGTGCTTTTTCTAACTTCCCACGTGAGCCTAAAATGTCTATTTTCTTTTGTGCATATGACCATTTTTAATATCAATGATATAAACCTCACTTTATTAAAAAAGTTACTCAGCAAACAAAATGGATGTTGTGAATTATCTACCATGTCACAATTTTCAAGTGCACTTCCTTTTTCCTAGTTTGCTTCAACGATATCACCTAACTGCTTTGTAGAGGTAAGTAAAGAATTTCACCTGATGTATTACACAGGCAATGGATTGCTTTTATTTTCCTGACCTCACAGGATTCAAAGCAAAACTCCCCTTTAGGTCTGAAGGCTTCAGCTCTGGGTTGGCAACAGCCAGTGAGCCAGAGCATGGGGCAGTGCCATGGCAGCAAGGTGGGGATGTGGGTGAGCGCAGCTTGTCAAGTCTTTTCTGGGCTGGTGGAGTGGATTAAGTGGTGGAGTGCCTGCCTAGCAAGTGGGAGGCCTTGAGTTCAAACACCAGTGCCACCAAACCAAACCAAAACAAAACAAAAGTCTTTTCTGAGTCCCAGGTGTCAGGTGGCCACCTCCTGTTCTTGAAAGTATTTTTTCCTCATAGAAACTAGTTTAAAGGGTGTGTTTTATAGCAATAAACCTAAAGCAGTATTTTATTTTTATGTAGCAACTCTGTCTTTCCTAGATATCATTTGTTTGGCTTCAGTAAGTTGTTATAGCATCTGTTTTTTCAGCCTTGAAGAGTGTAAGATCTTTGGAGAATGAGAAGAACATGCCAGCTTTAGAATGCTTGTTCAGGAAAGGAGACACCTGATCTTTTTAAGGATCAAAGGGACCGGAGCCATCAGCCCAGCCAGGGCTTTCTGCACTGGGGAAGCTGCATCCTGCATGTCTGCTGTAGGTGGTGCAGAACCTGTTGGGGTTTGGCAATGTGGCCTTCATCTGTTGAACATTGAACCCATGGAGCTGTGCCTTATTCCCTGCACACATCTTGCTTAATTTGTCAGACTTGTACATAGGAAGGTGCTTATTTTTGCCATAGACCAAAGTGGTTGAGCAATCATTTTTCCAGAAATTTCTTGCAAAGTTTAATCACATGTATGTAGTGTTTTTAAGTATGTAAGTACAAATTGACATTGGAAACAGATTTTCCAGGTGTTTAAATAATTTCATTTATAAAATACTTTCTTAGTAGCAAAAATAACAAATTCCAGTTACCCAAGATTTCTACATTGTTATGGGGGACTGCCTGCAGCAAACCCTGGCTTCCCCTCTACTCTTTACAATTAGATTTCGTAGACACATAAGTATGTAGGTGGGGACCTGAGACCAGGGGACACTGGCAAAAGCTGCGTCTTCCAGGTCACCCTTGTGTGCAAGCAGGGCTGTTGTACCATCAATGTAGTGACTCAGAGCAGAGGCCAGCTGTGGGCCCTTGCCAGGCTGCAGCAGGCCTGACCTCAGCATCCAGCCCTCTGAAGACCCTTGCTTGTTGCTCTCCCATGCTGTGACCTTTGGGTGCTGACTCTTGAGTCCCTTGTGCAGCAAAAGCTAGAGCCCATCCAACACCTGTGTTCCTCCACGATTTTTGAGCGTAGGTTTGAAAGGAGCCAGAGGACAGGGTCCCTTTCAGAGCAATTGGAGGACACCACTCAAAGAAACCACAGGTCATAATGTATAACACTTGACAGAGGGGCCACACTGAGCCCTGTACCTGTCCCTGGCTGGCCAGTTGCTGGAATTTTTAAGTAAACCTCAGATATTGGCACATCTTTGGCCCTAAAAGCAGGTGAAACTTGGAAAAATCAGGATTTTTTAAAAAAAAAACAACTACAATGCTATATTAATAGTTAGAAGAGTAATAATTCCTTAGTATCTTCTAGCAACCAGTTCAGCTTCCTTGCCCCACTGTCCCTTCTAAATTTTGAAAATCAGGCAAACTGGAGACTACAACAAGCTTGAACCATCAGTGTCCCCTTGAAGTGGGAAGACACCCATAACTACTGCCTGGTCAAGCGTGGAGGTCGCTGCCTCCCTGTGCTCACCACCACCAGGACACGAGGCGTAGTGTCTGCCCTGTGCTCAGCATATCTGCCGTTTTCCTTGTGGTGTGAGTTGCTGTTTACTCCTTTTTTTTTTTTTTTAATTTCTTGGCATTGATAGAAATTGTAACATTTACAATGCACATGATATTTTCAAATATGTCTAAGTAGGATAGCTAAATGGCACTGATTAACAAGTACATCACTCAATGGGTACCATCTTTGGTAGTGAGAACACTTAAAAATCTCTTAGAGATTCTCAAACGTACAATTCATTGTTATTAACTACTAATGAGTGTCACCATGCTGAACAGTAGCTCTCTTGAATTCTTTGACTGAGACTTGTACCCTTTGACTAACACCTCCATCCCCCCACCCACCACCCCCTGCTCTGGTAATCACCCTTCTCATTTGAGTTTCACTTGTTAAGATCCCACACAAGAGAGATCATGTGGTACTTGTTTTTCTGTGCCTGGCTTATTTCACTTAACATATGTCCTGCAGGTTCTTCCGTTGTCACAAATTGCAGAATTTCATCTGTTGTATCGATGAGTACTCCCTTGTGCGTCTTGGTATCCACAGGTATGATGATTACATGAGTGCCCAGGATGCAGAGTTCAGTACTGTACTTGGATGCTTGATTCATTTTCCCATAATGCTGCCTAAATTCCACTAAAGACATGCTGCTTTTTAACCAATCTCAAGTGTTCACTTTATCAGCATTCAAATTAAGCACATTAACTTTTACCTTGCTTTTTGGGAGGTGTATTTTCACAAAACTAAGGGCAGGGAACACGATTTAAATACAACTGACAATAAGATGGGACTGACAGCTCTGTATCACCTGAACTGTGAATTTAACGTTTTTGAAATTTAGTTTTTTGACCCCATGGGTAAAACCATGTGTAATAAATCTGTGACTAAGGCAGGCTTATTATGTCTTCTTTATACACTCATCAGCTGATGCCATTTCTTGTCTATTGTGAATAGTGCTGCAATGACCAGGATGCAGACGTCTCTTCAACACTGATTTCTCAGTGGTGAGACTGCTGGATCATATGGCAGTTCTATTTTTAACTCTTGAGACCCTGTTCTCTACAAGTTGTAATAATTTACATTCCCACCATTGATGTGCAGGGGGTGCGTCCTCTTCACATCCTGGCCAGCATTTTTCTTTTCATCTGTCTGGTCGATAGCCTTTCTGTGGTGGAACCTCACTGCTTCTGATTGCTCTTCTCTGATGGTTGGTGATGGTGAGCACTTTTTCACATGTCTATTGGCCATTTGTGTTTTTTGAGAAATACCTATTTAGGCCTTTTGTTCATTTTAAAATTTTTCTCTTGCTAATGAGTCACATTCCTTCTGTACCTCTATCAGACATCCTTAGAGTTTGCACACATTTCTCCTCAGTCTGGCTTCCTCATTGTATAGAAGCTTCAACTTTTTCTTGCTTTGTGCTGCCCCACACTGTCTTCTGGTTGAAAATGAAAAATTAAGGCAGCTTTCCTAAATACCTGGCACTGAAAGAAAAGTTGCTCCTTTGTTATAGTTTCAAGCCATGTGCTGCCTGGTGTTGGTGGCACAGCTACCTGGGGTGATGATGGCCAAATGGGTGCAGGCAATGACAGCCACATTCCTTCTCTCCATCACTGCACATGTTTTGCCAATAGGGTTGTCTGGGTCTGGACAACTGGCTTAGGTCAACAGGGAAGATGGTGTACCCCAGACAAGTCAATCCCCAGAGTGGCCTTGCCTGGAACAGAGACATCAGTGGTGGTCCACCCTGAACAGCCAGCCTCCCCAGCATGGTCTCTCCATGCCAGCCCCTTACACCTCAGGCCTCCTGTAGGAAAAGATGTCACCTTCGGTCCCTGTAGAGCTAATGAGTCAACAAGAACACAGGCTTACTCAGGTCTTTTTATTTCATAAAATTTGACAAAACTCAGTGCTCACTGCTTGGCTCTGCCCTTAGAAGAAAACAGTTGCCTTAGCAGATAACCAGGGAAAGCAGCCCAACAAGCCACCTGCCAGGGGCCTCTTGGGCTGACCCATCCACCTGTCCACCTAGAGAAAGACCTGTTCCCAAAGGTAGGGGCTGGGTGCAAGCATGGGAACAGTCACTACACTTCCAGGGAAACAGGATGTGGGAGACTCAAGGCCAGGTGCAAATAGAGGCTTCCTGAGTAGCTTATCACCTGTCTCCCCAGCGACATTTCAGTATCTTAACTCCTGAACTCAACAGTGAGTCAGGCCTGGGGTCATCACCAGGCACCTATACACAGGTAGAGGTATAGGTGCCCCTGGATGCCCCACCCCTCTGCACGTGTACTGGCTCTTCCAAAAGACATGCATACCCTCCATGCATCCTGATCAGGCCTGAATGCAATGAGGGCACAGGACTGGGGGCATAGGATGACTGACAGATCCTAGGAAACTGATGAGGATTTCTGAAACTGCTCCACAAAACTGTTCCCAGTCTCTAGTACCAAACCAGTAAGAAAATGTAAAATGCTTCATAAAGATACAAAGTACTCCTGTTTTAACAAACATCATTATTAAAGAATGTCATTTTTAGGTTGCGTGGAGCAAAAATCTTCTTTTTCTGTGGAATTGTGATGTACTGCCCATTTCCATATAGAGGGGTCTTCAAAAACAGGCTGTAGGTAATCAGGCTCCCCCTTCTGCTGCTTGGAGTTCCTGAGAACTGAGAGGAGGGCAGTGGTCAGGTTCAAGTACACAAGACTAGAGATGCCCCTAGACCTGTGCCCTGCCTGCCTCTGAGCCCCTCAGTGTTCTCTTCTTGGTTTTTATTGTCTTAAAAATCTCACTGTGCAATGCAACCAGAGAATCGCACAGGGTGGAGATGTACTGGGACTGAGGTCACAGGGGGCGGCCACTCCTCTGGCCTCTTCTCCCTGCAGCAGGTCACTGCCACCTGACTTTAGGCTCACTGCTTATGAGTCTATGACTGTGGCCTGCAGATGGAGACCAGGGTAGGTCTGTGCCTCAGGTAGGTTGCTGGGCCCTGCACTAGGTTTGGCACTGCTGCCCTCCATGTTACTGGACTGCCCAAGTTTTTACCTACACAGCTGCTGGTGGGTGTTACACCAGTGCTGTCAGGAATGGTGCAGCCACAAACATTTGGAGTGTCGTACTGCCCCAGAGATAGCAACTGCAGTCCTGCACTGGAGGTTTCTGCCTCCTGTGTTTGGACTTCTTCCAAAGACCAGATGAACAGAGTTCCCTGGGGCTCCTGGCAATACTTGTTTGAATTCATGATGAGGCTCTCTCCTGAGCACCCCATGGCACCCATCACCTGGCTAGTGTGTGTCAACCATCAAGGCTGCAGTCCACATCAGCTGGGCAGTGCCACACTTGTACCAATCTTGCTCTCGGAACCAGGCCCCGAGTGCTGCCTCCCCGGCTCAGCTTTGTCCTGAGACCTGGCTCTAGGAGACCTTCCCACAGGGCCACAGGGCTGCGCCTCATTCTTGCCTTCTACTATGCAAATCCCTGTGGCACACGCACCAGCCACAAACCACACCTGCAATATCCTGGGTGTAAATGCTGAGCCCTTCCTGCAATGCCTGGTCCAGGGTGGGTACAAGACTCTGTCCCAGGCAGGTTCTCCCTCCTTGCCCTGATAAAGGAGAGGACTACAGGAATGAGCCGCTCTCCTGCTCACCCCTTTCTTCTAGCCTCAAGCCCCGCTGTGAGGATGGGATGGGGTGGCCTTGGCAGGAACTTCAGTCTCTGAAAGCTGCTCACAGGCCCCCCTGCCAGGCACCTCTACCAGTGACAACCAACACACAGGTACAGAGCCTAGCCCAGGCCCTGCCAAGGCCTCCTTGCCTATGCCCTGCCTCTCTGGCTTCCCCACATCTCTCCATCAGATCCTCTCATCATTCTCCCAAGGTCTCTGTGGACAGCACCTTCATGGTCCTTGGCACCCTGCTGCATCAGCTATGCTCTTACAGGAAAGTTCATTTTCCCCAAGTCCACAAGAATGAAAGGAAGAAAGTAAGTGAGACTTGGATTCAGAGACCCGAGGGCTGGCATGTGTAGACCCAGCCACAGCTTCCCAAGGCCTCCTGTGATGTGCTCACCTTGGTCTGGATCAGTGCTTTGCAGTGGGGTAGATGGAAGCTGCTGACTGCCAGCAGTTCTTTAGGCTCTCCAAGGTCAGAACTTTCCAGAATGTGACCCACGCCTCTGGTAAGGCTCTGAGGAAACAAACCTCACACAGTCACCATAAAAATTCTAAAATTGCAGTTATCCTAACCTGGACACAATCAAGCCCCTCACAGGGCCTTCCTGCCCAGCCCTGCCACCTGCTGCCAGTCACCTGGCTTATGGGCCTCCAGAACCATGATGCTCCTTGACCTGCCTGCTCTGGTTTGACTGTATCCACAAAAGATCATGTGTTGAAAACTTAATCCCCAAATTCATATGCTGATTGTATTTAGAGGTGGAGCCTTGGGAGGTTATTAGGAGTACAGAGGGTCATGAAGGTGGGGCTCAGAGGACCAAGCTGGCAGGCTCTGTCTCACCTGTGATGCCCTGTACCATGCCATGATGCAGCAAGAAGGCCTCATCAGGTGCCAGTGCCATGCTCTTTGGTTTCCAGCCTCCAGAACCATGAGCCAAATAAACTTGTATACTTTATAAATTACCTAGCCTCAGGTATTTTGCTATAGTAACAAAAAACAGACTAACACATTGCACAACTCAATGTCTTCATAGCCACCTCCAGGATGAGCCCCCTTGCCCTGCCATCACCTGGAGCTGTCCCACCTATGAGTCTGTCATCTAGGATTCCCATTTCCTAGAATTCTGGTCCTGTCTTCCCTGAGCCACAAGGCCAGGTTGACCTTACTGGGGCCTCGCCACACCTTCCAGCCCTTAACTCCTGACCAGCCAATGTGGTGCATGGGCTGACCCAGCAATCAGTCCACGCTGCTGCCCTCACCAGGGCCAGCCTGCTCAGTTTTTATGTTTAAAATCTTCCAGAATACTGTTGGACACCAGTGGCTCACACCTGTAATCCTAGCTACATGGGTAGCTGAGAATGGGAGGATTGTGGTTTGAGGCCAGGCAAATAGTCTGAGAGACCCCATCTCCAAAATAACCAGAGCAAAATGGACGAGAGGTGTGGCTCAAGCAGTAGAGTACCTGCTTTGTAAGGCTGAAGCCCTGAGTTTCAAACCCCAGTTCCACCAAAACCAAAAAACAACAACCAAAAAACTTTCCATTGATACTTAAAAATGGGAAAGGCCTTTGTCATGTCAATCGCTGACAGGTGACCTCGTTCTGAGGTGCATTGTGTCTGATAACGGGGGCTTGAACACATGTGTGTTAATATGATTCACTGTGTGTAGTCCACTGTAGCTTCTGGCCGACCCCTGGCCCTTTCCCTCCTGTTGCTAGAGCTGGGCTTGGCTGGCTCCCACCTCAGACATCAGGAATTCATGTTTATGGGCACCTAGTGTATTTGACCCCCACGTATGACCACTCACCTCCCTGGGCAGCAACCTTTTGCATACTAGGACCATACACCACAATGCTGACACAACTCCATCCAAACGCAACTCATATTCCACTGGCCCATGGACAGCTCACCCTCACCCCAGTCCTTCCTGTGGTCAATAGTAGGCCTGGCCCACACTCACCACCTTCACCAAACATCCCCTGGGGAGAGCTTGCCCAGACACACCTGGTGGCCTACAATCTCCAGTAGGGAGCACTTCTGCCCACCCAGGTGCCCAGCCCCCTTTCCCACCCCTGCCCGCAGGATTGGCACTTTCTGGCCTCTACCACCAGACATGGCAACTTCTTCTCCTGACTGTCAAGCCCACATGCACACTGACACCACGCAGCTGTCGTGCCATCCCCACCCCTTGCCCTGCCCCAGTTGGCTTCTGAGAAGTCAGTGGGAATGCTGATCTTCCCAGGCCTGAGGGCAGGCAGGTGTCCCTGCTACAGACCAGCCCACTTCCTCCACCACCCTTCCTTTCTCAAGCCTGTGGTCTCTGAGTTGTACAATGAAGTCTTCACCCCCAAACCATCTCACCTTCTGAGTGCCATCTACGCCGAGGAGGAGGAGGAGATTCTCCCGGCAGCGGGACCCACTCCAGAGGCACTGTGAAGCAGACATGGCGCTGGTGCTCTGAAGGGCTCTCCAGAGTCTCCTAGATTCAGAGCTGGAGAACAGACACAGGAGACTTGAAAGCCTTCCATACAGGCCACCAAAATCCAGACTTACAAACAGGATGGGGTACAGTACCCCTTCAGGAGCCCTGGGCTGTCTACTCATGGTTTATTTACACCAACAGCACGTCCTCCTTCCTGCTACGTTTCTCTCCACAGAGCATGGCCCCTGCCTGAATGTCTCCTCTGAGGAGTGAAAGCCCCAAGGCCAAATGCTCTGCAGGTTTTGCTGGCCAAAGACCGAAGCACACAGACCAGGAAACCGATGGCTTCTTAGAGAATCAGTGAAGAAGCCCATGAGAAATGTCTATTATGGCCAACACACTATTAGTGTGTGCTGTGGGGGGCTGAGGGGTACACCTGCAAGAAGCCCATTCCCTGGTGGGGAAGATAAAATGGGCACCCAACAAATGCGGAGGCAGACAGGGCCAGCTAACACCAAGTCACCTGGGAGACACAAGTATTTTGGAACACGCAACAGTGTTCCACCTCAAAGCTATACCCATCCTCCTGTCTCAGCATGTCTGGCCTTGCCAAGCCTGACGCTAGGGCCACCTGTGCTTCTAAGGAACAGTGACATCAGCCCAGCTAAAACTAGCCTGCTGGGGCTGCCTCAAGGCAGGCTCTCCCCAGGGGCCATGTTCTGCAGGGTGGCACACACAGGGCACAGGGTGCTCTGGGAAGACACTGGGTTGGCCCCCAGCAGCAGCCATGATGGGTAGGCCAGGGACTAGAATGGCCTGCCTGCAGAGCTCTGACAAGGCCTAGGCCTGCTCAGACATGCAAAGATCCTGCAGCATGCTGACCTGGCATTCCCCAAGCCACCAAGGGACGGAGAAGCCTAAACAACCCACCTCTCCCCCTTCCCCCAGGGCCTCAGGACAGCTTAGCTCAGTTTCCCAGCCTGTTCCACAGTCCTGCCCCTCAGAACTGTTCCTGTCAATGCTGGCTGGTTGAAAGCATGTCCTTACAATGGCCGTGCACACACAACTGCTGTTGATTTTTCTCTGGGAGCCTTTATCCTTGCAGGCAATATGGGGAGCACACCTGGGCTGACCTGAGGCTTAGGTGGCTGCTTCCAGGTGTTTATATAACTCTGTGGCTGAGGATCATGAGGCTGCCAAAGACCACACTGTCAAGTCCCCAGGGGCCCAGGTGTCACCCGAAGAATCCACCTGTGTGGCCCAAAGATGGCTTCAGGAGCCTAACACTGTCTAGCAGGTAAACCCAGAGCCTCATGTAGTCGCTGAACCAAACGACGGTACAAATGCAGAGCTGCTGTAAGGACAGTTTAGTTCTAAGATCGTTACCACAGTCTGTGACCAGATGTGAGGTCAGGAGTCTCTTCACTGCTTATTTCTAAGAAACGGTCTAAGGTACAAACATCTTCAGTGGCCTGCTTGACTGTAACTTCTTGAAAAGCGAACCTAAAAACATCCTCATGGCTGAGAATGGGCTGAAAAGAAAGGACATTCCAAAGTTAGGAGAAATATACACACTGGGTCACCTGGTTCCAGATCATTAATGCTGGTACCAACAAAGGTTGTACTTGATTGTACAATCAGTGCTGCATCACTTAACAGGCATTCTTAAGAGTCTCTGTGCTGTGTGAAACCACACAGTAAAAACCGCATAGGAAGAGAGGGAGGGCACAACTCACACTTGGTCAGTGACGCATGAAGAAGGTGGCTTTCCCTTTCCATAAGTTAACTGGCTGAGAAGTCCACATGTGTGACAGTGGAAACATTTCACCTTGAAAGGACCCTGAGGTCTGCAGGCTGCTAGATGAGGTGGTGAGGATGGCAGTCCGAATTGGCCAGTGTCCTAACACTTGGGGTGGGGGACTGGCAGATGTCTGAGGTGTCAGACGTGAATTTTAAATATTCCAACAAGCCCAGTTCAGCTGGGTGTCTTTCACATTCACCTAATGCTTCTTGCAAAATTCCCATTAAGCTTAAAAGTTTCCTATTGTATCAACCACATTGGAAGAAAGTCCTGCTTTCAAAACAAGTGTCAAAGCAAGCTGACTGCACTGAATAGACCTCTCAGAAGTCCAGGGAAATTGGTTTAGAAAACAGGCAGTCCATCTGTATTACTAGCAGCACCTTAATTCTCTTCCTTACTGGTTGTATTTATCTTTTGTTCTCTGGTATTTGGGGTGAACTATTTGGGAAGAAAGGGCAGAGAAAGAAGTAACAGAAGGAAGAGGACAGCTAGTAGAAGGATCAGAGGCACCCTCAGAGGAGGCAAAGGCAGGTCTTCAGCTCTAAGAAGCAAGCAGGGCAAGGGGCAGGGGCTCAGCACTCCCCAGTTCATCACTTGAAGCTGCTGTGCTTGTGATTTTAGGGTCTGGGACTTTCTAAACCCACAAATTCATAACTCAGACCAAGGGCTCCTTTCCCCACATACCCTGAATGGGGTCATGCAAGCACAGCCTCTGCTGATGGATAGTGGACAGACCTGAGGAGGAGTGGTGAGTGAAAGCAGCCTGGCTCAGGTGGCCCCCACCTAGTCTCAGTTGCAGCCTCCTCTGCAACCCTCCCTTCCTTGGCCTCTGGAAGATGGGACAGTCAACCACATGGCCAGGGACAAAGGTCAGGAGAGAAAAGGATCCTCCAAGGCTGGCAGCACCCCCCCACACACACACACATACAGAAGCCTGTGTAACATCTTTGGGCCTTTGGGTGTACAAAAAACACCTCCCATTCAACATGGTGATGAGCACCACAAAATACCTCTGAAGATGGGGCAGCAGCAGTTCCTGTCACCCAGGGTCCACCCCGGTGAGGCTGGAGAGAACCACACTCCTTTGAGATAGAAGAGGTTCTCTGTGACTGAGATTCTGTAGGTCTCTCCAAGAGTTCAAGGGACTGAGAGAGTTGTTCAGACCTGGCTGACGATTCCCGGAAGCCTTCGAACTCCCCCCACCCGCTGCTGAGCTCCCCTGGGTCAGGACAGCTGGTGGTGCAGGTGGGATGTCCCTCTCCCAGCCTGGAGCTGCTGATTTTCCCACCAGGCAGCAGCAGGGGATCGTAGCAGCAGATTCCTACGCGTTTGGAACCATCACTATTCTGTCCTCCAGATGCTTGGTGGGAAACCTCCCCCAGTTCTCCAACGAAGTCACTCACGGACTCTCCCCCCATCTCCTGCCGGCCTTGCATCTCGGTGCACTCAGGCCAGCAGACCTGATGGGAAGCTGCTCGGGAGACATACAGCTGTTGAGCTGGAGCTGCCCAGGGCTGCCTGGCTGTCCGTTGCGTTGGACAGGGCCCAGGGGGTCGCGTTCCTCGACTGTCTTGGACGGTGTGGCTTCTGGGGAGTGTCCATGTGCCGCTGTGGAGCCAACAGCCCCTGGCCCGCGGTGACAGGCCCTGCACCGCTGCCTGGCTTCTCCTACACACGCCGTGACCAGTCCAGCGCAAGGGCGTGGCCTGGGGGCCAAACAAGGTGCGGTAAGGGAAGGCCTGCGGCGTGCGTGGTCCGAGTCGGGACGGGTCTGGGAGGCCCCGCTGACCGAGAGACTGAAGGGAGGACGCGACGCTCGGAGGCTCCGAAAGCGCGTCCCCTGGAGTGGAGCCAGCAGGGCTCCGACGAGGACCGGGTGCGAGACGCGGGCGGAGGGCAGCTTGGGCCCCGCAGGGCCGGACTCCTGCCCTCACCCACGTCCGCCGCCGCGATGCGCCTTCACTGGCTGGGCCCGCGCAACCTGCAGTCGGCTGTCCCCTTGCCCGCGCCGCGCGTTGCCCGGCAACGGCGCACGCCGGCCCACTTCCGGTGCACGCCGCCGCGGAGCGTTGCCACGCCCCCCGTCCCCGCCCCCCGGTTCCTCCTGCTCAGGCTTTGAGCTGAGGGCCGACTGCGGGGCAGGTGATGGGGTTGCCTTCACCTGTGCGCGGGATCCCAAGCATGGCGGGGCCTCCTTGCCTTTGCTTTTCCGCGCCCTCTTAAATGCCTGCAGGAATTGCTCTCATTTCGTTACCGTGCGTCTCCTGTGCGTGTGTTCCCGAGGCATCCCCGCCCAGGATGAACGGAGAACACCGGACCCAGGAATGAGCGATCGCCCTCGGAAGGCCCGGCCCCGCGGCGCCTTGTGGCCGGAGCACCCCTGCCTCGCCTCCACGTGTCAACCTTGCTAGCCGCTGTCTCCCCATCCCATTGCATAGCTGGGGTTGGGGCCATTCTGCTGTAGGGTAGTTTCTCCACAGGGCTGGAGGCTCCAGAGACCAAATCTTTGTTGCTGACTCCTGGATCCTCCGAACCTACCCCGTTTCCACATTGCTCAAACATGGAGGATGATGAACGTCCCCTGCCTGCAGTGTACGGCAGTGCCACTCCTACCCCTCAGACTCCATTGTAGTGCTTGGATTCTATATCTGGTCACCATCCAGCCCTGGGGCAGAGCAGGGCCAGCCTGGGCCATGAGCAACCTCCCCTCCTGCTGCCACCTGTCCAGGGTAAGGGGCACTAATGAGCTAGCCAGCCCCTAGGCATTCCTGACCCTTTCCCATCTGTCCACATCCCCGGTCTCATGAAGTCAGTCTTGAGCTTGATGACATCTCCACTCCAGCCTTCCCAGACTGGAAACCATCCCCATCCTTTTCTGGGAAGGGAGGACCAGGCCACTATCAGAGCCCTCATCCACGCCCAAGCCCAGCTCACCTCCATGCTCACATTTTTTCCACCCTGCGTCCTCCTTGGGTACTGCCTGAGCCTTTTCCTTGCAAGAATTACCCAACCCCTACCTGTCCTTCTCAGCCAAGCTACTTGAGCTCATTCTCTGCATCTTGAATGGTAGCCGCCCCCTGCCCCGGCCCCACCTTCCTGAGGGGCAGACCAGCTTGGCAATGCTCACGGGAGCCCTGCAGTCAGATTGCTCAGCCACCCCAGCACCCACACTGGCTCCGTGAGATGGGGTCAGACATCGTCTGGGCTTGTAGACAGTAGCTTCAGCTTGCCTCATTGTCACCAGGGCAGCCTTAACCTAGCAGTTCCTGCTGTATGTCCAACCCCACTGCTCTGGTTCCCTCACCCGCTGTCCTCGCCATGATTGAGGTCCTGGGAACTGGAAAGCGGTGCGAGTAGCATTTATCCTTATGTATGTGGGGGAGGCGCAGGGAGGGACGGGGAGGACTGGGCCAGAGCCTGAGTAAGGAGTAGGGCTGACCAGTTCTCCTGGCCTCAGCATGTCCCCAAGCCCCTTCTGGGCCTCAGCTTCATAATGGAGAGTGAAGAGAGCAGGAGGCAATGACCCAAGAATAAAGAACAAGGTAGCAGTTTCCAGTTCCTGGTCCACAGGCCTAGGTTCAGGTCTGTGGCAGTAGTGAGGCCTCAAAGACCTAATTGCTAGAAGCTGTGAACATGGGCCTTTACACCAGATCAAAGTAAGGACCTGAAAGTGAGGAGATAGGTCCGGATTATGTGGCTGAGCCCAGGGTAAACAGGGTTCTTGTAAGAGGGAGACAGGAAAGGCAGGTATGGCGGTGCACCTCTGTAATACAAGCAGGAGGCTGAGGCAGGAGGATTTAGAGTTCAAGCCAGCCTGAGCTACATAGTGAGATACTGTCTCAAAAGAAAGGGGAAAAAAGAAGACCAAAGGTCAAGCTTGGAAGAGAAAAGAAGTAGCGATGCAAGAAGAGGTTGGAGTGAGGCAGGACCAAGGAATACAACTTCCCCACATGCACCCGCACCGAAAAGGACAGGAAATGGAGCTCCCCTGAGGCTCCAGAATGGAACACAGCTCTGCCAATACTCAGAACTGGGAGAGAATAAGTATATGTTTTACCCCAGTCTGTGGTATTTTGTTGACTCCTGGCAACAAAATTGTGATGCCTTGTGAAAGAGGGAGATGTGGCCTTAACCTTGGTGCCCAGCCCCAGCTGCAGGAGCGGTAAGGCAGCTACATGTAGCTATAGGTGGCCTCTGCCTCTTGGGCCAGCATGGGGGAAGACTGTCTCTTCCTCATGTGAGCCCAGGGCCTGGCTGCCAGGTTGGTGGGAAGAGGAGGAGGCAGCAGCTCAAGTGTAATTGGTTCCACCCTCTGGGGACAGTGTGGAGGCCATGACTCCTGAGAAGCCATGGAGGAGGGCGCAGTTGTGGTGTCAGGAGAAGGAACCCAGGTAGCCTTCCTAGGCCTCTCACCATCACCTGTGTTAATCCCCAAGCCTCAGTCTTGCTGAACAGGGCTTGAGGAGGCTCCTCTGCAGAGAAGTCACCCCCATTCCAGAATCAGGAGGAATGGCCAGTCTGCATCCTGGGGCAGGTACCGCTCTGCCTGGAGTCCATGGTCATCCCTGTACTTCCCAGTGTCACCTGACAACAAGGATTGGTTGGGTAGGGGTCCCTTACCCTGAGAAGCACCCAGGTGCCCTACTCTTCTGGGATCATCAGACTCAAGTCCCTCAGGTGAGGATCCCAACCCTGTATCTGCAGTCTTTGGTGTCTGGACAGCAAGACCAGCCCTGGAGCTTGCTGCTGCCCTAAGTCCCAGGCTGACCTGCTGAGCCCACTGCAAGGGGTGGCAGAGACATAAGGAGTGGGAAGAATCCAGCATCCTGACATGCCCCACCACTGCCCAGTTTCCTGAGCCCAGCCATGTGCTGAGCTGTGCAGATGCAAAGGGAAGGACCTAGGGGCCATGCCCAGACCTAAAATAGGCACTGGGCTCTGGGAGAGATGAAGGCAGTTAGAGGCAAGGCTGCTGTGGTCAGAGAAGAAGGGGAGGTTGTGGGTGAGTGCCCCATTCACTACCTCACTGCAGTTCTTAGCTCTTAGTCCAGTGGAACCTCCCTATCAACTCTGAGCAAAGGCTTGAGGCAGATAGGGTGGCTGAAATACTCTCACCTACTGTGATGCCCCTGGGCTGGGGCGGGGCTAATGGCAGAACTATTTTTGCTGTGCTGCTGCAGCTGCTACAGGAGGCATCAATCATTGATGCTCTGGGCCTGCCTCTCAGGGCAGGCTGAAAGGCCAGCAGGACAGCCAGAGCAGCTGGGGCCAGGGTGCTACGTCTGGCCCCGCCCAGGTCCCACTGTGCATGCACCCCTAGTCCTGGGACCCAGCCAGGAAGAGAGTGTGGGACTCCACGGAGCCGTGTAGCACCTCTGGGGACGTGCAGAGGAGGTGTGGGGCCTCATGGCTGTGAACTGGGTCTGGCTCCCCATGAATGCTGGTGGCTGGAGGAACATTGATTTTTGCTGCAGTAGCCTTCCCCAGCCAGGCATCTGTCCCCAGAGGAGCACATGGGGAGGAGGCTCAAGTTGGAGCTTGGGCATGGTGGCAGGAACACATGGCTCTGCAGTAGAAGATGGGTCAAGCTTGGAATAGGGGGAAGGGATGGGGATGGCAAATGGCAGCTTCCCTCAACCCCTTTTTCTGCTTACTGTGATCCCAGGCTCAAGTGTGGGCTTCTGAGGCTTGGTGAAAGGATTCTGGCCAGGCCTTGGGGAAGGAGAGCCAACTTACGGTTGGTCCCCGCTCCTGACATAGCTGCAGCCTGCCCGTCTGTAGCAGGCCCTCTCAGTGAGACAGAACCCATGGGCCCCAAGGGTACCTGGGGATGAGTAGGTTGAACCTGAGGTGGGGAAGCTCTCTGGGCAGACACCCAAGGTGTCTACTCCTCAGAACACTTCCGGCATAACCTCCTATTGATGGGAGTTCTGGAAGAGTGGCAGAAGGCACATCCTGGTTAGGATCCTCAGCTGGCCCTGAAAGCCAAACGGCAACCCCAGTAAGGGGGAGGGGCTGAGCAGAACAGAGCCTCTACCTCCAAGGGATGCAGCCCTGGGTCTCAGACCAGGCAAGGGAGGAGAGGGGCAGCCCCGGGGGGTAGGGTCTTGCCCACCTCCATCCTGAGGCTGAGGCTGGAGCTCTGGGCTAGCCTGGAGCGAACTCCCAGAGCAGCAGGTGAGCAGACTCACCCTTTATCCAAACCCACCGCAGAGTGAGTACTGAGGATGTGCTTTGGCAGGGCACCAGGACCTTCTCTGGGTGGGGACTAGGGGACGCCAGTGAGCACAGGGTGAGGAGAGGGAGAGCACTGTCTCCCAAGGGTGGTGCCCCCACACTCATAGGATAGCAGTGAGTATTGAGGGCTTCAATACACTAGGTCTGCTTACTTGGTCCCCCCCAAGGCTTGACTAGCCAAGGGCTGCATCTCCCTTCCCCAGGAAGCTGACGGGAGCCACCACTGCCCCTGTGTAGATGATAAGAGACAATAAGACTATGCCACAGAGTAAGGCCACTTTGGACAGGGCCATAAGGGGCCACAGGATCTTGCCAAGGCCACAAGCCTAATGGGAATGGGGGGACACAGCTGGGTCTATGCCCTAAGGTCCTTGATTCCACAAAACTATGCCTTTTTCCCAGGTCCCTGCTCATAGGCCTCAAAGCCAGATTCAGACACACTGGACCTGGAATGGAGGTCAAGACCCCCAACCAACCTAGCAGATGCAGGAACACAATCTAGGACACAGAGATCCACACTCTCAGGCACAAGGTGGGTAGTTCCCCAGCTAGAGGGGCAAGCCCCAGTGTCCCACCTGAAGGACAGGGCTGTGCCCATTGTGCCATGGGAGAAGGCTGTCAGAGCCCCTTCCCAGCAGTGACTTCAGTGTCTGTCTGACCTGCGGCTGGCAGACTGCCCAGTGGCTGCAGTCACGCTAACGGGAACTGCCAAGAGTGAGTCATCCTGCCTGCCTGCCTGGCTCACCTGGGTTCGGTGCCTGTCCTCAGTCCCCAAATGTGCCTGGGATTGTTGCGCACTGGTATGTACACATGTGTGTCTGTGTTTTGTTGTGTGTATCTGTTCACATGCACCTGGATATGTATGCACGTCTAGTGTACTGGGCTACATCCAAAGTATGAGGAGTGTGTGTGCTGGGGTGAGCATGAGACCTTGTCTACAAGGATGTTTCTGTTGTAGCCTGGCCTCTCCTTGTCTCCCATGCTCATATACTGCCCCCGCCAGGATGCCCCCTACCCCAGCTTCCTGCCCCAGAGGCTAAGGCGCAAACATCCATGGACCTGGCATTGACCAGCACACTGCCAGGAATGGTCCTCCACGGTTGTGGATCCCCAGTGGGTCTGTTCCTGCTCAGGCTCCCCACTGCCTGCAGGACTCCACTGCTGTCCCCAAGGTGCCCTCTCCCAGGCCTGCACAAGGCCCCTGTGGAAACAGAACTCTTAAGTGCTGCACTCTTTGCCCAGTCCTCAAGATGTAGCTGCTCTGCATGGTGCCCAGTTAGAGACCAGCAAAGCTCCCGCTCCAGACCCTCACCAAGTCCCCTCTGTCAGCTTCCAGAATGTCTCTGGACCCTTGCACTCCCTCACCACCTTGCTGCCTGGTCCCACTGCTTCTGACTTCCAACACTACCCACTCCCTCCCTGGCACCTGAATGATCTTTCCTCAGCTTCCACTTGGAGCCCCCTTGCAGGACCCCCTCAGCTCTGCTCCCAGGTTCCAACAGGCCTAACTTAACCCTAGCAGCTCTCCTGCCCAGCCTCTGCACCTCCACTACTCTGTTCCCTCGGGCCAGAGCACTTCCTGAACTCTGCCTAGCTCAAACGTCAGCCCCAGCTTAGGCTGCCTGCCAGGTGCCTTCCAGGACCCCTCTGATATCTCCCAGCACTGCCCCTCCTCTTGGCAGGTTCTCCTGTATCATCTTTGTCAGCTCCCAGCCCCAAGGCTCTCGATAAAACTTTAGAAAGGATGAATCCTGGTGGTGGCAGTGTGTGTGTTGGGGGTGGGACTCCTCACCTGGACAGCCCACAGCAGACCGTCCCAGGGCACCCTGACTTCCCTGGACGATCTAGCCTCATTCTTGCATCTGCTGCATCTGAAAAATGGCATCTTGTCCGGTGAACTTCAGATCACAAGCAGTCAGCGCTCTAGGCTCCCGCATCCCTACTGTCCTCCAGACTGCAGGTACAGCTAGCGGCAAGCCCTTGGACACAGGTGAGGGAATCTGGAAGGCCCAACCTGTCGGGACTATCTACCCAGAAAGGCTGGATCGACCGAGGGGCCGCCCACCGGCCGCAGGCTGGAGTGGGGTCGGGCGTCCGACAGGGAGGGACCGGCGCGGGGCGGGGCCGGCGCGGGCGGGCCGGCGCGGGGCGGAGCCGCGGCGATAGCAGCCAATGGGCTGAATGAGGCCGGTGGCGTTGCCTGCGCACTAGCGGCGCAGTGGCCAGCGCAGGCTGGGCGGGCCGGGGCGGGGTCCGGCGCGCTGTCTCAAGGCGCGGTCAGTGCCCGCAGTCCGAGGCCATCAGTCCGCGGCAGCAGCGCAAGGCAGCGAGGCCGAGCGCGGCCTCCGCCGGCTCGTGGAAGCCGGGATCGCGACTGGACGCTCCGGGCCGCCTTCGGCCGGCACCGCCCGGCCGCCGAGATGTGTGACTGCTTCCACGTGGTGCTGCCCACCTGGCCTGGAGCCCCTGGCAGCGGTGCGCCCCCTCCCCGCCTGCAGCCCGCTCCCCTCTGGCGGGTGGGCTCCGCGGGCGCGCTGGGGCGTGTCGGGGGCGCGCAGTGCGGGCCGGACTGCGCGCTAGCGGGCGGGCGGACCTCACTTGCTTTTGGTGCCTGGCTGGCCGCTCTCTCCTGCATCTCGCCTTGTACCTATCCCTGTCTCCCGCCTCCCACTCCTCTTTCTTGGTCCCTGTCTCTGCCGCTCAGTTTGTCTCTCGGGTCTCCGTCATTCTCTGAGGCTTCCCTCCCATCTCTGACCCTCACTGACCCTGGCTTTCTTTCCTTTTCTTGGTCCTGTTGTAATCCCCTGGGACGCTGTCTTGCCCAGAGTGATGGCCATCCAGGCAGGTGCTGCCGCACCCTGGAGCAGGCTGAATGTCTGAGTAGGTGTCAAGGGCTGGCTAGAGACCTGCTGCTAGACCTGCACTCTGACCTGTTTTGGAAGAGAGCATCTGGCCGGACCAGAAGTTAGGGTTCTTGGCCTTGGTCCAGAATTGCCAGGCTGTGCTGGGCTGAGTCTACAGGGTGGCTAGGTGATGGCTGTGTGAGGTCTAAGCCTGAGGTCTGGGGCTTGATAAAAGTCCTAAATAGGGACAGAGATCAAGTCACATGGCCCTCCTGCTCCGGGCAAGAGAAAGTGGGTGCTGCCCACAGGTGTGACCTCCAGGGTGGTCATTGCCCTTCTCCCTGAGCCTCTGCTGCAGAGTTGGGTATCCAGTACTCTTTGTATTAATGTCCCTGCCCTGGTCTGGGTATCTCAGCATCTTGGCGGGCAGGGTGGGGCAGTAGGGACCGTCCTTCAAATTCTAGGTCAGTAATGCAGCAGCTTGGCCACACCCAGGGCACCTGGCCAACCACTGGGAAGGGGGCTGGGGTGTGCTGCATTGTCGCAGACTGGACCCCACTCCAGTCAATGATGATGGTGGGAAAAAAACAGTCGATAAGGAGGAGGCCATGCATGATGCAGAAGCAGAGGGGCTGCCCCAGCCTTGGCATCCCCTCCACCTGAGGTGGAGGCTCCCAGGGTCCTTCCTCTGACCCATTTATCTGGCAAGGATGGAGGTTGGGGCCTTGGCCTGAAAGGCCACCAGAGCAGGGAGCCTCCAGACCTTCCGGCTCTCCCCTTCACAATCCCAGAAGACCTCCTGTTTGGGCCTCCCCTGCCCAGATGGGAGCCCTGGACAGCAGCAGAAGAATGATAGCCCTGATGTGGGATGGGACCCCACCCCACCATCCTTTACCATGGCTGGCCCTGGCCCATGTCACTGCAGGTCTGCCTCATCAGAGGGTGAAGGGCAGGGGCCCCAAGGATTGCTCTGCCTTCAGCTTTCCTCACTCCTGGGTGCCTGAGACTCCCAAGCTGCAGGTCTCAGGATCATTTTCCCCAACCTTCTGCCTGCACAGGGACCTGTATGTTCCCAAGCTGAGGGCCTTATTTCCTGCTTTTGGCTTTGTGGCTCCTTGGCTTCTCTGGGGCAGTCCCTCCTGTGTTCATTCACTCTTAGGGAATGAGGTCCATGGCCTTTGCTGTAGCTATGGTAGAAGACCTGACGGATCAGAGCCATGGGGGTTCTGCCCCAACATGCAGATTCCCAGGCCCTCTCCAGCCCTGTGCAGGGACTGAGGACATGCATTCCTGATAAGCCTCCCTGCCCCAGATCTCTTCTAGTGTGCTCCACTCCCAGAAGGCTCCCTGCCCTATCTTTCTGCCCAGTCCAAACCTGCCCTGCTGTGCCCGCCATGTCTGGAGGAGCCTCCTAGTGCCTGCCCTCCCAGTGCCTGCCTGGAGCCCAGGGGAAGGCAGTAAAATGGTCAATGTGTGCAGAGGCTGCCCCCTGGTGGCGTTTTTGGGAATGCAGCTGCACAGGGAACCTGTAGTCTCTGCATAGGGATCCGCCCAGTGTAGGGGTGCTTCTGCTCTGCCCCTTCTGCAGGAACCCCACACACGGCTCCTTCCTTCCCAGAGGCAGAACTGAATCCTGGATAGATAGAGTGACAGGGAGCCCAGGCACTGGCCCTTGCCCTTCACCTGCAAGCACCTGACTTGGCCTGGGCACTTCCCCTAACTGCACCCCAGGAAACCACTACTAGCTTTGGGGGGGGGTCCCAGGTGCAGTGACACCATGAGGGACATCTAGGTGATCTCCTCTGGAGCATAGGCCATAGCATGACTGGGGCTTTCCCAACAGAACACAGGGTGGGGGCAGGTGCTGAGGTGCATGGCGGAGGGCCAGGAAGCTGTAGGTCTGGACCCTGTGATTGTGCACAGGAATGCTCAGGTGGCTGTGCTGAGCTAGAGCTGTGTGTCCACGTGCCCACACAGCACTGTCATCATCCTGACCCAGGTTGTCCCCATTTTGCAGAATGGGGCTAGAAGCAGGAAGGCAGATTTCTCTACCATAGTGGAACCCCCTGGGCACCAGGCCATAGCAACAGGCTGCACATCTTGGGGAGTGAGGTGTGGATCTGATAAGCGCTGGCTCTACCCAGCCCCACCAGGTGGGGAGACAACAGGATCAGGGCTCTGGTGGGCCCTTCCTTAGCCTAGACATGTCCATGGTGGAGATGGGCATTGAGAAGGCAGCAGAGGTCATCTGGGCCACCCCTGACTTGAATGCGGAGGGTTGTCAGAAGCCACCATTGGAGGTGGTTGTATATGGTTCCTGACAATACTCCGAGCTCTTTCCCTGGTGGAGAGACAAGCTGGATGGCCCAGGGATGGAACCGGGCTGCTTCCTGGCATCCAGCTCCTACCCCAAGCCTTAGGCTGTGTCTCCTGAGCCTGGCCAGGGCCCACCTCCACTCACACTCATCATGGCTGGGCCTGGAGCAGGAATATCATCATTCCCTTCTCTTTGCTTGGACAAGCTTTTCTGCCCTGGGCCTGGCTGGTTGCTACCACTTCTGGAAGTTCTATGGATTGTTGGGCTAACCCCCAGCCCTTCCTGGCTTGGACTCTCTCTGTGTCCTGCCTCCTATGATTCCCTTTGCTGAAGGTCTCTGTGTCAGGTCCAGCTGCCAGCTACGACCGGCCTGCCCAGGGAGTGAGATGCCAGAGAGGAGAGGTCCAGAGCCCCGGCAGGAGGACTGGGGCACTCTCTGGGGTCCCTGCTACCTATTCCAGGAGTCAAAAGCCAAGATCTCCCTAGCTTGGTCCCCTATCTGGGGGAGGCAGAACCTGCACTCAGGAATGATGTGAGGTGTGGAATGCCCACTCACCTCTGCCTGTCTCGCTGTCCATCTGTGTCTGAGAACTGCCCAGCACTAATGCACCCTAGGGATCTTGGGGCTTGAGATGTTACATGTAGACAGAGTAGGGATTCATCAGCTGTTTGTCAGTGAATGCAAGTGGGCAATGCTATGGTCAATTTGCCCTTGGGTGCATGGGGGAGTCAGGGCGGGTGTCCTGGAGGAAGGGCTGGCCCCAGTGGGGACCAGAAGCTATTACTAGAAAGAAAGGTGAGGCAGGGAAGGAGGAGCTCATGCAGAGCCTCAAGCATCAGCCGAAAGCCTCAAGTAGCTCTCCCTAGGTCTGGAGAGGTGGTGAGGGGTGGTAGGGGTCAGTTCTGGGATGGAGGGCTGTGTTCTGAGGGCACCAGACCTCACCAGGCAGTTCCTGTGGAAGGGATGAGGTCTGGGGGATTTCTCTGATGAAGAGACAGGGAATAGAACTGGAGGAGGCAAGACAGGTTGAGCCTAATGTGGGCTTGGAGTGGACTGGAGGCTTCCCTGGATCCAGAGTGAAGACCATCACGTTCCCCTGCCTGTTGCCCCCAGCTGTAAGGGCTCTACTGCAAGGGTGTCTGCCTGGCCCTGCCCAGCCTGTGCCTCTGCCTTTCCGGGTTTCCCTTTATTTTCCTTTTTTTGGAAGCCATAGGCCTTCAGGAGCCAAGGCCTGCCTTGCTGGAATAAATATTTAATAGTCAGAAACACTTTCTCAAATGGAAAATTGGAGCTGGGCCCAGAAGGCTTGGAGCAGGAGGCTGTGCTCACGCATAGAAATACTTCCAGCTGCTCTTGCCCACTGGCTGCTCAGTATGGTCCCAGTGTCTGCTTGACAGGGTGGGGGCGGCACTGAAGCCCCTTTCCAGAACATGTCCTGGGTGGGCCTCACTGGGGATGGCGGAGGAGCAGTGGGCAGAGTTGCTGCTGTTCCCTGGCAGGAGTCCAGGAAGGGACCTCAAGGCACCCTCCTGCCTGGCTACAGCACTGGATGTGGGGTCCAGTGCCGAGAGGTTAGCCGAAGCTGAAAGGGGCAACTAGGGGACAACAGAGGGGCCTCACTTGGGCCTGAGCCTCCCTTTGGGACAAACCCATTGTCCCTTGCTGAACTCTGCCACTGGGGGCTGCCCTGGCACTAGCATCTGGAGGCCCTAGTGACTCAGTTCCTCCCAGCCAGGTCAAGGCCTCTCTGTGAGGGGCTCAAGCCCTCTGTTGTCCTCCTGCTGTGGGTGGAGGTCAGAGTGAGTGCCTGCCTGCAGGAGGCTGGGCTCAGGGTGCCTTGTCCCACACCCATGCCCCTTGACCTCTAGAGTCCCTAATTGTGAAGGCTGGACTCTGGTGTGGCAGCCTGCTATAGGCCATGTCTCAGGTGGCCACCTCCTTGGCAAGCCTTGCTGCTGGGTGGCAACTGCTCCCGAGGCTCCATTGTGACAGATCTCCTGGGAATGCCCTGTTCTGTACTTGGCTCCTGTATATGGCTGATTCACTATCAGCTGCTGTGGCCCCACCCAGCCCCTGCTAATGCCAAGTTCCCACGGGGATGCAGAACTGGGTCGGGGGTCCTGATGGCATTAGGTCTGTGCAGCAGGTGGCAGTGGCACATCTGGACACCTAGGACTTGGGAGCTGTGATGTGGTGACCAACAGATGCCAGTGCTCCTCCACTGACCCACATCTGCCTGACCACTGAGCCTGGCCCCTGAACCAGGGGGGCAGTGGTGGGTCCCTGGGAGCTGAGGCAGGTGGCAAGGTCCACTGGAAGTCAGGTGAACCCTGTGGATTGGATTACTCAGGAGCAGGTCAGGAGAGATGGCAGTCCTGGCTCTTGTCTGCCTTCATCACAGTGGTCTCAGCCCAGAGCCCTGGTTTTTCAGCCTGTTCCTTCCCTTCCCACCAGTACCTTTTTTTTTTTTTTTTTTTTTTTTGTGGGGAAGTCAGTACTGGGGTTTAAACTCAGGGCCTGACACTTGCCAGGCAGGCACTCTACCACTTGAGCCACGTCCCCCAGCCCTTTTGGCTTTAGTTGTTTTTTCAGATAAGGTCTCATGTTTTTGCCTAGGCCAGCCTCGGACCATGATCTTCCTACCTATGCCTCTCTTATAGCTGGGATTGCAGAAGTGTACCACCATACCTGCTTATTTAGTGGGATGAGATCTTGCCTGGACAGACCTCAAACCTCAATCCTCCCTATCTCCACTTCCCCTAGTAGCTGGGATTACCGGCATGAGCCACAGTGCCCAACTTTGCCTGCACATCTTGTCAGCACCCTCCATTCATCAGTTTGCTTGGAAACTCAAGGCAAAGCTTCACTGGGGAGGTCATGGTCCTCTCAGGTGTGGTGGGGTCCAGCACTAGCCACACGGCAGCAGGCTATTTTTGTAGGTCCTCTCCTCTGACTGCAATGAGGTGGGCACAATAGGCGGGACCCTGACAAAAGCCATTGCTAGGATCCAGTGGAGCTAGGAAAGCAGAGGGAAGCAGTAGGAGCCAGGAGGCATTTTATGGGCAGAGGAGTGCCTGTTTGCTTTAGACACCCAGGCTTAGGAGAGAACATGGAGGTAGCAGGTGACCTGCTCTGTGCCAGCATCTCTCTTGCCTCACTCCAGCTGGGCTGGGCCTCTGGGGCTCACGCTGACTCAGCCAGGCCTGGAGAGTTGACAAACTGGTGGGTGTCAAGCAGTAAACAGTGCCCAGGTAAGAAGTGCTTGGGAGGGGCCTCAGAGTGGGAGGCCAGGGACAGGCCTGGCCAGCTTTCCTGTCACAGTGTAAGTAGAGTGATTTTCTACTTTGGGGACCGTTAGGTTTTTAGGGAAGAGTTGGGGGAAGTCTGGGACCCTGGTGTGGGTCTCTAACCTTCCAGGACAGGGGGTGCCCCTAGGCCTCTCTAACTCTGTTTGCCGGTCAGTGCCTCCTGACTTCTCCCTACTTTGGAGCTCTCTGACCTGCCTGTGAGGGGCTCTTTTCTTGCTATTCCCCACCTCAGTCTGCTTCTGACTTCCATATGCAAATGGAGGGCCTGACTCCCTCAGCTGCCCCAAGAAGCGCTCATCTCAGGGCCACCATGGTTGAATTGGGCAGGGTAATGCCCTGGAACCCAGGCTGGGCCCCTCAGCTGTGGGCCTGCTGCAGCCTGCCTGCAGGGTTCAGGTGCCCACAGTTAGCTGGGTTCCGCCCACGGGCTGTGGGCACAGGGTGTGTTGGCCCTGGGATCCCAGCAGGTCTATAGCTAGCACAGCTGGTGGGTCCTGCCCAGGCCTGCTAGCCGCCCAGAGCAGGGAGGAGCAGGGGCTGAGAGCCTTGGGAGGTGGGGGGCAGCAGACAGAGAGGAGGGGCAGGCCAGGCGGCTGCAACTCTGGATAGCGGTGACTTGGAGTCCTTGGGTCAGTGTGCTTGTCAGGCACCATTTGTATCTCCATGATGAGGGAAGGAGGGGACTTGTTTAAAACTGCTTTATCTGGGTCCCAGCCCCCTCAGATTTATACAGCACTCTGGAGCTCTGAGAGGCAGGAGCTATTGAGTTTGGCCAAGAGGGTTGGAAAGGTGTTGGGGGTGCAGGCTGTGTTGGGGGGCAGGCTGCCTTCAAGGGGTATAAACAGGTGGGCAACAGTCACAGCCACTTTCCCCAAGGGCACTGCCTAGCTGCCCTGGGGGTTTCAACCTGCCTGTGGCCTGTACCTCCCTACACCCCCAGGCAGGCAGCTCTGAGCCTCTGTCCTAGTGCCCACAGAGAAACTGAGGCCCTGGGATGGGGAGGACCTGTCCCATGTCTGCTTCTGTCCACACAGCAGGCCAGTGCATACTGGCACTCACTGTCTGGACTGGTGGTTGTGACTCAGACAGGCGGGTGTTTCCTCCCCCAAGTCAGCTGCCTGGACTTGGACGGGAAGGGGGGGTGGGGGGGGGTGACACAGGGAGTGGGATCCCTGGCTTTCAGAGGTTAGTGCTGGGAGGACTGGGCCAGCTCCAGGCTTGTAAGAGGATCCACCCACTCCCTCTGGTGGGGTGCAGGGGTCTTGGCAGGGCTCTGAGCTTGGCTGAGGAAGCAGTGGAGGGAGGGACAATGGGGGAGGGGCCAGAGAAGGGAGGAGCAGGGAGGGACCAGCTAGGGAGGCAGCCTGCTCCAGATCACTTCTGGTGAAGTTGGGAGAGCCTCTTTGGTGAACCAGCCAGCTGTACCCCTCCGGCACTCTGTCCCCTTCCAGGTTCAGGACTGCAGCACCTGCCCCCTCACCACTTGTCAGGTCAGTGGGAGGGGATGGGCAGCCACCATGGGTGGCTGGTGGGCAGAGCTGGGCATCTCCCTGACCCATGCCCTACCCTGGCCCTACCTCCCTCTCATGTGGAAGGACAGGGGACTTAGTGCACTGTGGCTCCAGCTGACTTATCCAGGGTCAGCTGGGCTGGGGAGATGTCAGTGAGAGGCTGTTTCAGCTCAAAATAGCCTTGAAACTAAGGAGAAGACCCTGGAGTGGCCCCTCCCAGCTCCTGAGCCGGGGCGTGGGAGGTGTGCAGCAGGACCCCAAGCTGCCCGGTCGTGGTCAGTTGGGAGCAGTGGCTGTCATTGGGAGGGAGCCTTGGAGGGCCCCACATGGCCACTTCAGTAGCAGGACATACAGGATCCCTAATGTCGGGCCTCATGGTCTGGGAAGGGATCCTCAGATTGTGGCCACTGACCTGGTTTAGGGTATAGGGGACCTTGGTAGGGGGATTGTGGAGGGCAGCTCAAGCCAGGCCTGGCTTGCTTTCATTGGGGACCCAAGGTAAGCTGTGGGGGCCTGGGGCAGTGGACTGCCCCATCATGGGTCACACTGTCCCTGGCATCCCTAGTGCTGCCCTTGTAACCACAGAAACAGGCTCAAGTTGGCTGACCCTGTCTGTGTGTAGTGGGGCATAGGACTGCTCCTGCTGGCTGTTGAGTCCCTTGGACTTGAGGTTGTCCTGTGCCTCAGTTTCTGTAGGTACCAGGGTTTGGCAGGGCCCACCTGCTGCCTGTCTAGTCCATGGATTTGGCACCCCCTGAAGCTGGACAGTACTCACATACTGCCAAGAGTTTTGACCAGCCAGTCCCTTCCCTTCCCATCCACTCCTAGCATTAACATTTATCATGTATCTACTATGTGCCAGTCTCTGAGTGCTTAGTGAGCAAGGTATTCTGGGAACCAGAGGCCAGGTAGTGTCCAGAAGCAGTGGCAGAGTGACCAAGCTGTCTATGAGTTTGCCGGGCAGGTTCAGCATGTGAAAAGTGTAGAGGGCCAGGTACCCGGGAGGGGCCGTGAGGGGAGGGCAGTTATGGAGCTCCAGGAAAACTACAAAGGTTGTTTGGAGCAAGAAGGATATGAACAACTTCACAGTTATAGCTGAGCGGCAGTGGGGAGAGGCTGTGGGTGAGAGAGGAGCCCTTGCCCCCAGGCTGACTGGGTCCCCCACCCTCCCGCCCAGCCTCCCAGAGCTGGCTCTATCCCCTCATTCATTGGGTTATCGCCAGAAACATCAGGGGATAGGTGGGCAGGCCCTCTGCCACTGCATGTATTGCTTCATAAGGTCTGAAGGTCTCATGACAGTCAGCCGGGCCCTGCACTTTCCTCGTGAAGTTCCAGGATGGGGCGAGGCCCGAGTGTACATGTGAGACTCTGTGGGCTTGGGTGTCTGTGAGGCCACACGGGCACAGGCTCCAAGCCCAAGGGTAGCAACTTGCATGATAACCCTACAAGGGCTCCCGCTGCCAGGACTTCACTTTGGGGCTGTCCGTGGGTGATTAGAGGGGAAGCCCTGGTCAGACGCACATGTACACCTGCCCTGCCCCATGTACATGAGCTCTCAGGTCAGTGAAGAGCTGAGCACCTTAAAGCCAGTCTTTTGTTCCCAAGGGCCCCATTGTCCTGGTGACATGCAAAGTGTCCACCACACCTGGCCCGTCAGGAGGCCAGAGCCAGGACCTGGGGCAGCTGCTTTGGATGCAGACCTGGATTTTGTTTAAGGAGGTGCCCCACCCACCTCCATGGCCCTGCTCTGATGGGCCCTGCAGGTGAGGCATGTGTAGGATTCTGCACCTCTTGTTTGCTCTCCCCTCCCTGCTCCAGGCCCACCTGCTCAGGACTCACTCTGAAATATTCTATTTCCTAGGACTACAGCTTCTCTGGGCCAAGGGTGTCCAGGGTGCCCACCCGACCCACTGCCTCATTGTGCAGCATAAGGAACTACTCTAGAACCCTGGGGTCCCTTCCCTAAGTGCGGTTTGCACCTGCAGGACAGGGAGGTCCATGATGGTGTCTGAGGCTGTGTGGAGGAGCTGCTAAGGAGGGAGGGGCATTGGGTTACAGCAGCCAGACCTGCTGGACCTGGCTTAGGTGTGTCACCTCCATATCCTCTATAAAGTGGGGCTTTGGTGACTGTCAACAACCAGTGTCATTATTCAGGTGACAGTGCTCAGGGCTGGGTTTGTTTACAGAGCTGTCTGAGGGACAGATGTGGGTGGCAGGTGGGGTGCCTCCTCTGTGTGCTCTGGGGCCAGGCAGGGCTCCCTCAGAATTGAGGCCATGCCCTCTGTGGAGGTGGGAGACCTGGACGCCAAGGTTCCTCCTCCCTCCTCCAGGAGGGCAGGGCCAATTGGGCAGGATTGGCTGGGCAGTCTTTGCAGGCAGCTGGCAGGATTTCCCTCTTCCTGTTTGTGTGTCCCTGAGACAGGCTCATGCCAGTCCAGGGGTGCAGAGGGGATGGCAATGCCCCAGCTGTGTGGCTATGGCCTGGTTGTGCTGCCTCCCTGAGCCTCTGCTCTTTGTCCCTACAGGAGGGAGGGGGCGCTGTGAAGGTGGGACTGTCTTTGCGTGGGCCTTGTGGGCCCTGCTGAGTCTGTAGCAGGCCAGACACCTGGGCCAGCCGGGGTAGGGCTGTCATGCTTCATCCTTTCCTCTGTCTCACATTCCCAGGGCAGGTTGTGTCCTGGCTTCCCTGCTGTCAATACCTTTCTTCATGGGCTCTTGACACCCACAAGACTGCCCTAGAACAGATTTGTGGTACAGCTTCTCAGGGTTGGGTCTGTGCCCAACAATGAAGGCCTTCCACTGTGTTCCCCCCAACCCCCAGCCATGGCCCTATCTTGTGGTCCTCAGGTCTGTACTCCCTGCCTTGTGTGTCCCCTTCCTTGGGCTTGTCCGGCGTCCCACCCACCCCATCCAGGATCAAACTCCTCCACTTGCTGGGCTCTGGTTTTGTCTGACCAGAGGGCAGCTGCGAGGCTCTCAGGGAGTCCTGGAGGGGGAGGGGTGTATGGGTAAAGGGTGGGAGCCGGTGTATGGAAGGCAGAGTGATGGCGCACCATGTTCTGTTAGTCTGGGCCCAGGGGTAGGTGCCGCAGGAGTAGCAGGGACCCTGTGGGGGTGGCAAGCCTGTGTCCAAGTGACAAGATAAGTGTTGAGTCACAGGAGAAGAGCCCCCAGGACGGAGATGTGCAGTCCTGGGTGGAGCTGTTGGGGTGCTGACTCTTGGTACTTTGTACAGATGGAGGGCACTGAAGCTGTGACTTTTCTGAGGGGTCCTGGAGGCCAGGCTCTGGGTTTGGGCAGCAGCGGAGCAGGAAGGAGGTGAAGAGGGGATGTGGGATGGGCTCTGATTGTTCCTGGCATGGCCCAGCCCCACCTGCCCTCCCCTTGCCTCTTCTCCACCTGCCCCAGGAAAGCTGACTACAGCAGACTCCATCTCCTGCTCTCCCAGAACCAATTTGCGGAAGGGCAAAGATAGGCCCCCAAAAAGAAGCAAAGGTGTGGTGGGCGCAGAGCAGGCCCAGGAGCTCCAGGGATGAACAGGTGCAGCTCCAGGTGCAGCTCCACCCACCAGTCCAGTCAACATGGGCAGGGTGGCTTCTGGGAACCGTGGGGAGAGCCAAACTCAGAGGGGACAGCTGTGCGATGCCATGCTCAGCATCTCACAGCACACTGGCCAAAGAGCAGCAGCCACACCCAGATTCCTGCTGGTGCTTGGCCTCACCATCTATGGGATGGTCTCCAAGGCCAGTACACTGTCTCTTGAGACAGGGACATACTCTATGTCACCTGGTGTCTGTGCAGCTGGGGCTCTGCTCAGGGCCTGGAGCAGGATGGGGTCCTCAAGGGCCTGAGGCTGCCTGGGAGGTGAGGTTGGGGGGCACCCATACCCCATCATCAGCGATGCCTCACACAGAGGCCATCCCCAGAGCCCAGGCCCATGTGTCAAAGTCGGTGCCTGATGAGTTAGCGCTCCTTCTCTAAATATTTAGTACAATTCAGGGGACTTTGGGCCAGGAGATCTGTTTGTGGGATCGTTTTATTTGTGTTTTCTGTGTTCCAATAAAACTTTATTCACAAAACAGGCAGTGGACTGGATGTCATTTACTGGCTTCCTGTCTCCTGGCAAATAAGCATATTACCTGTTACAGAGGAATTATAAAATATCATTAAAAAAAAAACTTAGGATGGTTCAGTGTGAGTGTGGGAGCAGAGGGAGCATAAGACAGGTTAGGTTCTTCCCCACTCTCTGATTTGCGTTGTCCTGTGTGGGAAGGGAGAACTATTTAGACTGTCTATTTCTTCTTGCACAGCTCAGGCTATATTTTACAATTAGTGTAACTCTCCAGATTTATTGGCATAAAGTGTATACTTTCTTCATTTTGATTTTACATAGAATTTAAAAATTTTTATTGAGAAATATTACAAAGTATGGGCACCCTGGAGGAGCCAGTACCCCAGCTGAGAATATCTTTTTTTCTTTTTGATGGTACTGGGGTTTAAACTCAGGGCCTCATGTTTTCTAAGCAGGCACTCTACCACTTGAGCCACTCCACCAGCCTGAGTACCCTGGTTGAGAAGTAGGCCTTTCCCATCCCCAGGAGACCCTTCTGTTCACTCCCTGCTCTCCCCAGGACTTCTAGCAGCAGCTGGGCCTCCCCATGTGATAAAATCTTCTAACCCTGCCCTCTTCACCTCAGTGTTATGCTTGTGAAATCCGCCCACATCGCACAAAGAAGTCATCGTCCATTCTCATCCACACACTATTCCACTCTGCTGTTGAGGGACATTTAGTTTTCTGGTTTCTCGGTGCTGCACACAGTACCAAGATGGGCATTTTTTGCATGTGTTTGGGAGAAAGGCATGTGGCCTTTCTACTGGCCAGCCATAACCCAGCCATGGAGACCGCAGACCACTGCCAGATCACTTTCCAAAGCAATCGTGTCAGCTCACCCCATGCCTAGGATAGGACAGGAGTTCCACATGCTCTGTGCCCTCATCAACTTCAGCATGGCCGGCTTTTCATTTCAGTCCTTCTCCTGGGAACATTCTGGTTCCTCACTGTGGATATGAGGCGTTGCTCTGAAGATAAGGGTGATGAACACTATTCTTCGTCCTCTTTTGTGCATTCCTATTCCAGTGCTTTCTTGTCCATTTTCTTCCCTTCCCTTTTTCTCCCTCCTTCCCTCCCTCCCTCTTCCTCCCTCCCTCTGTACCACTCTCCCTTTCTCCTTCCCTCCTTCTCTCTCTCTGCTGGGGATTGAACCCAGGGCTTCTGAGCATGCTAATTTCAGAACTCTAACCACTGAGCTCCATGCCAACCTCTCCCATTTTTCTACTGAGTTGTCTTTTTCTTTCAGTTTGCAAGAATTCTTTGCCTTTTCTGGGTAGGAGTCTTGTGTTTAGTAAACTTCATTTTACACCAATCTCTCAGTTATTCCTTTGAGCTAGTACTTTTGTGTACTATTTAAAAAAAAACTTTTCCCTACCTCAGAGCTATTTCTGTTTATCTTCTGGAAGATTTATTGTTCAACTTTCAACTTCGGACCTATAACCCATATGAAATTAATGTTTTCTGTGGCTGAGTTAGGGGTGTAGATTAATATTTTTCTGTGAGGATGTTCAGTGGACTCCTCACCATTTACTGAAAAGAGCACTGGCTTCCCCTGACTTTTGTGTATGTCAGAGTCTGTCTCTGAGATCTCTGATTTGTCATTGATTTTAATCTGCATTCCCCAGATGGTGAAAGATGTTAGCCATCTCTTCCTGGGTTTATTGGCTATTTGTACATCTTGTGGAAATGTCTGTTCAAATCTTTAAGTCACTTGTAATTGTGAGTTTTTGGTTTGACATATGAACACATGTATAAACACTCAATAATACATATATATGTGGCATATATATTTGTGATATATATTTTAATAGTCCATTCTAATTCCACTATTGACTTATTTACTATACATACTTTTTATTTTTAAATGGTTACATTGTGAATAGTATTTTGTATCTTTAACTCTTCATGGTCTACTTCCAATGATATTATATCACTTCAGGTACCATGTATGAACTTGAGCATGGTAATCTCTCTTGCTTCTGATACCTTTCTCTACACTGTAGTTGTCAAATGCTTTTCTTCTACATCCGTTAAATTCTATACTACATTGTGTTGCTGTTTTTCATATAGTGGCCTTTATCCTTTTGCAGGCTCATTGGGGGTGTAATTTATAAACCATAAAACTTCCCCCATAATAAATGTGCAGTCTGTCATTTCTAGTGACTGTGTAGAGTCTCCTACCATCACCACAATTCAGTTTTAGAACCTGCCCATCACCCTTGAAAACCTCTCCACCTGCTGTCAGTCGATGCTCTCTCCAAACACTAGCTTAATTCTGGCAAGATACAAACTTGGATCCAACGTATCTCCTCTCCTTTCTGTTATTATCATGCATGTGTTACATCTTCACATTTTAATCCCAAAAACATTGGGGCTAGATTTATTGCATTACCTTATGGAAGGGCCCACAGACGATGACCTGTGCCACCAATCCTGCTGGCTCCTTTTGTAAGTAAAGTAGCTTGATATGTAGCTATCTCATTCATTTATGTGTTGTCTACAGCCTACAGCAGAGGCCATCTGGCCTGCAAAACCTGAGATACTCACTCACTGGTCTTTTACAAGAAAAGTTTGCCAACGCTTGCTTCGTGCAATCATAGTCCTTTAAAGAAGATAACAAGAAGAAATACGGTTGTGTGCACAGAGTATTTCCATTCATGAAGGGGTGTGTTTGTGACAATGTTCCCTAAGATTATGTCACCTCATTACATGCAGCCGTCTTAGTTTGTGTAAGGACACGCTGATGTTCACACACTGACAAAATCATCTCACGATGAAATGTAGCCTTGGATGCATGACTGTATTGTCTTTTACACTCGCCCCCCCGCTACCGCCCCATTTCCTGTAGTCTTCACTTCTTCCTGTGGATTTAAGTTAGTGTTTGGCCTCAGTTCCTTCCAGTCTGAAGGACTTAGTTAGTATGTCTTGTGAGGCAGAGATGATGTGAGAATGACTTTCCTCTGTCTTTGTTCATTTGGGAGTATCTTTATTTTGAGGGATGGTTTGCTGGGTAGCAAATTTTTGGTTGACACCTTTTTATCTTTCATTGCTTTGCATGCGTTTCACCCTCTTCCAGCTTCCTGTTTTGATGAGATGCCAGCTGTGAGTTGTAGCTCTGTGCCTTTGCATGTGATGGGTCTCTTTGGTCTTGAGCATTTTGACTATGAAGTGTCCAAGGAAGGATCTCTTTGTTTTTATCCTGTTTCAGGTTTGTCCAGCTTCTTGGAGCTGTAGGTTGTTGTCAGCCATTGTTTCTTTAGTTATTTTTTCTTCCTCTTTCTTTCATGCTAAATGCTGTCTTACAGATCTTTGAGGCTTGGTTCTGCTCAGTTTTCTTCAAACTGCCTAATTTCTATGAATCCAGTTTACAGTTATTTTTTCTAGCAACTCAAGTCTGCAACTGAGCCACGCACAGTGGTTTGATCCTGTAATTCTATCTACTTGAGAAGCAAAGATTGGGAGGATCATGGTTTGAGCCCAACCTGGGCAAAAAGTTCAGGAGACTCCATCTCAACCAATGGCTGGGTGTAGTGGTTCATGCCTGTCATCCCAGTTACACAAGGAAGCACAAATAGGAGGATTGGGAGTCAGGCAAGCCCGGATGCAAAATGAAACCTTATCTCAAAAAGAACCAAAAGCAAAAAGGGCTGGTGGAGTGGCTCAAGCGGTAGAGTTCCTGCCTAGGAAGTGTGAGGTGCTGAGTTCAAACCCCAGGGCAGCAAAATAAATAATCTGCAATTGAACCTCTCTAGTATATTTTTAACTCTAAATTTTCACTTGTTTCTCTTTCTTTAAGAGATTCTCTACTCATTGAGCCCTGTCATCATTCTTTCCTCTAACTCTTTACACATGGTTTTCTTTAGGCTTTTGAATAGACTCTTTTGTTGTCATTCCAGTGCCAGGGATCGAACCCAGGGCCTTGAACATGCCAGGCAAGTGCTCTATCACTGAGCTCCATCCCAGCCCTAGGTTTTTTGAGGCAGGGTCTCGCCATGTAGCTCAGGCTGGTCTTGAACTTGCAATCCTCCTAACTCAGCCATCTGAGTACTGGAATTGCAGCGGTATGAACTTTTAATGGTTGCTTTGAAGCCTGGGTTAAATCAACATCCGTGGCACCTAAAGACAGCTTCCATTAGCTGTTTCGCTCCTCAGTTTGGGCCATGCTTTTCTGTTTCTTTGGTTGAATGCTGGACATTTAAGTGAATCCATTGTGGCAACTCTGATTTCACCTCCCAGCTGTGGTTATTGTTTGTATATTTCTTTAGCAACTTTCTTAGACTAACTCTGTGAAGTCTGGGATCTGTGGCACTTGACTTCCCAGCCCCTCTTCATGCTGTCAGAGCTGATGCTGCAGCCTTCCCTACCCAGTGGCTGTGGGCCTTCCCCAGACTCAGTGTCTACACTGCACATTCATACTCTCCTGGGTGCCATCTCTGGCCCAGCCAGCTGCATGACTCCACTAACAGTGTCTCTTTCTGCAGTGTCTGGCCGACAGCTGCAGCCTGAGGGGCCTGATGCAGAGACTGAAGAGAACCACTCTGTAAGTGAGACCCAAGGAGGAAGCCTGTCCTCCTCAGGCCCTGCCCCCATCCTTTCTTGGGCTTGAAAGTGTTGGAAGAGACTGGTGGCTGAAGATAGTTCCATTCTTCCTTCCACCAGGTGACTGAAGGGCCTACGGATGAGATCATTAGACCACGGCCACAGGGGTCCTCACCTGTCTATGAATACACGGCTGAGGGTGCTGGCTTTGGAGTCCAGGTAGGCTTGTGGGGCTGAGCCTCCCACTGATAGAAGGCCCAGGTATGAGGCTACAGGCACCCACGTACCCTCCTGAGTCTCCTGGTGTGGGTGACCCACATGCTATCTGTGTGGCCTGCTGCCCAGGGCCAAAGCTAAGCCCATTCAGCCTCTGCGTCCCCAGGTAGTCTGCTGTTTGACTGGCCAAGCAACAGTGGAGATGAGGACACTTCAGCTCTCACAACTGTGTGTGTGGTGGGGACAGCCCAAGCTTCCATGTGTGGGGCATGGCAGGGGCCTGACATGGGTGCATACACACATCTGTGTGGCACACTCTCACTGTCTTTGGGAAGAAGGTCCTGGAGCTGCCTCGTGAGGGGGACCGAGGGCAGCCATCAGAGGATGTGTGTCTTACCCGTCACTCATTTTTGTACTGTTTGAAGCTCTTCCCCTTCTATAGTATCTCCCGTTGCCATGGTTTGCCCATGGAACAATGGCTGGGTCTTTCAGGATGCAGGAGGCTGAGGGTCATCTTTCCTGGTAGGCCCCAAGGGACACAACTCCTCTATATACGCAGCACCCCTGGAAATCTGGACCCCTCTACACTGTGGTCTCCTGGTTGGTGCTTCCCTGGTCCTCTAGTCCCCCACAGATGGTAACTTCCAACCCTCTGTCTGTAGGAAAACGTCCCGGGCAGACGAACTTCAGGGAGACGTAGGTCCTGGTGGAAGCGGCACTCAGGGGACTCGCCGGCCTTTTCCAGCATGAGTAATCCAGAGGTGTGTGTGACGGGAGAGAGGGACAAGGAGGCAACCCCTCTATGGAGGCTCTAGCAGTTCCTAGGTCCATCAGGCCTGGGAGGGACAGTATGGCACAGGCTGGCCTCTGCTCTCTGATGAAGTCAGAGTCTAGGCTGGGCGGGCCTGAGTGTGCAGGACTCAGTGTTCTTACCCACACAGTGGGGCTGCTCGTGCTCTTGCTGCATAGGTTGTGGGGAGGAAAGGTGGGCAGTACACAGGCTGCAGCTGTGGGAGGTTCGGTTCGGAGGAGGCCCAGCGAGGGGTACTCTGGCTACAAGGCAGCCTGCTCTTTCCTGGGTGGCTGTGGCTAGTTGACATGGACCACATGGTTTCCTGTGTTTTCCTCCATGTTTATGTCCTCTTTGATTGAGTACTGAGTGCCTTGCCTGTGATGGGTGTACCCTATGTTTGTAATGAGTAAACAAAGAACTCGCTAGAGGAAGGCCGAGGCAGCCTCCCCTCTCCTCGAGGCCTGAGTGGTCATGGACAGACCATTCTTAAGTCCTGCAGGTGGAGCAGGGAGAGGAGGCTGCCTGTAGCTGGCCTCCTCTAAGCTCAGACACCATAACCTGGCCCACCTGCTGGGCCAGTGCCCCCACCTCTGCCGGGGGCAATAGGGGCTCCATTGTCAGGAGATACTGGCCCTCAGCTGTTATGCTCAGGTGGCCGGGCAAATCCTCACCATGGTTCTGATGTGCTTCTGCTATAGGCTGTGCAGGAGGCCACAGAGGTGACGCTGAAGACAGAGGTGGAGGCAGGAGCCACTGGCTACAGTGTTACAGGTGGCGGGGACCAGGGAATATTTGTCAAGCAAGTGCTAAAGGACTCCCCGGCCGACACGCTCTTCAGCTTGAGAGAAGGTGCCACAGCCTACCCGTCCCTGGGGTCTCTGTCATCAACACTGGGATGGGGGGACATAGAGGAACCTGGAAGGGGACTGGGCCTTACCTGGAGCTCAGGATGGCCCCTCACATCTTGGCTTGACCACTAGGCTGGGGCCACCTTGCACCCTCATGTCTCATTTGTGACCCGAGGTGCTGGGGGTTGGGCTGGGCAGATGCAGGAGGACTTCCTCTGGCCCCTCGTCCACACAGGATGAGCCCTGGGGCACTGAATCCCAGCTGTTCCTTCCTCCTCTAGGGGATCAGCTGCTCAGCACAACAATCTTCTTTGACGACATTAAATATGAAGATGCTTTCAAAATCCTTCAGTACTCAGAACCATACAAGGTTCAGTTCAAAATCAAACGGAAACTCCCTGCCAGCAAGGAAGACGAGTGGGCTGCCCTCTACCCTCAGCAAGTTTCAAAGGGCAAGGAGAAGAAGCAGGTGAGGCTCTGCCCACCAAAGTGGCCCGAGGCTACTTTGGCTGCACCGTAAATCCTGTGTCTTCCACACAGGGCCTCAGGCTCCCATACTCAAACCAAATAGTTCCCTCTCACTGTGTTTCAGGACAAGGATGTTGCTGATGGGTGCACAGAGACCCCCACAAAGTCAGTGGAGGCAGATGGAGACCGAGAGAGACTCATCTCCAAGTCCAGAGTGGGCCGAAGCAGGCGGCCACAGGACAGGCTCTCCTGGCCAAAATTTCAAGCCATAAGGAGCAGACGAGGAGCCAGACCGCGGCGCTCACACAGTTCCTCAGAGGCCTATGAGCAAGCGGACACTTCTGACGTGTCCCCAACGAATACAGACACAGAGGCTCAGCAGCCAGCTGAACACTGGGAGCAGAAGCAATGCAAGGCAGTCAGAGGAAGAGATTCCTAAACCTGAGGTTCAGGATGGGCTTGGGGCAGGACCGTTCTACCGCACAGCAACCAGGTGGACAGGCCCAAGATGTTCCTGCTGAGGTGCTGGAGCACGTGGAGTCCTGGGATGATGAGCAACAAGACATAAAGACAGCTGAAGGAGGCAGGAGTGAAGAGAGGACACTGATGACAGAAGCCATCCCTGCTCTGACCACTCAGCTGTCAATGGAACCTGGCATTCTGATCCTTGGAGAGGGGGACTCTAGAGAAGGGGAAAGCAGGGTAGACAGGAGAAAAGGAAGACAGAGCAGGCAAAGACCCAAGAAAAGGCAAGACACACACCGAACCGGTACCCAGTCAACCTTAAGAACAAGCTGGAAGGATGAACAGGATGGAGTGGAGAGTCTGGAAATGGGAATTTGCCAGGTTGTCTCTGCAAGATAAATCTGAGGAAGGCAGCCCACAAAGATACCCACCAGACACTCAGGTCAGAATACGCCATCTAAAGACACCCAAATTTGGGTTTGCCAAAGAAAACATGTTAGAGTCAGAAAGAAGGGCAGCTACCACAGAGCTAGCACAGAAGCAGCTTAAAGACTCTAGAGTGAAGACGGCAACAAGAGACAGACAGGGAAAGAGATACAGGAGCTGGTGATAGTGAACCCAAGAAGCACATGCTAGGACAAGAGGACAGAAGAACACAGAGGACACAGCACAGAAGGGGCAAGAACATACCCAAGAGGAGGAGGAGGAAGATAGAAAAACAGAGAGGACAAGTAAGGACGAAAATACCCAAATTAAAAAATGCCAACATTTGGGTGGTCACCCTCAAAGGAACGACAACAAAGCAAAGAAAAAACTGCGCAAGTGTATGAAAGTGAAAGAATAGAACAAGAAACATTAGGGAATGTCAGAACACAAACACACTCCAAAGACGGAGAAGGGAGGACCAGAAAGAAAACCGAAGAAACAACAAAAATTTTACAAAAACAAAAGGACAGCATGACAAAAGAGATGACCATAACAATGGGAGGGATGGAGGATGCCACCAAAGAAGACAAGTTCAAAATGCCAAAGCTCAGCACACCCTCTCTCGGGGTGTTGGCCCCTGGAAAGAGCATGGAGGCTCACTGGAGGTGTTGGCCCCAAAGGTCCAGGAAGACATAAGCCAGCCCTCAATCCCAGGTGACCACAAGACCAAGGACTTCAGTTTTGAGCTCCCTTCTGCTGACCTGGAGGTCAAGGCTGGCCAAGTGAACGTGAAGATCCAAGAGGGCCAGCTGCCCGAGGGAGAACTGGAAGGCCAGGCTGCTGGAGAGAGCCTAAAAGGCCTCCTGCCCAAGGTGCAGATGCCCAGCCTCAAGATTCCCACAGTGGACATCAAGGGCACCAAGGAGGATCAGAAAGGCACCAAAGGCGAGGATAGCCCCAATGTGGACGTGCCAGCCTGGAGGTGGACATCCAAGCTCCCGGAGCCAAGCTGGAGGGGAACCTGGCCCTGGCAGACAAGGACATGGCTGCCAAAGACAGCAAGTTCAAAATGCCCAAGTTCAAGATGCCCTCATTCGGGGTGTCGAAACCTGGTAAGGGCATGGAGACCTCACTGGAGGTGTCAGCCCCCAAGGTCAAGGCGGACGTGGCCCTGCCCTCCATCCAGAGTGATCTCAAGACCACTGACATCAGTGTGGAGTTCCCTTCTACTGACCTGGTAGTCGAGGCTGGCAAGGTGGACGTGAAGCTCCCAGAGGGCCAACTGCCCAAGAGAGAGATGGCAGGCCAGGCTGCAGGAACCACCCTGAAAGACCACTTGCCCAAGGTGCATCAGAGCATCAAGATGCCCAAAGTTGACCTCAAGGGCCCCCAGGTGGAAATCAAGGGACCCAATGTGGTCATGAAAGGCCCCAAGGGCAAGGTGAACAAACCTGAGCTAGACGTGCCCAGCCTGGAGATGGATGTCCAGGCTCCCGGAGCCAGGCTGGAGGGGGACCTGGCCATGGAAGACAAGGACCTGGCCGCCAAAGACAGCAAGTTCAAAATGCCCAAGTTCAAGATGCCCTCCTTTGGGGTGTCCGCCCCCGGAAAGAGCATGGAGGCCTCAATGGAGGTGTCGGCCCCCAAGGTCCAGGCAGATGTGGCCCTGCCCTCCATCCAGGGTGACCTCAAGATCACCGACACTAGAGTTGAACTCCCTTCTGCTGACCTGGAGTTCAAGACTGGCCAAGAGGATGTTAAACTCCCGGAGGGCCAGAGGCCTGAGGGAGAGCTGACCAGTCAGGCTGCTGGAGCTGGCCTGAAAGGCCACCTGCCCAAGGTGCAGATGCCCAGCCTAAAGACACCTAAAGTGGACATCAAGGGCCCAAAGCTGGACGTGAAAGGCCCCAAGGGCAAGGTGAGCGCATCTGAGCGGGACATGTCCAGCCTGGATGTGGACATTCAAGTCCCTGGAGACAACCTGAAGGGGGACCTGGCCCAGGCAGACAAGGACATGGCCACCAAAGACAGGAAATTCAAAATGCCCAAGTTCAAGATGCCCTCCTTCGGGGTGTTGGCCCCTGGCAAGGACATGGAGGCCTCGCTGGAGGTGTCAGCCCAAAAGGTCCAGGCAGATGTGGTCCTGCCCTCCATCCAGGGTGATCTCAAGATCACCGACACTAGCGTTGAACTCCCTTCTGCTGAACTAGAGGTCAAGGATGGCCAGGTGGACGTGAGGCTCCCAGAGGGCCAGCTGCCCCAGGGTGAACTGGCTGAGCACACTGCTGGAAAAGATCTGAAAGGGCACCTGCCCAAGTTGCAGATACTTGGCCTCAAGATGCCCAAAGTGGAGATCAAGGGTCCCCAGGTGGATATCAAGGGATCCAAGGTAGACATGAATAGCCCCAAAGGCAAGGTGAGCACCCCTGAACTGGAGGTGGACATCCAGGCTCCAAGAGCCAAGCCACAGATGGACCAGGCACTGGCAGACAAGGACATGGCCGCCAAAGACAGCAAGTTCAAAAGGCCCAAGTTCAAGATGCCCTCATTTGGGGTGCCGGCCCCTGGCAAGGACATGGAGGCCTCGCTGGAGATATCAGCCCCAATGATCCAGGCAGATGTGGCCTTGCCCTCCATCCAGGGTGATCTCAAGATCACCGACACTAGCGTTGAACTCCCTTCTGCTGACCTAGAGGTCCAGGATAGCCAGGTGGACATGAGGCTCCCAGAGGGTCAGCTGCTCCAGGGTGAACTGGCTGAGCACGCTGCTGGAGCTGGCCTGAAAGGGCACCTGCCCAAGTTGCAGATACCCGGCATCAAGATGCCCAAAGTAGAGATCATGGGTCCCAGGTGGACATCAAGGGATCAAGGTAGACATGAAAAGCCCCAAGGGAAAGGTGATCACCCCTGAACTGGAAGTGGATATCCAGGCTCCCGGAGCCAAGCTGGAGATGGACCAGGCACTGGCAGAAAAAGATGTGGCCACCAAAGACAGCAAGTTCAAAATGCCCAAGTTCAAGATGCCCTCTTTCGGGTGCCGGCCCCGGGCAAGACCATGGAGGCCTTGCTGGATGTGTCGGCCCCCAAGATCCAAGAGGATGTGCCCCTGCCATCCATTCAAGCTGAGCTAAAGACCACTGACGTCAGCCTTGAACTCCCTCTGCTGGGCTAGACATCAAGACTGGCCAGGAGGATGTTAAACTCCCAGAGGGCCAACTGCCCGAGGGAGAGCTGGTTGGCCAGGCTACTGGAGCTGGCCTAAAAGGCCACCTGCCCAAGGTGCAGATGCCCAGCCTCAAGATTTCTAAAGTGGACCTCAAGGGACCCCAGGTAGACATCAAAGGACCCAAGGTGGACATCAAGGGATCCAAGGTAGACATGAAAGGCCCCACTGGTGAAGTGAGCACCCCTAAACTGGAGGTGGACATCCAGGTGCCCAGAGCCAAGCTGGAGGGGGACCTGGCCCTGGCAGAAAAGGACCTGGCTGCCAAAGACAGCAAGTTCAAAATGCCCAAGTTCAAGATGCCCTCTTTTGGGGTATCAGCCCCCGGCAAGGGCATGGAGGCCTCAGTGGAGGTGTCGGCCCCCAAGATCCAAGAGGATGTGCCCCTGCCCTCCATCCAAGCCAAGCTAAAGAGCACTGATGTCAGTCTTGAACTCCCCTCTGCTGAGCTAGACATCAAGACTGGCCAGGAAGATGTTAAATTCCTGGAGGGTGAGCTGCCGGAGGGAGAGCTTGTTGGCCAGGCTACTGGAGCTGAGCTGAAAGGCCACCTGCCCAAGGTGCAGATGCCCAGCCTCAAGATGCCTCAAGTGGACCTCAAGGGACCCCAGGTAGACATCAAGGGCCCAAAGTGGACATGAAAGGCCCTAAGGGTGATGTGAGCACATCTGAGTTGGACATGCCCAGCCTGGAGGTGGACTTCCAGGCTCCCGGAGCCAAGCTGGAGGGGGACCTGGCCCTGGCAGAAAAGGACCTGGCTGCCAAAGACAGCAAGTTCAAAATGCCCAAGTTCAAGATGCCCTCTTTTGGGGTATCAGCCCCCGGCAAGGGCATGGAGGCCTCAGTGGAGGTGTCGGCCCCCAAGATCCAAGAGGATGTGCCCCTGCCGTCCATCCAAGCCGAGCTAAAGACCACTGACGTCAGCCTTGAGCTCCCCTCTGCTGAGCTAAAGATCAAGACTGGCCAGGAAGATGTTAAATTCCTGGAGGGTGAGCTGCCCGAGGGAGAGCTTGTTGGCCAGGCTACTGGAGCTGAGCTGAAAGGCCACCTGCCCAAGGTGCAGATGCCCAGCCTCAAGATGCCTCAAGTGGACCTCAAGGGACCCCAGGTAGACATCAAGGGCCCCAAAGTGGACATGAAAGGACCCAAGGGCGAGGTGAGCACATCTGAGTTGGACATGCCCAGCCTGGAGGTGGACTTCCAGGCTCCCGGAGCCAAGCTGGAGGGGGACCTGGCCCTGGCAGAAAAGGACCTGGCTGCCAAAGACAGCAAGTTCAAAATGCCCAAGTTCAAGATGCCCTCCTTCAGGGTTTCTGCCCCTGGCAAGGGCACGGAGGCCTCAGTGGAGGTGTCGGCCCCCAAGATCCAAGAGGATGTGCCCCTGCCGTCCATCCAAGCCGAGCTAAAGACCACTGACGTCAGCCTTGAACTCCCCTCTGCTGAGCTAAAGATCAAGACTGGCCAGGAAGATGTTAAATTCCTGGAGGGTGAGCTGCCTGAGGGAGAGCTTGTTGGCCAGGCTACTGGAGCTGAGCTGAAAGGCCACCTGCCCAAGGTGCAGATGCCCAGCCTCAAGATGCCTCAAGTGGACCTCAAGGGACCCCAGGTAGACATCAAGGGCCCCAAAGTGGACATGAAAGGCCCCAAGGGCGAGGTGAGCACATCTGAGTTGGACATGCCCAGCCTGGAGGTGGACTTCCAGGCTCCCGGAGCCAAGCTGGAGGGGGACCTGGCCCTGGCAGAAAAGGACCTGGCTGCCAAAGACAGCAAGTTCAAAATGCCCAAGTTCAAGATGCCCTCCTTCGGGTTGTCAGCCCCTGGAAAGGGCACGGAAGCCTCGTTGAAGGTGTCGGACCCCAAGGTCCAGACAGATGTGGCCCTGCCCCTCATCCAGTGCGACCTCCAGACCACTGATGTCACTGTTGAACAACCTCCTGCTGACCTGGAGTTCAAAGCTGGCCAGCTGGATGTGAAACTTCCGGAACGCCAGCTGCCCGAGGGAGAGCCGGTTGGCCAGGCTACTGGCGTTGGCCTGAAAGGCCACCTGCCCAAGGTGCAGATGCCCAGCCTCAAGATTTCTAAAGTGGACCTCAAGGGACCCAATGTAGACACCAAGGGCCCCAAGGTGGATGTGAAAGGCCCCAAGGGTGATGTGAGCACATCTGATTTGGACATGCCCAGCCTGGAGGTGGACATCAAGGCTCCAGGAGCCAAGCTGGAGAGGGACCTGGCACTGGCAGACAAGGACATGACCTCCAGAGACAGCAAGTTCAAAATGCCCAAGTTCAAGATGCCCTCCTTTGGGGTATCTGCCCCTGGCAAGGACACAGAGGCCTCACTAGAGGTGTCAGCCCCCAAAGTCCAGGCAGATGTGGCCCTGCCCTCCATCTTGGGCGACATAGAGACCACTGACTTCAGTGTTGAGTTCCCTTCTGCCGACCTGGAGTTCAAGGCTTGCCAGCTGGATGTGAGGATCCAAGAGGGCCAAAAGCACAAGGGAGAACTGGAAGGCAAGGCTGCTGGAGCCAGCCACAAAGGCCACCTGCACAAAGTGCAGATGCCAAGCATGAAGATGACCAAAGTGGACCTCAAGGGCCCCCAGATGGAAGGGAAAGGCCCCAAGGGCGAGGTGAGCACTTCTGAGTTGGACATGCCTAGCCTGGAGGTGGACATCAAGGCTCCCGGAGCCAAGCTGGAGGGGGACCTGTCCCCGGCAGACAAGGACATGGCCGCCAAAGACAGCAAGTTCAAAATGCCCAAGTTCAAGATGCCGTCCTTCGGGGTGTCCGCCCCCGGAAAGAGCATGGAGGCCTCAGTGGAGGTGTCGGCCCCCAAGATCCAAGAGGATGTGCCCCTGCCCTCCATCCAAGCCGAGCTAAAGACCACTGACGTCAGCCTTGAACTCCCCTCTGCTGAGCTAGACATCAAGACTGGCCAGGAGGATGTTAAATTCCTGGAGGGCCAGCTGCTCGAGGGAGAGCTGGTTGGACAGGCTACTGGATCTGGCCTGAAAGACCACCTGCCCAAAGTGCAGATGACCAGCCCCAAGATGCCTAAAGTGGGCCTCAAGGGACCCCAGGTAGACATCAAAGGACCCAAGGTGGACATCAAGGGATCCAAGGTAGACATGAAAGGCCCCACTGGTGAAGTGAGCACCCCTAAACTGGAGGTGGACATCCAGGCGCCCAGAGCCAAGCTAGAAGGGGACCTGGCCCTGGCAGACAAGGACATGGCCGCCAAAGACAGCAAGTTCAAAATGCCCAAGTTCAAGATGCCCTCTTTTGGGGTATCAGCCCCCGGCAAGGGCATGGAGGCCTCAGTGGAGGTGTCGGCCCCCAAGATCCAAGAGGATGTGCCCCTGCCGTCCATCCAAGCCGAGCTAAAGACCACTGACGTCAGCCTTGAGCTCCCCTCTGCTGAGCTAAAGATCAAGACTGGCCAGGAAGATGTTAAATTCCTGGAGGGTGAGCTGCCGGAGGGAGAGCTTGTTGGCCAGGCTACTGGAGCTGAGCTGAAAGGCCACCTGCCCAAGGTGCAGATGCCCAGCCTCAAGATGCCTCAAGTGGACCTCAGTGGACCCCAGGTAGACATCAAGGGCCCCAAGGTGGACGTGAAAGGCCCCAAGGGTGATGTGAGCACATCTGATTTGGACATGCCCAGCCTGGAGGTGGACATCAAGGCTCCAGGAGCCAAGCTGGAGAGGGACCTGGCACTGGCAGACAAGGACATGACCTCCAGAGACAGCAAGTTCAAAATGCCCAAGTTCAAGATGCCCTCCTTTGGGGTATCTGCCCCTGGCAAGGACACAGAGGCCTCACTAGAGGTGTCAGCCCCCAAAGTCCAGGCAGATGTGGCCCTGCCCTCCATCTTGGGCGACATAGAGACCACTGACTTCAGTGTTGAGTTCCCTTCTGCCGACCTGGAGTTCAAGGCTTGCCAGCTGGATGTGAGGATCCAAGAGGGCCAAAAGCACAAGGGAGAACTGGAAGGCAAGGCTGCTGGAGCCAGCCACAAAGGCCACCTGCACAAAGTGCAGATGCCAAGCATGAAGATGACCAAAGTGGACCTCAAGGGCCCCCAGATGGAAGGGAAAGGCCCCAAGGGCGAGGTGAGCACTTCTGAGTTGGACATGCCTAGCCTGGAGGTGGACATCAAAGCTCCCGGAGCCAAGCTGGAGGGGGACCTGTCCCCGGCAGACAAGGACATGGCCGCCAAAGACAGCAAGTTCAAAATGCCCAAGTTCAAGATGCCGTCCTTCGGGGTGTCCGCCCCCGGAAAGAGCATGGAGGCCTCAGTGGAGGTGTCGGCCCCCAAGATCCAAGAGGATGTGCCCCTGCCGTCCATCCAAGCCGAGCTAAAGACCACTGACGTCAGCCTTGAGCTCCCCTCTGTTGAGCTAAAGATCAAGACTGGCCAGGAAGATGTTAAATTCCTGGAGGGTGAGCTGCCGGAGGGAGAGCTTGTTGGCCAGGCTACTGGAGCTGAGCTGAAAGGCCACCTGCCCAAGGTGCAGATGCCCAGCCTCAAGATGCCTCAAGTGGACCTCAAGGGACCCCAGGTAGACATCAAGGGCCCCAAAGTGGACATGAAAGGACCCAAGGGCGAGGTGAGCACATCTGAGTTGGACATGCCCAGCCTGGAGGTGGACTTCCAGGCTCCCGGAGCCAAGCTGGAGGGGGACCTGGCCCTGGCAGAAAAGGACCTGGCTGCCAAAGACAGCAAGTTCAAAATGCCCAAGTTCAAGATGCCCTCCTTCGGGGTGTCCGCCCCCGGCAAGGACATGGAAGCCTCGCTGGAGGTGTCGGCCATAAAGGTCCAGGCGGACGTGGCCCTGTCCTCCATCCAGGGTGATCTCAAGATCACCGACACTAGTGTTGAACTCCCTTCCGCTGAGCTGGAGTTCAAGACTGGCCAGGAGGACGTGAAGCTCCTGCAGGGCCAGCTGCCCGAGGGAGAGCTTGTTGGCCAGGCTACTGGAGCTGAGCTGAAAGGCCACCTGCCCAAGGTGCAGATGCCCAGCCTCAAGATGCCTCAAGTGGACCTCAAGGGACCCCAGGTAGACATCAAGGGCCCCAAAGTGGACATGAAAGGCCCTAAGGGTGATGTGAGCACATCTGAGTTGGACATGCCCAGCCTGGAGGTGGACTTCCAGGCTCCTGGAGCCAAGCTGGAGGGGGACCTGGCCCTGGCAGAAAAGGACCTGGCTGCCAAAGACAGCAAGTTCAAAATGCCCAAGTTCAAGATGCCCTCTTTTGGGGTATCAGCCCCCGGCAAGGGCATGGAGGCCTCAGTGGAGGTGTCGGCCCCCAAGATCCAAGAGGATGTGCCCCTGCCGTCCATCCAAGCCGAGCTAAAGACCACTGACGTCAGCCTTGAACTCCCCTCTGCTGAGCTAGAGATCAAGACTGGCCAGGATGATATTAAATTCCTGGAGGGTGAGCTGCTCGAGGGAGAGCTGGTTGGCCAGGCTACTGGAGCTGGCCTAAAAGACCTCCTGCCCAAGGTGCAGACGCCCAGCCTCAAGATGCCTAAAGTGGACCTCAAGGGACCCCAGGTAGATATCAAAGGCCCAAAGGTGGACATTAAGGGTTCCAAGGTAGACATGAAAGGCCCCACTGGCGATGTGAGCACCCCTGAACTGGAGGTGGATGTCCAGGCTCCCGGAGCCAAGCTAGAGACGAACCAGGCACTGGCTGAAAAGGACGTGGCCGCCAAAGACAGCAAGTTCAAAATGCCCAAGTTCAAGATGCCCTCCTTCGGGGTGTCGGCCCCTGGCAAGGGCACGGAGGCCTCGCTGAAGGTGTCGGCCTCCAAGGTCCAGACAGACGTGGCCCTGCCCCTCATCCAGGGTGACCTCCAGACTACTGATGTCACCATTGAACAACCTTCTGCTGACCTGGAGTTCAAAGCTGGCCAGCTGGATGTGAAGCTTCTGGAGGGCCAGCTGCCCAAGTGTGAGCTGGTTGGCCAGGCTACTGGAGCCGGCCTGAAAGACCACCTGCCCAAGGTGCAGATGCACAGGTTCGAGATGCCTAAAGTGGACCTCGAGGGACCCAAGCTGGACGTGAAAGGCCCAAAGGGGGATGTGAGCACATCTGAGTTGGACGTGCCCAGTCTGGAGGTGGACATCCAGGCTCCCACAGCCAAGCTAGAGATGGACCAGGCAATGGCAGACAAGGACATGGCCGCCAAAGACAGCAAGTTCAAAATGCTCAAGTTCAAGATGCCATCCTTTGGGGTGTCGGCCCCCGACAAGAGCATGGAGGCCTTGCTGGAGGTGTCTACCCCCAAGGTCCAGGCAGATGTGGCCCTGCCCTCCATTCAGGGCAAGCTAAAGACTACTGACGTCAGCCTTGAACTCCCCTCTGCTGAGCTAGAGATCAAGACTGGCCAGGAGGATGTTAAACTCCCAGAGGGACAGCTGCCCGAGGGAGAGCTGGTTGGCCAGGCTACTGGAGCGGGCCAGAAAGGTCACCTGCCCAACGTGCAGATGCCCGGCCTCAAGATGTCTAAAGTGGACCTCAAGGGACCCCAGGTAGACATCAAGGGCCCCAAGATGGACATGAAATGCCCCAAGGGCGATGTGAGTACATTTGATTTGAAAATGCCCAGCTTGGAGGTGGACATCCAAGCCCCCGGAGCCAAGCTGAAGGAGGACCTGGCTCCGGCTGAAAAGGACCTGGCCACCAAAGACAGCAAGTTCAAAATGCCCAAGTTCAAGATGCCCTCCTTTGGGGTGTCCGCCCCCGGCAAAGACACAGAGACCTCACTGGAGGTGTCTGCCCCGAAGGTCCAGGCTGACGTAGCCCTGTCCTCCATCCAGGGTGATCTCAAGACCACTGACGTGAGCATGGCGCTCCCTTCTGCTGAATTAGAGTTTAAAGCTGGCTATGTGGACGTGAAGCTCCCAGAGGGCCAGCTGCCTGAGGGAGAGCTGACTGGCCAGGCTGCTGGAGCTGGCCTGAAAGACCTCCTGCCCAAGTTGCAGATACCCAGCCTCAAGATGCCCAAAGTGGACATCAAGGGTCCCCAGGTGGACCTCAAGGGTCCTCAGGTGGACATCAAGGGATCCAAGGTAGACATGAAAGGCCCCACTGGCAAGGTAAGCACCCCTGAACTAGATGTGGACATCCAGGCTCCCAGAGCCAAGCTAGAGATGGACCAGGCAGTGGCTGAAAAGGACCTGGCCGCCAAAGACAGCAAGTTCAAAAGGCCCAAGTTCAAGATGCCCTCCTTCGGGGTGTCCACCCCTGGCAAGGGCATGGAGGCCTCTCTGGCCTCCAAAGTCCAGACAGACGTGGCCCTGAACCTCATCCAGGGTGACCTCCAGACTACTGATGTCACCGTTGAACAACCTTCTGCTGACCTGGAGTTCAAAGCTGGCCAGCTGGATGTGAAGCTCCTGGAGGGTCAGCTGCCCGAGGGAGAGCTGGTTGGCCAGGCTACTGGAGCCGGCCTGAAAGGCCACCCGCCCAAGGTACAGATACCCACCCTCAAGATCCCCAAAGTGGACCTCAAGGGACCCCAGGTGGACATCAAGGACTCCAGGGTGGATGTGAAAGGCCCCAAGGGTGAGGTGAGTGCCCCTCAGGTGGTGATGCCCAGCCTTGAGATGGATATCCAGGCTCCCGGAGCCAAGCTGGATGGGGACCTGGGCCCAGCAGACAAGGACGTGGTCTTCAAAGACAGCAAGTTCAAAATGCCCAAGTTCAAGATGCCCTCCTTCGGCTTGTCTACCTCTGGAAAGTCTTCGGAGCCTTGTGTTCTTTCTGGTTATAAAGTTACTTCTGTTCCATCTTTCCCCCCATCTTCTCTTGACTCCCCTCTGTCCTCTGAATGTTTTGCAGAACCTCATTGCCTTTCTGATGCTTCTTCTGCAGTCTTTGATAGTTCTGTCCATGTGTGCACTTCAGACATATTACCAGCCTCGTCTCGTGATAGTCAGTCTAGTCCCATTCATCCTGTGCCTCCTTCATTTCATTTTCGTGTTACATTTCCTAAATTTCATAAACCAAAATTTGCTTTTGAAGCCCCAAGTACATCAGTTTCAAATTTAGACTCAGGTATTGCAGATCATGATGTCGTTCTGTCTCCTGTTAGCCCTGGGCAGGTGCAGGACTCCTCAGGTGAGAGAATCAAGGTTCCCCTACTGTCATGTTCTCAGGACATGTCCACTGATGTCCCTGTTTACCAGTCAATGGAGGAGCACTCTAGCCAGTCAGGAGCTGGAGCCACTGCTGCACTTCCTGACCAGGATGGGAAGGGGAGTCCCTTCAAGTTGTCCCACTTCCAACTTCCATCATTCAGCCTATCTCCAAAGAAGGAGGTAGAACTGACAGTGGTTCCTGAGTACCACCTGGAAGATCCCACACTTAGCGTGGTTTTGTCTAGTGATCAAATGGACTCCCAGACTACTGGTCACGTTTCCCAAATGGAAGCACACCCAGATCTACTTACAGACAAGGAAGGAGAGAAGGGAAAAAGCAAGAAGCCTGGGTTCACCATGCCAAGGCTAGCCCTTCCTAAGCTGAAGCCTTCTAAGGGGTGGACCATCCTGCCTCAGGGAGATGTGGAGACACTTCATCCGGTTGGAGGTGACTCTGAAGCCTCAGAAAGTGAAAGCAGCGGTGGTGTTGGTGAGGGCACTGGCACAAAGGAGGGCCCCTTGGAAGGAGAGCATATAAACCTCCAGCTACCGCAGGTCTGCATTCCCAGTTTGGACTTTGCCAAACCTGGTCTCACAGCCTCTATGGCCAAGGTGGAGGTGAGCCAATGTAAAGCTGACCTGCCTCTTCCCAAACATGACTCGGCTGTCACAGGTGGCAGCAAAGGAGTTGGGCTTGAGGGCGACTCGGCAAGCCAGTCCTGTGGGGAGGGGACAGCCCCTACAACAGATGATCCTCTGCAGCCATCCTGTAGACAACCAGATGATGTCCCCACCATGGAAAGGCCAGAGGAAGATGCCACAGTGGGAGATATGCCGGCAGACTCACACGGGCGCTGGTTCAAAATGCCCAAGTTCTACTTGCCTGGCTTCAGGAGGTCCTCATCCAAGGATCAAGATGGAGCTAGGGATCAGGAAGCAACTCAGATGCACATGTCGGCTGCCACTGCACCAGCAAAGACAGACGCAACAGCCAGAGAGCAGGTGTCCCATATTCCTGGGTCACAAGTGGAGGCAGGGGCAGATGTGACAGCCTCTGAAAGCACAATGTACACAGATGTATTAAGGCACGATCCCCACAGCACAGATCTGAAACTGCACCTCCCCACTGCTAGGATGTCACAGATGGATCTGCCCACCTCTGAGATCAGGATCCAGCCAGCTGAGGGCTCCCTCTCCATTCAGATGCCTGGTGTGAGATGGTCAGAACCCCAGGTCCCTCCAGAAGGAGTGGGTAAGTGGCTTCAGCCTGAAACAGAAGGACACGACCTTGCCAAGGTAGAGAAGAGAACAGAGACATGGTCTTCCCAACCTGAAGGGCCTCTGAAACTGAAGGCTTCCAGTGCTGATGTGCCATCCCAAATCTCCATAGTGAACACGGGGCAGCTCTGGGAAGATTCTGTGCTAACGGTCACGTTCCCCAAATTAAACGTACCCAGGTTCTCCTTTCCTGCCCCCAGCTCTGAGGATGACATATTCTTCCCTGTCGTAAGGAAAGTGCAGGATGCAGAGGCCAGTGTTCACACTGCTCTTTGTCAGGATGGCCCTGGGCTCTGGGGAGCCAGCCTCCTGAAGACAGGTGCTGAGGACACCAGAGAGCAGCCTGCAAGCCCTGACCTTCCTCTGGAGGCTTCCCCAGTTTCTAAAGTCAGAGTGCATATTCAGGGAGCTCAGGGTAAAAGTCAAGAGGTCATCATCCGCAGCAGGGTGACACAAGAGTATGCTGATCTCGCTGTGCCTGAGGCCTTTTCCACTCAGATTGTGCGGGAATCAGAGATCCCCGTGTCAACGATTCAGACTCCTTCTTACGGGTTTTCCTTGCTGAAGGTGAAAGTCCCAGAGCCCTCCATGCCAGCTAGCGTGTGCACAGTGGCTCTAGACTCTGGGGCTTTGGAGGGCTTGGGTGAAGCTCCCACACCAACCATCCCAGGAGCAGACCTTCTTCCTGGAGATCTCCAGTCTGAAGCTACAGAGCCCTTTGAGATGATCTCTGCCAGTGTCAACCTGCCAGGGCTGCAAACATTCACGTCTGAGGTTCGTTCTGGCCCCCAGCTTGCAGACAGTGGCTCAGATGAGGAGCCAGCGGAAATCCTTGAGTTTCCTGATGATAGCCAGGAGGTAAAGACCTCGCTGTCAGATGAAGACAGGGCTCCAAAAGAGAAGCCAGAAAGTAAGAAGTCTTCTGGTTTATTGTGGTCTTGGCTTCCAAGCATTGGGTTCTCCTCTGTTGATGAGACCAGCTCAGATTCCAGAGACGATGCCAGAAGATCTGCTCCCATCCAAACACAGCCTATGGCCCAGCCAGACACAGAGCAGCCCAAGAAACAGGAGAGGGCTGGCTGGTTCCGGTTTCCAAAGTTAGGGTTCTCATCACCTACCAAGAAGAGCAAAAGCAGCGAAGATGAGGCAGACTTAGCAGAGCAAAGGCTCCAGGAGGAAGTGGTCACCTTTTTTGATGCCCGAGAGAGCCTCTCTCCTGAAGAAGATGAGGACTGTGAACGGGCAGCAGGGGCTGCGGGCAGCAGGCAGGAATCCAGAGTGATGGTGACATCCCCAGCAAGAACGGAGCTTGTACTGCAAGAGCAGGGCAAAAATGCTGGTGATGACTCTGCACCCAAGCCCATGGCCAAATGAATGCCAGAGAATTGGTAGAGGAGAATTGGAGGACAGGGGCCAGACACCTGTGTGGAGCACCCCACCCTGGCTAGTGCATGACGTCCCCCTTGCCTTGATCTACAAAACTGAGAATGAAGAAGAAATGAACAAGAATGTTGTGTCACATTACACAGCTCTCCTAAAATGCAAACAAAAATGTGCCAGCTCCCTCTAAGCTTTGGAAGCAAAGGATGCAGAATCCACTCAGCGTCACCGGCTCTTGGAGCTGCTGCTGGAATAGCCCCAAGAGGCCTGACTAATGCCTGGAGGCCAGGGTCTGATGGCTGCGGCTATAGAGCAGTTTCTGGTGGAACCTCTACCCTACTGTTCCTCTTTCCCGGTGAACGCAGTTTTCCTCTTTCAAACAGAGTATAGTGTGTTCTGGGAAACCTGTTCCCCACTCACTCGCAAAGCTTTCTCCTTTGTTGACTGTCTCGCTAATTAATGGCAAGCTTTGGGATGCTGTGTGTAATGGTGGACATGGCCAGTGGCTGACTCTGGTTGTGCCAAGTGGCAACTGTAGGCAGGGTGAGCTAGCAGAGGTCAAGACACCTGGGAGTTTTCTGAGACCCTGATGCCATGCCACTTGTCTGGCAGTGTCCAGCATTTTCTCCAGTGTGCACAGTCCTGTGCTGTGGCCCCTGAGCCCATCAATGTATACACCACAGCCATGTAGCAGATGGACCTGCTTAGCTGGCCTCTAATGGGCAATAAAGGAAGTGATGCACTCCATGGTCCAGGCTACTGTGTTCTTTTGTTCTAGAGTCTCCACTCCTCAATGCATTTGTTTTCCTCCCATGCACCCCAGTTCTCATCTCTACCACACTGCTCTAGAAACTGGAGTTGAGGTGTGTCTTAGAGTGTCTGTCACTTTGCATTTGTTTGTCCAGGTCCTCAGCCAAAGATGTGAGGGAGACAAGGAAGAAAAAGATGGCACCCTAAGCTCGTGTGGGGCAGGTGTTGATGCACGGGACAGGGACCATAGAGAGCGGTCTTTGGCCTGGAGGCTTGGCAGTGCCCTTGGCCATGATTAGGAACCACCCTCAGAAGCTCCTTCCCCTGGCAGCCTCCTTCCAGGAAGCCCATAGGAAGCCAGTCCAGGTAGGGTAGCAGAGTGAGGTCCAGGGTTTCCTGTAACCTCCCAATTGTCTGAAATGCCCTCCCAGGCTGCGGATGTGCAGTGTTCCCAGGGGGCCACTGGAACCTGGGCCTAACTTCTTCCTGGCTCATTTGGGTTCCTGGTGACAAGTGTTCCGTGAGTTCTATGGGGACTTCTGTTGAATCTGGGCCATGAGCTGCCCTGGAGGACTATAGGCAGAGAAGCCTCCACTCTTTGGGCTGCCCTGAGGGCCGAGAGTGTGGCAGCTCAGGTGTGCAGGAACACAGGACTGGGGAGGAGAGACTGGGTTCTTCTCCCTGCCCCATGTGGGCAGCCATGTCTTTCCCTGTGGCTGTCTGAGAGGGTCACCCATATCAGAAGAGAAGAAAGCTTCTGGAAAAGGAGGCAATGGCCCTCTGGCCCCAATCGGGCAGAGTTGTTGCACTCCCCGTTCAGAGTGTCTTGCCTCCCTCTGGTCCAACTGGTGAGAGCCAGGCAGATTTGCACATGCCCAGTGAGCTCTGCAAGGAATCCACCCATGCCACAGGGCTTCTGTCCCACTCTGAACCTGGAGTCAAGATCTGGAGCAGTGGAACATTGGTGCTGGAGGCCAGAAAGGCAGCTATAACACCACATGAGGAGCAGAGGCCCCCACAGGATTTCTGGGGGCCATGGTCCACTATGAGTGAGTTTTCCATGCTGTGTAAGCATATCATCACAAATTAGTGCCTTAAAACAACACATTACGGTCTCACAGTTTCAGAAGGCTAGAAGTCCATCCATGGTTTAGCTAGGTCCTCTGCTCAGGGACCCGCATGGAAACCATCAAGAGGTCAGCATGGGCTGTGTCTCAATTTCAGACGTGACTGCAGAAAGAATCATTGACATGCAATTGCTGGCACCTTCAAGTCTACTGGAGAAGCATGGGCCTCCAGCAGTTTCTTTCTGGCTGGAGGCCACCCGGACACTGTGCTACCTAGACCTCCCCCACAGGACAGCTCACAGCCTCATAGTTCACTTCATCAAAAGCCATCTTCCCAAGCAGATGATGGCATACTATTATGTCACATAACTAAGGAAGTGACTTCCCATAAACTTTGTGTGTTCTGCTGGTGACAGTAAGGCATAGCTCCTGCCCACATTCAAGGTGAAATTTCACGAGTGTGAATACCGGGAGTCAGATATCATGGGGATTCACTTAGAGTCTATCCACCAATCCCAGAAGAGCCCTGCCATGCCCCCCTCACAGGGTCTCCCAAGCCTTGTCAAGCTGGGTCTCTTTGGAGTCAGCCTCTGAGGCTGGGATTGAGGTATGGCTGCCAGACACAGAGTTTTCAGGACTGAGGGCTGACAGAGTGGCATGGAGCAAGCAGCTCCCCTGGAACATGGCTTCCAGGCCCAGACAGTAGGGGCCAGAAAGTGAACCCACACATGCTACCCTGGAGGGCAGAGCTCAGACTGGGATGGAGTCAGCTCCGGAGCTGCTCTTTGACCAGCAGGAAGTTCTGGAACCTGGGCGGGGGATGGAAGGTGGGAGGGCACCCCACAGCAGCGGCAGAGCTTGGCTTGGTCAAATGCACCTCACACCTAGAGCCTGGGGCCTTGCAGGGCTGCTTGTATCCCTGGTCTCCCACAACCAGACACACTCTCCAGATCCTCACAAATCAGCAGGGATCAGGCTGGGTGTAGAAGAACTGCACACACAGAGATGCTGAGGTCTACGTCTAAGGTGGCTTTTAGATGGGCGGGTCCAAGGGCATGGATGAAACAGCAAGAACTTCTACTGTGCCTGGTGTGAACTGTGCTAATTCTCCCCAGAGCACAGCCGGCTAAGGGAGGGCAGGGAAGAGGCACTCAAGACCATGGAACAGTATGCACCTGGCATCCCTCAGCATCCAGTGTCTTTCACACCATAGGACTGTCCCTGGGCTCCAACCCAGTGTGGCCTCTGGACCTTGTGCCAGGAAAGGTAGGCCCCGAGTCTTGGTCAAAACCACGCAGTAAGAGGTCAAGTGCTGAGAGAGGCTCTGATCCAGCACTCACAGGAGGCGCTCAGAGTCCAGTTCCAAACACCAGGGTCACATCCTGCCTCTACACCTAGGATAGAGTGGGCCCAGTGGCGCTGCATCCAGCTCTAGCCTAGCTTGGTGGCACCTTCCTGCCCCCCAGATCAAATGCCAGTTCTCTGCTCTCCACCCAGTGGGTGAAACCTGGGACCTGTGTCATGCACAATCCTGGCCCCACAGCTCTGGGCCTGCCCTCACACACCAGTCTCAACCACACAGGCCTCCACACCTCCAGCAGTCCCATGGGAGATCCTGGAGTGGTGATCCCTTGGGACCACTCGCACCCTCTACCCTCTGAGCAAGCCCACAGGCCATGCTCCCCAGTCGCCGTGGAGCCAGCCTGGAGGGTGGGTGGACACATGGTGGGCTGCTGGTACCACCAACCCCCACTTGCCCCTACCCTGTCCCTAGGTTTCCATGGGCCAGGACCAAGAGGGAGCTCCCTCGGCAGACACATAGCAAGGCTTCACTGGGATGATCAAGTTCACATGGTCCTTTTACGGGGCTGATGGGATGGTACGTGTGCTGGACACACACAGAGGGATGGCCTTACTTGGGGCCTTGGATTGCTGCTTTGGGAAATCTGAAGAGGGGCATCCCAAGGGCTCCCTGGAGGAGATGAAGTGAGGCTTAGGGCAGGCAGTCTGTGTCCACCCTAATAGTTGAGTAGTTCTGACCCTGGAGGTCCTGGAGGAAGAGCCCCTGCCTAGACATGGGGGCAGGGAGAGGGGGAGGTAGTCACAATAAAGGGCATTTCAGCATGGAGTCAGAAGCCACTGGGTGACTAAGGCCCACATGTGGCATGAATGGGGTCTGAGAAAACAACACAGAAATGTGGACCTTTGAACTGGGCCAGGCCTGCAAGCCATCACATCTCTTATTGGAGGTTGCATCCAGGCAGCTGTCACCAGTGACATGCTAACTTTACACCTCGCTGCAGCCCTAGCTAACCATGATGGGTGGGTCAGTGAGGGACTGCTGAGTGCCAGGCTCACTTCTCTTCAGTCACCTTCTTTCCCTGTAACCATGGGACTTCCTCAGCCTCAGTCTCTCCTTCCCTTAAAAGCCACATGCAATCAGCACGTCCAGAGCTCCCATTCAGAGCTGTCGGAATCCATGTTCGCCCCAAGTAACTTCAGACCCCAAGAAATGTTCCTTTGTTTTTAGTTTCTGAGCTTGAATTGGTTGGTGTCTGGTGGGCAGCAGTGTCCACCAGTACCTGTGGGCCCCACAGCCCAGGGGGCTGGGCCTCAGCCCTTCCAAACACAGTCCTGGCCTGGGGCTTGTCCATCCAGGTCCACAGCATAACGGGAGCTCCAGTCACGCTGGAAGAGTTGCCGTAGCTGTTCCTGCACAGGGATCCTGCGTGACTGGGCATGGAGGGCCCTCTGGCTGACCACCAGGCCCACGCCTGAGGTGCTGCTGAAGTAATCCTCTGACCAGTTGGAGGTGCCTGGAGGAGATGGGTGGGAACAAGACACTGGGTCACCAGACTCAGAACACCTGCAGCCTGGCCTGTACCATTACTCCAGCCCAGTTTGGGAGTGGTATGCACAATAGCTACTCTGCTATCATCAAATTCCAGCCAGAACAGCCCCTTGCATAGGTTCGGGAGGAATACCCAGCTCTTCATAGAAGAACTCTACTCTGAAATATATATCCCAACTCAGCCTCTAGGCCCTAGCACTCAGGATTTCCCTAGTTGATCCCATGGGGTCTGTGACAATTGGGCTGGTTGCCTGGTCTCCAGAACACCAGAAACCCTGACCTCCTTCAGCAGCCCTCTATCATGCATCCTCATACCTCCCCCAGCTGCTCACCTATGTAGGCCGCCTTGTCTGTAACCATGAATTTGCTGTGGTTCACCCGGCTGAAGGGGATGTTCGAGTGATTTCCCACAGGCACGATGAAAACTTTCTTCCAGGGATAGAGGGGGTGTGTCAGGCTCGGCTGGGAGGGGAGGGGGTTGTCTTCTCCCTAGCCCACCTGGGAGGGATCCTCACCACATCCACTGAGATGCCAGCTGAGGGGTTGCTGAGGGCCTGCAGAGACCTCAAGTAAGGGAACATAGTGGGATCTGTGTTGAGCCAGCAGCTGACCAGCAGACGCACGTGCACACCCCTGTTGAAGGCTGCTGCCCGAAGTGCGTTGTCCAGCACAGGCCAGTACCTGGGGAAAAGGGGTCAGGGGCCTAGCTACAACTTGGGAATAAGTAGGGGTCCCAGCAGGTAGGGAAACATGACCCAGGAGCTTCCCATCAGCGAGGTGGGTTCCACCCTCTGGGTTTGCGCCCTAACCCAGACCAACCTTGCAGGGTGTGTGAAGCGCGTTGTGGGGAAATACTCCATCACCGAAGCGTAGATGAACTTTTGAGCACCCCACATCACTGCCAGCACTGCCTTCAGGTCCCAAGTGCGGCCATGGGGGCAGAGGGCAGGCGGCGAAGCCTGCAAAAGAGGTGTTCCTGAGGGCACTGCTGGCTACTGCCCTGGTCATTTCCTGGACCCGTGACCCCACCATATACCAGTTAAGAAGCTTTGTGTGGTGAGGGAGGGTCTCGACAGGAGCTTGGGACTGACTCTGAGGCCTGGTGGGAGAGCCAGGAAACAGCCAGGTCTCGTGCGGTCCAACTGAGTCTGGACTGCCTTTCCATAGAGTGTACCACCCTGGGACACTGCCCCACTCCCTCCAGAGTGGACCCTCCAGATCTAGGGCGCTCCCCTCATTCTGATGCAGAATCTCTGCTAAAGATGGATAGTGGGATAGCTGTCCCTCTACTCCCCATGATCTGATGGAGGGGATGTGCTCTGGGCCTCCCCCTCTCCCCACAGCCTACACCCAACCTCTGACCTCCAGCCCCACCTCAACAGTCTGTTTGGAGATTCCTAAGGCCACAGGTCCTGCCTCCTCCCTGCTGCCAGTCCCTCTACAGTGCTCCACCCTAGAGCCCAGCCTGCCTCCTAGTGCAGCCCTAAGGCCACCATGAGCCAGTCAGAGGACAGTAGGGGCTCTGATGGGTCCCTTCTCTGCCCGCCTTACCGAGAAGTAGGCAGTAGTGGGAAGCCCATCAAAGCGGTCTCGGAGGGGTTGGAAGTAGTTGATGTGGGACGAGAAGTTCCGAGGCCAACTTTTAGGAAGGACAGCTTGAGGTGCCCCCAGCACCCAGTAGGTCTGGAAAGTTTTCTCCAGATCCTGGCCCAGGTGGCTGCAGTTGTAAATGACGGCGCCAAGCTCCTTCACCTGCAGGAACCAGGGTCAGTGGCGGTGGGTAGCAAGGACACCCTGGGGGCTGTGTGGAGACCACCATCTGGCTCCTGGCCAGGAGCTGGCAGCCAGTGAGCAGCACCACTGTCAGGGCTCTGTAATAATATGCAGCATGGGGTGCAGGGGGTGGGGAGGAAGAGCTGGTGGGACCTTGTTTTTCCTGGGTGTTATATTCCAGAGATCGAAGTAATACTTGCTCTTTATCAAAAAATAAATAAATAAATAAATAAAAATGAATGAAATGCGTAAAAACACAAAGAAGAAAATAAAAAATCACTGTTAAATTGTATTGTGAGCACTCTTACCATAGTCACATTCATTCTTTGACGCTTTTTGTAGTCTTGTACATGCTCTTTCACTGAGCTCCACCCCCAGCCCCAACATCTTTGTAATGCATGGCTTCTTCTAAAAAGCCTAGGATTTGGTGCCTGCATTTTCCCAGGTGCTGTGACCTGAGCACCTTTCAATGTCCTTAACATTATTCCAGGACATGAGCACATAGCCGTGTAGAATCCATTGATGAACCGATCTCTGATATTACCACTACAGTGATGCGATGAGCGTGAGCACTCACAACGCAGTGATGAACAGGACAAGAGGCGCAGGACCCCAGAGAGGAGAAGGGGAGGAGCTGCAGGAGGGCCTTTTGACCTGGGGCCCTGGGACTCACCTGTGTCAGAGACCGCCAGTCCATGTTGGCACTGCCCACGTAGACATGCCGCCCATCCACAACCCAGAATTTGGAGTGCAAGATGCCCCCAGTGAGGTGCTTCATGGGCACCTGTCGCACCTGGGCACCTGGGACAGGATGAACTGTCACTTAAGTGCATACTTCAGGTGAACCTGGTTCTGAGCTCTCTGCTGTTGAGTTCATTCATCTGTCCTCAGAACAACCCTAGTACTTAATGCTATTACTGTCCCCACTTTACAGGTGAGGAAACTGAGACACAGCTTGGCCCAGGATTCCTCCAGGCAGCCCAACTCCAGAGCATTTGTAATGTCTGTGCCTGTTGCGCCCCAGCTGGAGCCTCTGGCCTGAGCCTCCATTCATAGGTCATAGCCAAGGGCTAAGGCTACCTGTGCTCTGCCCTGTGGAAGATGACATTCCTGGCTGCTTGAACTGGCCCCCTCCCCAGATGGAGCTGACTCAAGGAGCCAGGGGCTCCTGCCCTCTGCTATCCTGGGGAAACACAGTGAGCCTTTCCCACCCACCCCCTGCAGCTCTGATGGTATTTGCCTTCTTCCCATGGTTCCAGCAAGAAAGGGTAGGGGGGTCCAGACTGGGGCAGTGGGACACCTACCACGAGCTGCCAGGACCTTCAGATCAGTGGATTTCCCAGCTGGCGTCAGGCTGCTGGTGGCCACCACCAGGGAGATGTTTCTATCCAGCAGCTGCTGCAGCTTCTGCAGAATGGCCTCTCCCTGCAAGGCCAGGCTGGCATGAGAGGCGCCCCCCAGGACAGCCCTCTGCCCCTTGCCCTCACCATGATCCCTGACTTCCAATATCCTGGCATGAGCCAAGTCTAAATGACTCTTGATTGGGAGCCGAACTGTAGCCAGGCACAGTCCAAGTGCTCTGACCCTCATAGGCTCACCTTCTCAACACCCTGCCCTGAGAGTGTCCTGCAAAGGACTTGGCCCCGGCTCCAGCCCAGCCCCCACCAACAGCTGAGCCCTAGGCCTACAAGCTCTGCACAGATGGATGGCCTGACTTGCTATGTGCTCTGCACCAGGTCAGGGCGGGGATAGCCTGCAGCCTCAGAGGGTGAGGCCAGGGACGAACCTGCTGGGAAGAGGAGTCATTGACCCCGATGTCAGCACCTGTGAGGGACCAGTAGTATGAGGCCACATGGATGCTTTCCTGGGCAGTGTCCAGGAGCTGCAGCCAGGCCTGGACCAGGGGCTGGGCAGATGGGCTGCCAGCTGCAAATGGCAGGTCCTGAGGGATGCTTTCCACAAGGACGAGCCTGGGGAGAGAACCAAGAAGAGGGCAGCGCGTGACTTCAGGAGCCGCCAGTCAGCCTTGTTCACCTGCTCCATCCCTGCTGTCCAGCTGGAGGGGCTGCAACAATGTGGCCCTAGGGTATGAGCCCAGCCAAGTGTGCAAAGAAGGGGCAGCTAAACTGAACTGGGCAGAGCAGGCCTGAACCTGAGAGCCTGAATGCAGTAACACCCAGGAGCGTGTCCAATGAGGAACCTGAGGGGACAGGGCCGTCCAGCCTAGAGAGATGCAGATTGGGGGGGGCAGGCTCTACCTCAACCCCTCTGGGAGCACTTGCTCCTGAGGCCAAAGTGAGCTGGCAGGTTCTGGGGTCCAGGACCCTAACAGCAGGGTGGGAAAGGCAGGAGGGAGGCTGTGGTGCAGGTGGAGTAGTAGCATACTGCAAGTAGTGCCAAGCTTTGGTCCAGCAGTGGACGGTGATGGAGCACTAAGGTGGTTTGTGCAAACAGCACCACAAGTCTGCACCGCTCCCCACTTGACTCAAGACTGACAGGCCATGCCTCCCTGGGTCCTGCACGCTCCAGGAGCTAATGGGGATCATGTTCAGCCCAGGTGGGAGATCCAATGGTGGAATGCAGATATCACCCAGCTAACACCACACCCCCCAGCACCCTGAGGGCTTACTCACTGGCAGGAGTCCCTCTGCTGCCCGGACTCCCCTCCCAAGGCCTCCCAGGGCCTGGGGGGCACTTCTTCATGGAGTGTCTGGTGCCAGGTGAAAAGAGGGGCCACGTGTCCCAGAAGGAAGATGAGAGTCATGGAGCCAAGTCCCAGAGCAGCGAGCATCCTCAGCACCTACAGGAAGGGATGTCACTGCAGGGTTCCAGGATAGCACGGCAACCCTCAGGTACTGAGACAGAGGCTGTTTAGGCTTCCTGGGGTATACCTGGGAGTGGACTAGGGGGAGAGGGAGGACAAAGAGCAGGGCCCAGGACCACTGGATGGGGATAGGTGGTCTATAGTCCACTCCGTGGCACTATGCCAATGGCAACTGGCTGTCCCCAGGTACTCTGGTAGAGGGACAAGGCTTACAGCAGCCTGGGTAGTCTTGCTACCCCCACTGACCTGGCTATACCTACCCCAGGCTGGTTTTGTCCTCTTTAGTGAGACCCAGGTTCCTAAGATTTTATGAAAATTTTGATTTTTAAAAATAGTTCTAGCCAGCTGCAGAGGTGCATGTCTGTAATTTCAGAACTCAGAGGCTAAGGTAAGGGGATCATGAGTTCGAGGCCAGCTGGGCTACATAGCAAGAGACTGTCTCGAAAACAAACAAAAAGCTGAGGATAACAGATTCTAATTAGAAATTGGGCCCAAATTTGTTTCCAGACTGTTAAGTCAACCCTCCCTTGATGCCCCCTTCCCCCCAGACCTACCTTGCCTGCTCTGCTGTGCAGGCCGTGTGGCGACATGGACCAGGGCCACTCAGGAGCCTCCATTGTTCTCCACAGAGGTGTCAGCATCTGCACAGGGCATCCTGGAGCCACCAGCAGGTCTGGCCCCACAGTTTTATCCCCGTGTAGGGTCCCTACAGACACACCCAACCCCCTTCCCTCCAGAGGCTAGTAATACCAGGCATGGGGCCAGACCCAGGCTCCCACCTGAGCCCCTTTAGGAAGCTGGTAGCTGGTCTTCAGGTGTTGCCTGCTGTGGACCCGAAGCTGGCTGAGCCCACATGTTTCCCAGGACCCCATGCACCGGTGGCCTGTGCCTGCCTGTCCTCCTACGCCTGTCTCGTGGGGGTGTCTGAATGTGTGAATCTCAGTTCCTTGTTCCAACCACAACTGAAACTAGGGCTGAAAGTGCCATTTCTGCTTTTCCCTCCTCTCTGGTCATAAATAGCCACTTTCCCTTCCTGGGGCTGGGCCCCCATCTTGGCCCCACAGAGGGCAGCTGATTGGGAAGTGAGACAAAGGGAGGGCCACAATGAGCTTATGTAGCACTCTGCATTGCTGTCCAGGGTAAGGGGCTCTCCCTGGGACTCTGAGCCAGCTGGGATGCAGGACCCACCTCAGAGTGATCACTCCATGAAGAGCTGGAGGCCAGGCCAATTTCAGTTCCCTACATGGCTCTGCTGCCTAGAATGCTATCTCAGAGCAGGTGATCTGTGGGTTCTGAGCTGTCCTCCCTGGGGTACAGAGAGGGGCCTGTGCACAGTGAGAAGGTCACTCTGGCCAGCCAGCCCCTTGCCAAGACACCAACAGGCCAAAGTTAGCCTCACTCTCTGGCTGGGATGTGGTTTGTGGTCTGGGGCAGCGCTGGATACCTGTGAGTGGCTGAGGGCTGGGACCTGGGGCTTTTCAGGCTCTGTAGGTCAGTCCAGGAGCACTGGGCTGGCCTGCAAGCCTTTGGAGTTCCTTCCCACTGTCCTTCCACTGATCAGGTGGGGATGAGCTCTGCAGAGAATCTAGCCAGCCTCACCTTGGGGAAGGCAGCCACAGAAGCTGGGCCTGGGGCAGTGTCTGCCCTGGAACTGGTGTTACAGAGAGGCAGGGCCTGGGAACCACAGCAAGAAAGTTCCAAGTGTGGGAGATAGGCTCAAGCACTAAAAGAGGCCCAGCACCTCTCCTGTGGGAGGGGTGTCCTTGTGGAGAGGAGTCAGGATGCCACCCTCAAAGTGAGATTAAGCTCTCAAGACACCATCCCACACCTGCAGGGGGTAGCTCGGATCACCACAGCCCCATACCAGACTTTTACCCTCCTTTGTGATTCCAGGAGAGGCACCAGCATGAAGACTTGGGACATCCTCAAATGAGTTTCCTTCTGCTCCTCCCTCCTGGGAAAAGGGTTTTCACCCTTTGAGGTCCCAATCACACAGGTTAGTCAACACAGCAGTCCCCATCTGGGATGGTGGTGCCTTCCAGGACCACAGACCCCAGACTGCTTCCTGGCCATTGATAACTATGTGGGGTGGGAGCCAGGAGAGGTGGGCTACCCAGGGTGGCTCTAAGCAGCTTCAGATCTGTCTCCTCATTGGGCCCTACAGATCCTGCTGTGTCCCTGGAGTGGGGTTGGCTATCTGAAGAAGGTGACCACCTAGCTCTGGCATCTCAGGATTGGGCTAGGAGATGGGGCTCTGAGCCTCTCCAGCTTCATGGTGGGCAGCCAGAGACCCTGCAGCCATCAGAGATCACAGCTGAGGGTGCAGAGTTCCTGCCCTGCAGGCCGGCTATCATCTCAAGATGAGGCACAGGGCCTGACTGTCAGCTTGCTAGAGACCCAGATGGCCTAGACGCATAGATTAGACAAGGAGTGATCTAGGCAGAGTGGGGTGCTTTGTGAGCCCTTGGCCTGGGGTGCTGGGAAGATGGGGCCATGGAGGCAGACAGCAGCCCATGCCCAAGGCCCTCAGCTTGGCTATCCCCTACCTGGCCCTTGTCTTGCTGGTACTTACCTCTGGGGGCCCTGCCGTGGTGTCCATCCTGGCTCCAAGCACAGACTGCAGGCCTCAGCTCTGTCTGCTCCCCTCTCTGGCCTGCTGCTTCCTCTTCCATCTACTTCCCCTTTGATCTGAGCACCCTACCCCCACCTGGGGACATAAGGACAGGGCTGAGTGGGCCACTAGAGGGTAGAGCTGATAACTTTCACCTCCAGAAAATTATCTACCCTCCCATACTCCTCTAGAGGGCACCCCACAGTCACAGACCTATGTATCAGAGTTAAGTCTGACTGCAGGTCCTCAAGCAGGATTCTAACCACACCAACTGTTATGGTTTGGATCTGGAATGTCCTCCAGAGGCTTGTGTGTGTTGAATTCAGGCCTGGTTCCTATCTGGTGGCTTATTGAGAGGTAATTGGATTATGAAGGCTCTGACCTAATTGATAGGTTGATCCATTGACAGATTCATGATTGGGTACACTATTGGGAGGTGGTAGGGACTACAGAAGGTGGGGCCTGATGGAGGAAGTAGGTGCTGTTGAATTGAAGGGCTTATATTATCCTTAGCACCTCTCTCTGTCTCTCTCTGTCTCTCTCTCTCTCTCCCAGCTACCATGGCATGAGCTGCTTCCTGCCACCATGATGTTCTCCCTCATCACAGGCGCACAGCAATGCAGCAAGTTGAAACTGAAACTTCTGAATCCATGAGTCAAAATAAACCTTTCCTCCCTTTAAATTGTTTATGTTGGGTTTTTGTCACAGCAATGAAAAGTTGACTAAACACCAACCATGTTCAGGTTCATGGCATTGACTCGTAGCCTTCAAGATCCAGGTCCCTCCAGCTCTCAGCTTTCAATATGTATAATTTGAAGCTGTATGGCCCTACAAGGGCTCCTAGAGCTCAGCCATTACCTCCACATTCCAAGCAGAGAATAAAGGACATGTCAGAGGAGACTTCCTAGAGGTCCCACAGGATTCTTCTACTTATCTGTGATCTAGAACTTGACCTAGACTTGGTCACAGGCTATATCTTGCTCCAAAGGAGACTGGGGTATGGTGGCAGTGGAACCTCAGTGCTGGACAATGCAGGTAGGACAGCCCACTGCCCATCCAAGAAGGTAGCCTTGGCTGGAGTTTCTCACCAGGGTCTCCTTAGTACAGGACCCTGTTGCCCTTCAGACTGGGGCCTTGAGAACAGCCCCTACTTTGAACCAGGTCTGGGTGTTGGCTTCCCTCCTCAATGTCAGCGGACAGTGGGCCTCTGTCCAGGGTGCTGGCCACAGAGTGTCGCAGGGAAAGTACACCAATCTTGCTTGGGTGGGAGGCATTCCTGAGGGCAGGGCCTAACAGCAGCTTCCTGTGGCCAGCCTGGTAGACCAGGTAGTATATGGAGAAGAGAGCCCAGTCCCTCCACTTGCTGTGGGACAATGCCTTAATCTGGCCTTGGGGTTGGTCCTCCTCTCTAGGCCACAGTCAGGCAGTCTCTGCCTTCTGGTTGGGTCACTGGATGCCTAAATGTTGCTGTGTCCCAGGCTGTATTCTAAGGTCTAGGTCTCTGGGGACTCTGGGTGAGGAAGGGAGCCTGGCTTCCTCTTGGGCTCAGGCTGAAGTGTAGAACAGGCTGTTTTCTCCTACCTGGACAGCCGTGCCATGTGAATGTTTGAGAGCAAGGTAGAGATAGGACCCTGGCTTCTTGTGTTCTGCAGGAATAGTCTGCAGGTGGAGGAGGGCCTGCCCCACTCTTACAAGGGTTCTGCAAGCCCATCTGTCACACCGCCTGGGTTTACGTAAGCATATGCTGTGATGTCACACAATGACAAGTGGCCTAACAACTTACTTCTCAGAGTATGTCCCCTGCTGTTAGGTGCTGCTATGTAACCCAAACAATTTGCATGCACCCAGACTGCCAGGTAAAAGGCCCAGACCTTCAGACTGAATGGAGAAGATTCCCTATGTCTGGAGTTTGCTCTGTGGTCCCCTTGCCCTATGATGTGAGTGACAAAAGTCAAACCCAAGGGTGGCTCAGTGTCCCTAGTGTTCTCCATCTTGGATACACCTCATGTGGTGAAACCCACGTTCTGAGCACCTGAGGAGTGGTCAGGAAAGGCTGTGAGGCCATGAGGCTGGGGGCTCCCCTGTGAAATGGAGGGTAGAGCTGCAAGAGTAGGGAGAGTGAGGTCAAATGAGCATTACCTTGGTCCTCCTCATGCACAGCTGTGTCTCCTTCAGTTTCTAGTGGCAAACCCATGTGGACACATTGGAGCACAGTGGTAAGAAGTCCTGGCAGCCTTGCTTCCATGACTCGTGTGTCTCGGTAGTGCTTGCTGTGAGATTAAGTGGCTTTGTAAACTGACGCTAGTTTGGGGTATAAAAGGTCCCTTACCACGGCTGACAAGTAATGAGACATTACCCCACAAAGACACATTTTGAAACAAAGTGAAGACAAAAACACTTTGTTTTATGATACCTCCCAAGTAATGGGATTGCAGGCATGCACCACAGAAAGCCATTATTTTATGTAGAAAATACGTGGATGTACTGGTGGCTCATGCCTGCAATCCTAGCTGAGATCTGGAAGATCGCAGTTTGGGGTCCATAGTTTGAGAGACCCCCATCTCCAAAATAACTAGAGCAAAATGAACTGGAGGTGTGGTTCAACCGGTAGAGTGCCTGCTTTGTGAGTGCAAAGCCCTGAGTTCAAAGCCCACTTGGGAGGTATCATGAGTTTGAGACCAGCCTGGGTTACATAGGGAGATCCTGTATCAAAAACAAAACAAAACAAAAAAAATTGGCTTTTCTTTTCCAGGATAATTTTTTCAGAAAACAAGTACTCAAAAAAAAAAAAGTTGCTCAAGAAAATAAGACAGGGCACTTGCCTAGCAAGCACAAGGCCCAGAATTCAAACCCCAGTACCACCAAAAAGAAAAAAAATTAAATATATCAAGCAAGCCCAATTCTTTCTGGGGATCAGGCTGCCACAACAAAATTAACTGGAGACAAATTCATGTATCTATGTATTTGTGTGCTTTTGTTCATTTCCACAAATGATCCAAGACTCAAAGCAGGTTCGGGACCACTGAGCCACCGTCTTCACTCCCAAACCCCAAGATGACTTCCTAAGAGCATCCCAGACTGTCCTGTGAGCTCACCATCTCATCTACACACCTTCTGCTGCCCTGCCCTCCCTGTTTCTGACCAAGTGAACCTGGACATCTTGGCATTATCTTGGCTCAGGTTCCAATTTACGTTTCTGCTTCCTTTCCTGCACCCCCAATCCATTCGCCATGAAGCCAAACTGTTCTCCCCATGGTGGACTCACTGTCAAGACCTTCTTTACTCCCATCTGCCCAAACAAGGAAAAAGAAGCCCTCACTCCCTAGAGAGAGCCCTGACCCTTGAGCTCACCACCAAATCCTAGCCACCTGGCCCCTCCAGGTGCCCCACCTCCACCTGCCTCTCCTCCCAGATCCGGAGCTGAGGCCTCACCTCCACCTCCCGCGGATACTGGGCACCTGGGTTATCTGCTCAGAGGACTTTCTGGGACCCCCTATCCAGCCTCGCTCACCCTTCTCCACAAAGGTGGTCAGCCCAGGGATATCATCCCAGTAGTGGGACTCAAGTGGCAAGGTGAGAGAGCCTATCGTGGCCAGGAGGAGGCCGGTGGAGTCCCAACTTGGCCATGTTCTTGGTGGGTAGCTTATCCACTGTCCCCTCCCACTTCCTGCAGCCTCGCCTCAGACATGTCTCCAAGATGGGGAGGGGTGTTGGAGGGCATAAATGTCATTGCCAGGGAAACATTTGGTGATATTTTCTCCAATGGCCATGCTCAGGACTGGAGGGACGAGGGACTTAACACAGGAGGTTGTATACACCTGTCTGTCTGCCTGCCAGGGCATCCATCCATCCACCTTGGTATGGGAGTAGATGCACACTGCCCTGCCTCGGCCCCTGAGAGGTGCTGGGCATGCAGAGGTCAAAAGCACTGTTCCTGCTTTTCCTGTTGGGAAGCAGAGGCCAGCCTCAGACAAGGAGTTCAGACATAAGACCGCAGGCCAAGCTGGCAGCTGAAGCTCACTCAGTTCAGCAGGTGAGCCACCATTCACCAGGTTGCCTCCTCCACTATAGGCTGCCACAGTCTAAGTCTCTGATGATCTCTGCTGGTAAACCAGCTAAGCTGGCTTAGGAACAGGCTGAATGCCTAAGTGTGCAGGCTTCTGAGCTGGCCACCCTTGTGGTGGGACAGTGACTGCCCTTCAGTGTGAAACTCCTGAACTGTAGGCACAGTTCAGTGGTGAGACGTCAGGGGTCTTTTCCAAAGCTACAGAGAGACTTGGGGTGGCAAGGGTTCCCAGCACAGTGCCTGTCTCCTCACCCTGATGCCTATTTTATGCAGTTCAGGCATACTTGTAAAGAGTGTTCTTGAATGTTGTATGGTTGTAATAAAATGGTTTTTAAGGAAGAAACATCTGCTTTGCTTTCTTGCTTAGGCCACCACCTGGTGGCACATCTTTGAACTGCAGTGTGTTTTCCAGCCCATGAAGAGACTCCTTGGGCCCCAGGGCAATGCTCCCTACCCCAACACCATCAGTGAAGAAGTGGACCAAACTGGCAATCGCCCATGTGCTGCCACAAGATAGAAGAATGATTTAATAGAACAAATTCCATGACAAGTCATATAAAATAACCATTTTCTGATAGACATCCACAAGACCACCTGAGAACAATGTACAGAGAGACCCTTCTGAGAAACCAGGCAAGTCACCGATCCCAGGCTGAAGGCTGGGGGAGGGAGGGGGAACAAAGGAACTTGACATAGGGAGGAACACCAATTTGTGCATAAAAAAAATTATACAGAGGTGACTAGGGGTGGGAGGAGTGGACGAGGAGTCTTGGACAAAGGTGAATGGCCACTGCTCATTTCCAAAAGACAGACCATGGGCAACTGTGCAGGGCATGCAGGGGTGGGCAATGGCCCAATGGGCCAGGCTAGCACCTCCTCCGAGTGGACAGCAGGCTCTTGGGGGGGGGCTGGGCAGGGATCCCGCCACCCCCCCCCCACACACATACGTAAACATCAGGTGGGCTGGGGTCACAGAGGCACACAGGACCTGTGCATGACTCCACATCAGCTAAATGTAAACAGGGAGACCCATGTCACCCTCTGCAGGCTCTGAGTCCCTACCTCACAGCCACCTCTCCTTCAGAAGTTGAGCCCCAACCAGGTCCAAACACCCACAGAAACGCCAGGAGGGGCAAAGGGCACACTCATGCCAGTCTGGTCCAAGCAGGACACTCCCACCCCACCACAGCCAATGGGCTCTTTGGCTTAGTGGTTCCAGAAACACTGGCTGCCCCACAGGGCAGCAGCAGAGGGGCCATGCTCTGTTTGCCTGGCGTTTCCCCACTGAGAGAAATCCTGAGAAAGCATAAGCCATCCTGGGGCTGCTCCTGTCCCACTCCCACAAGGGATCACAGGAGCCTGTTACGGATGCTCACATCATCCAGGAGGGCAAGTATGAGGCCAAGGGAGTGCACATTGTCTAGACCACTAAGACGAGAGGGAGCTTCCGTCTCCCATCCAAGTACTAACCAGACCTGACCCTGCTTAGCGTCCAAGATCAAGAGATTGGGCGTGTTCAGGGTGGTATGGCCGTTGACAAGTGGGAGCTTCTGGAATTCTGCTTTACAGCCACTTTGGTCCAGTGCTCACCTCCACCAAAGGTGATGCTTGCCCACCCAGCCACATCCAGGCCCACTAGAAACCCAGTGTCCCTGGCTGGGATGAACCTGTAACTCGCGTGCAGTATGGAGGCATGCCTGAACTGGCTCTGCATGGACACTCTCTACACCTGTGCACTCCTGTGTGAGCAGACCAGCTGTTGCCATACAGGCCCACACTCCAGAGGGCTTGAGGCAGCCCCTAAACTCAGTGGGTTTGGCAGTTGTGTTGGCACTGAAGGTTTGGAGCTGTGAGGTTCCTGCCCCAAACGCCTCCATAGGCCACTCATCTGCCCAGGATGCTGAATGCTGGGGCAATTACAGCCCTGGGCTCAGGTGGGAGCCACTGGGCAAGTACCTCCTTGGGACAGTCCTAGGGACATGCCCAAGCCCTCCTCAGCTCCATGTTTGGCATTAAGTGGCCCCAGGACCTAGCCCCTCTTCCTCTGCTGGCTTCAGGCCAGCACATAGGGACATGACTGCTCAGAACAGGGCCTCCCAAGTAAGGCCAGGCAGGGCCTTCCAAATTGAGGGCAGCATTAGGGTCAGGCCTGGTGGGGCGCGGTGATGGCATAAACTACTTTCTCTTAAAGCTAATAACAAAAACAACAGCGAAGGAGAGGAGGTGAATACGTGCCCCCAAGGGCCTGCCCTTGGCAGCAGCCACATCAGGAGCTGGGCCAGGAGACCCCAGGGTGAGGGTGGCTGTGGGGCCAAACAAGGTGGTTGGGGTTAAGATGGGGGCCTGGGCATGGGAGGCATCCATCCATGGGGTTATGGCACGTATGGGGTTTTCACAGAGAATGGCCTGTGGCCAGGCAAGTGGGCCATGAGGTGGACAGGCAGGCACAGGACACACGCACATGGGAGACTGGCCTCGCCCAGCCAGGTGGCCTAGATCAGGAACCTCTCTGCATCAGGGAGGAAGACGGGCTCTGGGACACCAGGTAGTCCGCAGTTGGCCCGCTGTGGGAAACTCCTCAAGGGCACAGCCGGGAGCAAGGTCTCTACTGAGGAAGATGAGGATGGGCTTTGGGCTGCCGTCCGGCCCTTCCCGAATCCAGGCTGGGCTGGGCCCGTGGAACCCCTGTTCCCCGTGAGCAGATCCAGGTTCACACTGGGGTCCACGATGGCATTGATAACTGGGGAAGGAGGGACAGGGGAGATGAGGGTCAGGTTAGCCTGAATTCATGGCATCCCTACGGCCACCATCACCTGCCCCAGGTTTGGGCCACACCCACCTTCAAGCTGCTTCTGCACACGCCGCAGTTCTTTCAGGATGGAGCTGATTTCCTGGAGAGGGTAGAAGGGAGGGTAGGTAGAGCACACCACCCATGGGCCTTTCCCTCTTTTGGGGGCTCCAGGCAGGAGTCAGGTCACAGCTTGAACCAGCTGGGCAAACCCAGGCCCAGGAAACTGCCTGTCTCACGTGGTCCCAGTCCTCACCTTGTTGGATGTCTTCAGGATGGGCACCTCATTCTCAGCATTGATCCTGGCCTCCAGGTCCTCCCATGCTCGGCCCGTGTTCTGGAAGAGGATCCTAGGGGTGGGGATCAGAATGATGTGCTGACAAGGGAACTGAGGCATGACACCCAGACCTCTCCCCTGTTGTGGGAAGCTCACACCAACCACTCCTGGGTCAAGAGGGAAACTGAGACCCAGAACAGGAGCAAGACCAGGGCTAGCTTGCACTATGGAACCCACCTCTGCTTGACACCAGGGTTGGGGACAACTGGCCTGGGGACAAAGGCTGGAGAGAGGAGGTGGGGGCTCCCCAAGTACAGAGTCTGCCTGCTGGGAGCCACATACACAACCTCATGCATAGGTGCACACACAGGCACCCATCAGGTCACATGCCCCCACCTGGACATCAGGACCAGCAAGGTCCCAGTCCATGTGCACATTTATATCTGTGCCTAGGGGCTGCCAACTCACTTCATCTTTTCAGTGAGATGCTCTGTGTTCTCGCGGATGGCATGTGACAGCTGGGACACTGGGTTCAGCATCAGGTTATCAAAGATCACCTGCAAGGACCCAGGCATTAGCATGGCCACAGCAGCCCCCCAGGAAGCCCCCTCGCTCTTCATACCTTAGACGCCAGCCAAGATAACCCCCCCACCCTGCACAGCTGAGCATTGTGTGAGGAGGGGTCTCCATGCCTCCTCACGGTTCCGAGGCCTTGTCTTGTTGGCCATGGCATCTTCACAGCTGTCGTTCATGTTCTGGTCATAGTCCCGAGAGTTCAGGGAGCCAGGTGGCACCTTCTGGAAGTTGAGGCTGGCCTCAGGGATGCGCTGCACGAGCTGCAGAAGGTGAGAGGGGTGGGTAGAGGGGGTGCTATTGGCTCACTGTGCTGAGGGTAATAGCCAGGGGCTGGAAAGCCCTCCACTACCACACAGCAGGCCCTCATGCCCCATCTGCTCGGGGTCCCTCCAGATGCCCATTTAGGTGGAGGCAGCTGAGCTTCAGGACAAGCACACAACTGCATTTGACTCCTCAGAGCACAGCATGTGCAGGGTAGGGTAGTGACCATGGCTTCCACCACCCTCTGCCTGCCCTTTGCTCTGGTAGATGAGTACCCTGCCTAGTGTGTGTATCCAGAAAGCTCTGGGCTTACCTCCTCATGGGCGGAGATGGTGGAGGCAGGGGTGTTGGGCATGTTCCCAAGAGAGGGGCTATGAGTGGGCCCTGATGAGCCCAGCAAGTCACCATCTCCAGCCACATCATGGATTTCCCGGGCCAGGATAGCGACATCCTTCACCAGTGTCTGGCTCAACCTGCAGTCAGCAGGAAAGATAGCAGGTTCTGCAGGGATCCTCTCAGGAAAGCCCCAGCAGGGAGGAAGAGGAGACAGCAGGAGCCAAAAGGTCTCGAAGTTGTCTTCCCACCGCAAGCATGCCTCCTCCAGAGGAGCAGGACCAACTCCACCATTTCAGGCACTGCTCGCTGAGCACAAGTGGCCTAGACCCAAGCCACAGATGGAGGAACTCCATCATGCACTAAAAAGGGGTCCAATAAGGATGGGAAGACAGCTATTCCCCACCACCATGCACAAAAAGGGCAGGGGACACTTCCATCCTGACAAAGCCCCTGGGAAGCCAGACGAAGGCCACACCCAGTGGAGGATAGAAGCAGCTCTCTGCCCCTACTGCCAAGAGCTCCCAGGCCCATGTGTAGCTTCTTGGTGAGGCCCCTAATTATGCCCAGTCTGCATCACCTTCCCTATCAGCTAGTTAGACCCACAATCAGCATGTCCTCATGGGGCCAGACCCCACCTCAGGCTTTTTCAGCACTCCAGCACCAGCAATACCACTCTTCCCACCCCAAGGGCTAGCTAGGGACCATACCCTGGCCCGGGGACCCTTAGAAGATTGGGTCTCTGCCTCCAGCTTCCCCAAGGGCTACCATCACACCTACCCCTCCATATCCAGCAGGACCTCCCACCTGTGCCCCCCAGCCCATGCTGTCCCTCAAAGCTGGGAACCCCCACACACTGGGTCCTACCCTTCCTACATCAGACATCCCTCCAACTCCAGGTGACACCAAACTGACATGTACATGTGCCCTGCCTCAGGGTACTACCCCTCATGCCCCCAGACCTCCCTATACTGCCATCCTTGGGCTCCTTTCTGCCCAGGAGGCACGTTGCTCCCATCTCCTGTGTCTTAGCAAGCTGATACACTCACACACTTGGAAAGCAGAGACCTCAAGATCCCTCACGCATCCCTCTCCCTCCTCTCTCTTCTCCAGCCCTGCTGAAGCCTGAGGAACTCCAGCCCCCTTCTCTTCTCACCCAGATATGGTGCCTCCACCTAAAGGTCCCTAGGAAGCCCTACACCTATTTCCCCACCACTCTGCACAGGCAGCATCACCCCAACCACCCAAGAGCTCTGTCCCATCCCTCCTCATTTTACCCTACCAAGGCCTCAGTTGCCATCTTTGTGGTGACAATGTCCATGCCACCTGCCTCTGATCACGTCTTCCCAGGTGCCTCATGGGCTCTCAACATCAGCATCCTCAACAGAAACACCTGCTGGCCACCCAAGCCCTGGTGCTCCTCCTGCCCCTCCACAAGCCTAGTAGGGCATGACCTACATTGTGGCATGGATCACTGCTCAATAAATGAGAGACCCTCTTGCCTGTACTAATTCCCTTCACCGTCCTCCCCAGCATCTGACCCAGAGATGGGCCTCTGCTGCTGCTGAATGACCATGTCAGGAAGTTTATTTTTAGTAAAAACCTTGGCGGAACCCTCCTTGTACCCAAGGTACCCTATCTTCCTTAGCAGATCTCCATCCATCTACCCATTCACTAGCTTAGCTATCCACCTACCAACTGAATCATCCATCAAGTGACCCACCCACCCATGCAACAACTTGTCCATCTATCCATCCATCCACCTACTCACCCACCCATCCATCCGTCCATCCTATTCATTCATGTACCTACCCCACCTACCCATCTGTTATGATGTGAATATGAAATATCCCCAATAGGCTTATGTGGTGAACTTTTGGTCTCCAGTTGATGGTACTGCTTTGGGAAGATATGGAAACTTTCAGCTCAAAGAAGTAGATTACTGAGGGCGGGTCCTTGAGGGCATATCATTCCTGTGTCCCTTTCTCTAATTTCCATCTGCCATTAGGTGAGAACCTCCTCCACCACACACTCCTGCTGTCATGATGTTCTGTCCAAGTAACCATTAACTGAATCCTCTGAGCCAAAATAATTCCTCTCTTTAGTTGTTCTCAGTTATTTTGGTCACAGAGATGCTAAACTAATACAGAAAATTGGCACTAGGAGTGGCATCAATGCTGTGATTACCAGACCAAGTGGTCTAGAAGGTTTTGGAACTTGTTTGAAAGAGAATGTAGAAGAGTTTGGAGAAGTGGGGTTAGAGATGCCCTAGAAATGCTACAGGCAGAACATAAGGGGTGATTCTGGTGTGAGCCCAGAAGACTAGAATGTCAATAGCAATGTGGACAGCGAAGGCCAGGCTCTTGAGGTTTCAGATAGCAATGAGGACTCTATTGGGAAATGGACTGGAGACCATGTGGGTTACATTCTGGCAAAGAACTTGTCTAGATTTTGTCTGTGTCCTGAGACTTTGTGGAAGACTGAATTTAAGGCTAGAATAATTACTTGTGTGTGTGTGTGTGTGTGTGTGTGTGTGTGTGTGTTTGTGTGTGGTGGTACTGGGGTTTGAATTCAGAGATTCACACTTGCCAGGCAGGTGTTCTACCACTTCAGCTACTACACCAGCCCAAGGTTAGACTAATCCATTGGAAAAAATTTCAATATAGTCCAACATTCAGACTATGGCATGGTCAATGCTGGTGGCTTTTAGCCAGACTTACAGTGAGAATCAGGAGCAAAAGGCAGAGTGGAAAGTGCAATCTGGACAGAAAAGGAGCCAGTTACAAGTTGTGGAGGATGTGGTTGCTAAAGAGATTAGTGCCCATAGAAAGAAGCCAAGCACTTTGCACTGGGATCATAGGAAAGAGTCATTGAGGGTATGTCAGGAATTGACCAGACCCCACCCATTGCAGGCTTGAGAGTATAAAATTATAAAATTATCTGAAAGATTTGGCACAGGGATATCCTCCTTCCACAGAGCTGTTCAGGGAAGTGTTTTCCTGGGTTCAGCTGCCCAGGAATTCAGAGATCACGGCAACCATGGACCAGGGGGACCTGGCTGCTGCTTGAGCTGGTCAAAGACCATGACATCATCCACATGATGCTGGCTTTACAGACATACAGATGCAAAAGTTTCCAATTATGGAGGCTTCCACTGAGATTTCAAAGGAAGGCCTGGGATGACAGACAAAGTGTGGCCCAGGAGAAAGGCCATGGAGGCTACAAGCACTCATGGCCATTGTGGCAGGGCTGCCCAAGACTATTAGAGATCACATCCTGATACCATGTGCCCTGGATGCTGGACAGAGCTATAGAATTTGCTGGGGTTTGGTCTTACTATTCTATTTCTCCCTTTTGGAATGGGAAAGTTTACTCTGTGCCATTGTAACTTGGAAGTATGTAACTTTCTTTTGATTTTACAGGGGTTCACACCTAAGAGTTTGCCTTGAATCTCAAAGACGTTGAACTTAGACTTTTGAACAATGTTGACCTGTTAAGACTTAGGGGCTCTAGGAGATGGACTAAATGCTTTTTGCATTATGAGATGGCCATGAGTCTTTGGGGTCTTGGGGCAGAATGTTATGGGGGGGGTAAGGGACGGGTGGGGGAAGGGGGGGAGAAATGACCCAGACATTGTATGCAAATATGAATTTTAAAAAGTGTGAAAAAAAATGTTATGGCTTGAAAATAAAATATCCCCCAACACTCATGTGGTGAGACCTGGTCCCCAGCTGGTGGTGCTATTCTGGAATGTTACTAGGACCTAGCTGGATGAAGTGGGTCACTGGGGACAGATCTCTGGGGGTGTATCATCTTTGTGTCCCTTTCTCTGCTTCCTGCCCACCATGAGGTGAGAACCTCCTCTACCACACACTCTGGCTGCCATAACTGTATGCCCATGGACATGGGGCAAGTGTCCATGCACTGGACCCTCTGAAACTGTGAGCCAAAGTCAACAATTGCTATTTTGGTTACAGCAATATAAAAGTAACTCATACTATCTATCAACCCATCTATCCATGTACCTACCTACCCTTCCTTCCTTCTCTCCCTCCCTCGTGTCCATCCCTCCCTCCCTCCCTCTCCTTCCTTCCCTCCTTTCCTTCCTTTTCTCCCATCCATCCACTCACTCACCCACCCACATATCTATAACCACCTACCCACTCAAGTATTCTCCAAGCCTATTTGGGGCCAAGAGAAGAGCTCTCTGCCCAGTCCCTGTCCTCAGGCTGCTCTCAGCTGAGGGGAAGCATATGAGTTGACTGACTCATCACTCACCTGGCAATCTCAGCTATCTCTGCTGTCTGCACGATGAAACCGTAAGGGTCCGGCTCCTCCTCATCATCTGTGTCCCGGGAGCCAGGAGGCCGAGAGCGAGCCCGGCCAGAGTTATTGGCCCGTGGTGTCTGCGTGGCTGTTGAGGCATGGGAGCGTGTGTGTTTGGGGGACCCATGGTGGGAGCCGTACTCCTCCTCGGAGGTGGATGTGCAATCCGAGCCTTGCTGCCGGCGACGCGTGTCTTGGATGAGTGGATTGGTTTCAGAAGCAAAAACAGAACAGAGCAGTACTCAGTGCCCCCGTGGAAGCCCCAGAGTCCCTCTGGGCAAGGGCCCTGCCCAGGCATAGTGGCTGGCATCCCTGTACCCAGAAAGCCCTCAGCAGAAGCACCAGCAGCTGCTGAGCTCTGGCAATGGTGAGCCACTCCCATCCTGGAGGACATGCTGAGCCAGGCAGCCTGGCATTCCTGGGACAGTGTAGTGTCCTAGAGATGGATCTGCACCTGATGAGATGGCAGCCACGCCCTGGGTGACAGAGAAGAGTGCTAGGCAGAAACTGAGTAAGCCTTCCACAAGGATCAGCCATAGCATAGGGTTGAACTGTACAGGCGGGTGGGGACAGCCTATGGTCAGCTAAGTCCACGCATTCATCAGACCCATGTCCTCAGGTACAGCCCCCCAGGGCAGCATCCTCAATTCCTTGCCTGGCACTGTTCTGAGTCCTGAAGCAGCTTAGAACAGCAAATATGGTGGGGCCTGCATGTTGACAGTGATGCAGGTGGGGTAGGGACAACAAGTCTGCCAAGCAGAGGTCCTCAGCTCACAGGCATAATGACCCCATCTATCCCATTCTGCCCAATGCACCCAGGAGGCAGGGCAGAGCTGTGGGACGATGTTGGAGGGAGAAGTCTGGTCAGAGCAGGGAAAGAGCAGCAAGGGTAGGGGCACAGCTGTAGCACTTTGCACCAATCCACTCAATCCACTCACGTAGCTCCCTGGACAGGGCAGTGCAGACAGGCTGTGTGGGGGATGTCTGCCACCCCAGGTAGGGAACCAGCTCCAGCAGCCACTGAGGCCCATCCCTTCTCACTGGATACATGGATGCTGGGGCGTGGTGCAGGGGCCCTGCTCATGGGGGTCTGATACAGCCCTCTCCAGCCACGGGGTCTATGGCCTCAGAAGGGTGTCAGAGAGGCTCTCACCAGACAGACACAGGTATATCTGGTGCCTTTCACTGGGCTTCACAGTCACGGAAGCACAGGGGACAGAGAACCATGGGAGATCCCTCCTCAAGGCCCCAAGTGGGCAGACTGGGGCTCTGTGTGGGCCTCATGAGTCATTAGGGGTGCCATCTTGGGTACAGCAAGAGGGACAGGGCCAGCCCTGAGGCCCAAACCTTAAGACCACGGGGAGGATGGAAGTGGGTCTTCTGCCCACACAGGGGTTGTGGACACACTTGGCCCCTGAACACATGCAAAACATTCACCCAATCTGGGAAACAGTGACTCCTGCTCAGAACCTGCTGGTGTCCACCCTGCCCTAGCCACCTGCCCACCCACTATCCCACTGCCCTACACTCACTGGAGGAGTATCTGGCGCTGCCTGGGCGAGCCCTGCTGAAAGGCTGGCGGGGGCCCATGTTGGCAGCAGTGGTGGTGGCCTTCCTGGCAGCAGCACGGGCCTCGGCCATGGTGGGCTTACGACTGGCACAGTACAGCTCAGCACTGCGGCCAGAGAAGCCAGTGCGGGTAGGGGCCACCTCGGAGTCGCTGGGCCCTGTGAAGGAGCCAGCCCGCTTCCGGGGCATGGCCAGGATGTCCAGGCGTGTCAGCTTCTTGGACTGTTCTGTGGCTGGCCGGCTTGCTGGTTCAGGGTTGGCTGGGGCCCCCCGTTCACCATCCACAGCCTCAGTGTCTGACGCATCCCCCAGCCGGGCACGCCTGAGCCGAGAGGCCCTTGTGGGTCGCGGGGTAGACAGGCTATTAGAGCGGGTCAGTGCCTGCTGCACCTTCTGGGCACTGGTGGAGCCACGGCTCTGCTCTTCCCGAGCGGCTGGGGACGGTGGGGGTGGCGCTGGTTTCCGGCGAGGCACTGGCCGACCTGCTCCAGTGGCCTCTGTGGCCTCGTGGTTGGAGGTGACTATGTCTGTGTTGTGTGAGTTGGTAAGACCAGAGCCTCGTTCTTCATCAGGCCAGTCGAGGGACCCTCGGGGCCCGTGGCCACGCCGCACAGCTGGACGTCGGGCTGCATCTCCGCGGCCCAGGTCTGTTGGGCATGGTGGGCGATTTTGCTTCTCTGACAGCCGGTCTCTGGCATTGCCCAGGGCAGCACCCCCTGGGTCTGGTGCTGCTGGCGGAGACAGCACAGTCTCCTTCTGTGGCCCTGGGGTCTGGGGGGTCATTGGGCCGGGTCCATTCTTACCACTGAGCAGGCTGACAGTACTGGCTGTGTCCACATCTGAATCCCCAGACAAGGAGTCCTCCAGTGGCCTGGGGGTGCTGCCCTCCTCACCCACTTCATCTGCAGACTTGGAGAGCAGTCGGGCCTCCAGGGCCGCCAGGGCTGTCTCAGTCTCCTTCAAGATCAGGTGGGTGTCCTGAGTGTGGAAGTCCATGCGCGAGGCTCGGGCTGTGGCCAGGTCCTGCAGGAGGGGGTGGCTGGAGATGTGTGGGAGCTTGCCAGGTGCTGAGGGGCCACTGTCCGGCTCCTTGGTGAAGCTTTCTTGTCGGACAAAGGCCAGGGCCTCCTTGGGTGGAACTGGGCCAGTGCTGTTGGGCTCTGCGGACCGCCCTGTGTGCAGCTGAATGATCACCCGCCCACTGGTGCTGACGTACATGCCATCCCCTGCTGGGGGGCTGGTCTGGGCCACCCTCCCTGAGCCTTCCACCTCCCCAGGAGCTACAAATGGTTTCCTGGGGAAGGTGCTCTCCCCGTTCTGGTCCCCAATGAAGAAAGAGGTGGGGGCTGGCTCCCCAGGGACCCTTGGAGAGCGCTGGCCTCTGGACCATGCTGGTCCCTCCTGAGGGCTCCTACGTCTCTCCCCCTGCTGCTCCATGCCAAGGTCAGGGCCCCGGCCCCCGTCTGACCCACTGGCATCACTGAGGCTGTCAGGGTCCAAGTCCTCTTGGCCCACGAGGTGGCTGGCCTGCTCACTGCCCAGCTCTGGTGGCCCTGGCCCACTTCTCCTGGCAGCCTCGGGGCCTGCAGGGCTGTCAGACCTGTCACTGGGTAGCTGAGGGAGCAGTCGCCGTGTACGCACAGGTAGTGTCCCCTCAGGCTCTCCAGTTCTGTGTCCAGGGCCATCCTCTGCAAATCACAAGACCAGTTCAGTTAGAGCTGTCACAGGCCTGCAGGCCCTGTATGCACACTGGCCCCCTACCCTCAAGCACAGGATGAGGCAAATGGTACCGTTGCCAGTGGCCTGAAGCTGCCCTGGCATGGCCCACACCCTCTACAACATCCCTGGGTCACATACCTGCCAGACCTGGGTCTGAGTAGCTGTCAGCCAGGCTGGCCCAGCGAGATACCCACTTCTGACCCCCAGGGGAGCCTGGAAGCAGGAGGCCCTGCAAAGAGAAGGGCAGGAGAGTGTGACATAAGCCCAGAATGGAGGCCAAGGACAAGCAGACACCCATCAATGTTTCCCACACCTATTGCATGCTCTTCCCCACGAAAGCAGCTAGGAGGTCCTCTTAGCCTCACCCGGGCCTTGTGACCCCAGTGGGACCACTGACCAGAAGGGACAAGCCTGGGTCACTGTCTCAGGGCTTAGCACCAGGTCAGTGACTACAGCTGTCCCCTGACTCTGGACTCCATTAGCCCTGCACAGGGCAGCATATGGTGCCCTACTCAACTTTGGGCCTTAATACCTGATCCCAAGTCCTCCATGCTGCAGTCCAGCACACCTACAAGGTGAGTAGGCCCCTTGGAGGAAAGGTCCAACCCAGCCTCATCAGGGACCTGCTGACCTCAAGCCCTGCACAGACAATGCCCTCTTCCTGCTCCAGCCCTTCTTAGAATGCCTGTCTGGGTTTGTACCTGGTGCTCCACCTGGGGGACTGTGCACTGAGGCCGGGAAGCAAACTCCTGTAGTAAGGCCATCCGCTGGGCCACGCCCCCATCACTAGACTCATCTCTATCTCCTCTGATGACTGGGCGAAAAGTGGCTGAGGACACTCTGGAGAGTTCAGGGGACTCAAATACCCCAAAAACCTGCCAGGAGGAAATAGCACTAAGGGTCAAAAGTGCCTGGTTATCCAGCAGGGTGCATCCAGCCCTGTCAAGGAAAGAGGCAGGGCCAGTGGACAACCCTATCTCTCCTGCCCAGCTAGACCAGATTCAGAAGCCAGAGCTGGGCTAAAGCAAGTCAACACCCACCCCCTAACATGACCACCATCCCTGGAGTCCCCTCCTGGCCCCAACCTCCCACACCTGTCCTGGCTGCCCACCGCACCTGGTCAATCATCTTTCGGGCCTCCTCCACCTCCCTGTCCTGCGCCTCTGTCTCGATGGTGTAGGTGCCTGCATCACTAAGGCTGTCATCCTCCTCCTGTCTGCGAGCCTTGGTCAGTTGGGGGTCAGCTGGAGTGGGTGGAGGGGTTGAGGGGGCCACAGGGCTGGTCCCACGGGGCGTCAGAGGGGCAGGCATCACTGAGGGTACCTTCTCAGGGCCAGGCCGGGAGGCCGGGGAGCTGTCACGCAGGCACTGGGCCATGAAGTCCTGAGCCAGGCGGGAGCGGCGCCCCACGCTGCCAAAGGGGCGGCCGGGGGTGCGGGTGGCAGGTGCAGTGCTTCCTAACCGCTCCTCTGTCTTCTCCCGTTTGAGCGAGCTGGCTCTCTGTGGTCCCAAGCTGCTGCCTGATGTGCGGGCCGGGGCACTGGGGCGCTCTCTGTCAGCAGCCCCAGGGCCACGACGCTTGTCAGCCTTGGGGTCCCCAGATGGGGTATGTGTGAAGGACTGAGAGCGCTTCTTACGGGGAGTGTCCTCGTCAAAGAACTCAATGACGAATGCCTGCTGGTTGTGCAGCAGCTCCTGGGGGTCCCGCTTGATCTGCCTCTGCAGCCGCACCTGCTCCCCACAGGCCTCTGTGGAGGTCCCTGCCATGGAGGCTGCCTTGGCCAAGGGGTCCTCTGAGTCGCTCTGTGTGCCATCCTCATGCTTGTGGCCTGGGAGGACCACAACTTATCGGGAACCGGCAATCAGTCGGGGAGTGGGGGTGGGGGTGTCTCACCACCCCATGCCCAAGGGGAAGTAGACACAGTTTCACGTGTGAAGGGGATATGATGCCCCCACCCCCACCCCAGGAGCCCAGCACATGCAGCTGAGCCACACAACAGAGACCCTGGACACTGCTCCCCTGACCAAGCAGGTGGTTCTTGAGCTATTCATTGAAAAATTTTAAAATCAGCCAAGCTGACAAGAGAATACTGAAGGGCTACTCACCCTTCAGGGTACGGGTGTGGACGGGCAGGTCGCTCTTGGTGCTGTGGCGATCATCCCCTGGGCCAGCCCGGTGCAGCAAGCTTGGGTCATTCTGCACCAGCCAATCGGCCACCTTGGTCTCAGCAGAGACCATATCCACAGGTGTGACCTCCTTGCCGGGGGGCCGGCGCTGGCGCAGGGAGAACTTGGTGATGTGATCCTTGATCTTCACCTTGCCAGGACTGCAGTCATCAAACTCAATGGTGAAGGAGGCATGGCTCTGTACCACTGGGGCAACCCCACCACTGTCCATCTCCTCATCCTTCGTGGGCACCTCTGGGGGCCGTGATGGCTGCGGGACCTCCTTCGTGGGGATCTCAAAGTAGCTGGGCTCACGCCGGAATGAGTAGCCCTGAGGCTCAACAGAGGTACGAAAGCCGTCCAGCTCGCCATCCTGTGGCAATGGCTCCTTGGGACGCTCTGGGGGAAAATGTCCTCAGACCAGGCCTCAGGACAGCCACCCTCTGCAACCCTCCTCCATTCCCCAGCACAGGCACTTTAAAGCCTGGCCATCCCTCACCAGCACCATCCAGGAGTGCTAAGGGCCTCATGGACTGGGCACCGAGACCAACCTTGGTAAGGCTCCTCCTGGCGCCGATCCTCGGGTGATGTAGCACTGTCATCTTCACCCCACCAGGAGGGCTGCCCATACAGGGGCGTGCGGTAAGCCACCGCTTCTGCGGTGGAGGAGGGTGTTCAGACCCTGAGTCGCTGTATTCCCCAACACAGAGCTCCAGAATTGACAGGGCTCTGGAGCAGGCCCTGGCGTCATCTCCCAGGACCCTGGCTAGCTGCTGACTGCCCTCAGCCCGTTTCTGCATCTACCTGGATTCTCATCTGCTCTGGCCCTGCCTGGGCCTCTCTCAGGGTGGCTGTGCTCATCCATCCCTGGGGACACAACCCCTCCATGGGGCAGGCAATCTCCTCAGCCTTGCCCTGATCCTCTGCCCCAGAGCTTGCTGACAGAAGGGTGAGGCAGCAGGAGCCCACACCCAGGTCAGGCCTCTTTCCAAGACTCTAAGAACAGCTCAGGGCACAAACAGGTGACCCTGGAGGCTAAGGACCATGTAGTCTGAGTGGCTAATGTGGATGACTTTAACGTTTGAATCACTGACCAAGAATTTACATTTCATGTGAATCTGGGTCTCCAGTTCCTATCTGGGGAGGAGTGCTGTCCAGTGCCCCAGAGCTCTGGTACCCAAACCTGGTCCCAGCCCCCCAAGCTCTTTCCACTCCTGCTGGGCCCTGTGGCCATCTGAATCACAGTTACTGGCTCCCAGCTGCTCACATGCCCAGGCAGCAAGAGGGTCCAGAGGCCAGGTCACCTGTCAGGCACAATATGTTCCCAGGAAATGGAGGATGTGTTTGCATGATGTGCCCCTCCCTAGGGGCATCATTCTTGAGCCAGTGCTGCGTCTAGGGACTACTGAGGCAGGTGGTGTCTGCCACTGGGCAATGCCCTCCCAACTGTAGGACCCAAGCCTGTTTGTGTCTCCCCATAAGCTGTGTCTGTTTTGTAGACTGAGGAGTGAGCTTTCCCAGTGGTCTGTACCTGCCATAAACTTGGGACATCTCCAAACCACCATCACTAGCTGTGTGCACTCACAGCATGGACACCAACAGGTATTCTGAGCTCAGATGACTTTTTGGAAATCTTCCCAGTCCCCAGCAGTCTTCCAAAAGATAAATATAGGCTGGATTCCAGAAGGTGAAAGATTTGCCACTCTGGGCACACATGCATCTCAGTCAGATGCTGACTGCTCTCAGCCACATGTGCGGCGGCAGGGGCTGACCATGGCAACACAGTAGATGTGGGGCCAAGGCTGGGGCAGCAGGGTGACCATTCTGACAAAGGCTGGAGTATGAGTCTGATTTCCCAGACATAGTCCCTTCCAGCCAGAACTCCTCTCCCCACACCTACACACCTAGCCAGAACTTCCCTACACCTCCCATTGCTGTGTCAGCCCCTTGTCCCGCCCAGACCCAAATGTCACTGCCTACCGTGGCAGCAGTCACCCAAAGGTACAGACCAAACCTCACTGCACAGCCACCACCAGCTCTGGTGGCCCTGTCATCTGCAAAATTTCCTAGATGCCTGGCATAAGGTGACTTAGCCATCCCATACCACCATGCCTGCCTTTGAACTGCTGGACAGCACAGGGGTGGCCAGTTGATGGGCCCTCAATTGCAGGAGGAGTGAGGGCTGAGGAAAGTGGGTATGTGCAGCGTGCGCAGACGCATGAACTTACGGGGAGCGGCCTGTGCTCTGGCTGCTGGCTGCTGTGAGCCCAGGAGGGCCAGCTGGGGAGAGAGGCCACACGAGAAGGGGAGCATGTGTATTTGAGGAATTGAAGCATAGTGAGAAAGGAGCACAGTGGGGGGAGGTAGGAGTGAATGTAGGCAGAGCCTGATCCTGTGTGTTCACCCCTGCCCAGTCCATCCCTGTCCCCACTACCCAGAGCCTACCTCCTCCAGGTTTTCGGTCCCCCTTCTCTGGCCTGGGGTGTGAGGACTCGCAGTAGGGTGTGTGCTCTGGCAGTGGCTCGCCTCTCTTGGGCACAGAGCCCTTGACGCTCACTTGCAGCTGGCTGGTGTACTTCTCATGCTGTGGGCAGGCCAGGAGTGGGGGACAGGGTGTCAGCCTCAGGACACCCCCACCCAGGGTAGGCCTTGCCTTTCCTCCATGCCCCCAAGAGTGGACAAAGCCTGAGACCTGCCCTGGGGAGCCCAGGTCTGTGCCCGGTAGGGGATCCTCAGACACAGCTTCCGGTGAGGTGAGGGGGATGGAGTAGGCAGAGAGCATCAGAGTGGTGGCCCTGGATGCTACCACCCCCAAGTCCCACCTGAGACAGGCCCCAGGGCATGGGGTCAGAAGCTCAGGAACCCTGAGGAGCAGAGCCACCTGCCTATGTGTGAAACAGAGTGGGGTCACATTGGCCCTGCTCCTCTGGCTGCAGGACCCCATATTGCCCAAGTTGACTTGGAAAATGGGACTAAAAAGCCCACCCCATTCAGGTCTTCTGGTGGATCTCTGAGCAGGGCCCTACACCTGTGCCCCATGACCCCACAAACAAATGAGAAATATAGGGATGTCTTGCCTGCTGTGCTCCACCCAGGACCCTCATGTTCCACCCGGGATTCTGGCCATGTGTGACACTAGCACACTCAAGGGCACAATTCCACATGGTCTCCACATGCTACTGCTGCCTCCTCATATCTTCCCTTGGTGGCATCATCAGGATCCTCTCTGTACTCAACCTGATGAGTGGGCCCAGGAGTCTTAGTGGTCTGGTTCTTCAACCTGCCCATCAATGGTGCACTCTGCTCAGAGTGAGCTTCTGCCTCCTGCCAGCGGGCTCTTGGGGTCCCTGTCTTCCAGCTAAGCCTGTCAACTATGTTCTGAGCCACCAGTAGGGCTCAAAAAAACCCTCTCAGCTCCACCAGGCTGGTCACTGGGCCCTTCACTGTCCCCTCCCCAACTGTCCCCACCATCTGTCACTGCACAAGCCTGAAGAATAATGGCTACTTCTCCACCTGCTAGACTGGGCCATCTGGCAGAGCAGGCCAGGAGGACTAGTTCATGGTCCACAGTCAGGATGGGGTGCCCAAGGGAGAGACAGTGGGAGAGGATGCAGGGCCATGGAACTGAGCCTTCCTGGCCAGGGATCTTGGGACACTAACCTTGAGCGCCTCCTCAGGAACACGGTGCTGCACACGCTCCAGCACGTACATGTTGGGATGTGGCTGCGTGTTAAGGAGAACACAAGCAGGAGGACCTGGACCTGTGTCTTGGAGCTCAGAGACCTGCACTGGAGTCCAGGCCCAGCAGTGAGTGAGCTGACTCAGTGCCTGTCGAAGCGGAAGACTCCTTTCCAGGGAGGCCCAGCCACATCCCACCATGTTCAGAGCACAGAATGTCCAGCCTGGGTGGCCTCAAGGTCAAGCCAGGACTCTGGGCTCCCCTGGAGCAAACAGTTGTTCCCCAGGCTCTGTGTGACCCCAGGCTGAGAAGGTGGGTAGATAGTAGGCCTCAACCAGCAGAGACAGGGAGCAGGGTTTGGGTGTTAGGTTCATCCTGGTGCTCTAACATCAATGGCTCCAGCTATGTTGGCTGAGCCCCCTAGTCTGCTTTGGGTTAATAGACTGACTATGACCTTGAGGTCTAAGGGAGGAGCAAAGGAGGGGAGTCCCTCAGGAAAAGATATCGTAACCGAAGCGGATGACATCATTGAGCTTCAGGGTGATGTACTTCTGGTCCGGGATGCGCACATCGTTGACAAACGTCTGTGGAAGAAAAGTGTGAGCTTCAGGCTTCAGACCCTTCCTGAGTTCTTGGCCAAGCTCAGAGTCCATAAGCAGACTTCTCTGCTAGCCCTGCAGAGCCTGGGTGTGGACCAGGCTGGTACCAGGGTCAGCAGCCCCAGGGGCCCTCTCTAGCTCACACAGAGAGCAGAGGGAAGCCTGCCCACCATGTAGCCTCTGAAGGTGGGGCTACTGCCTCTGATGGGTAGGCCTAGGGAGGAGAGGCCTAAAGGGAACTCCAGCATGGCCTGTGGCCCATGGCTGGGAGTGCCTTGTCAGGCCTCTGAGGTAGTGCCCAGGGTTTGCCTCTAGGCTCACACAGTAGAGGCAGGGCCCCCAGGGCTGGTGTAGGTAGGACCCTCATTCAGGAGTAAACAGATGGCTTGTTTTCTTATTTAAACAGCATCCCAGGATGCTCCATGACCACCAAATATAAAAAAAATGGAGATGTCCAGACAGACATCTCCAGGACAGACAGACATGTATGTACTTGGAAAGGGCCCTCTCCATCCTTCCATCCCACCTCCCAATCTTCCCAAGTGTGCAGTCAGAACCTTCCTCCTGGTTTCCTCCCTGCCAAGGTCACCCCTAACTCACAGAAGAGAAGGTTACACTGTCCCACACCCGGAGAGGGCACCCAGCACAGCTCCTTCCATCTTGGGGACCCTTTCCCAGCTCAGGGCCTCCCCTGCCCACCTGAGAGGTCCAATCTTCCCAGTAGAGGGAATTCCAGCCAGCAGGGCAGCTCTTCTGGCCTCTGAGGCTGAGGGAGGCTTCCTGCCCAACCGGGAGGCAGTGGGCAGGTCAGGGCCAGAGTTGGAGGCAGGGCCAGGACTTGGGGGTGGGGCCAGATGTGAGTTGGACAGCCAGAACAGAGGGGCAGAACCTACAGCACTCACCCCATTAAGACTGCCCAGGTCCTTCACCCAGTGCTCATCCCGGTCTTGGTCATAATTGATGACAGCATGCTGCTTGTCCACGCTGCGGGACTAGGGAGAGCACACAGACAGCCCTTGGTGCCCTATCCAGAGAAGTAAGGCCCGAGAGGCACAGCAAGCCCCTGCAGGCCCACCCCGGGTGGGATACCACTGTGATGCTCACACCCATCACAATACCCAATACTCAATGCCCTTGAGTCATGCACACACACAGAGTGCATGCAGCCCCTGGAGCAGGCCACAAGGATTCAGCAAGACACCAGGGCCACTCCTCCACCCCCACTGCCACCCAGGCCCTCCCTCCATGACCACCCTCCTCCGCATCCCACTCCCACTGCAGGCGTGGGAGGTGGTGGGAACCCTCTGATCATCTGGCACAGGCCGTTCCCTCCCAAGGGCAGGCGGGGGCAGCCAGTCAGGCTCCAGCAGAGCCCAGAAGGAAGAGAGGCAGTGCAGCTGACTCAGGAGGCCTCTCCATCTCCTGGTCCAGTCCCACAGGGGCACCACAGCCTCTCAACACGACCCCTCAGTACATCTCCTTTGGTGTTTGCTTGTCACTCAGTCCTGCCATCCAGCCCCCATGCCCTCCACCCTGGCAGGGCCTGGCCTGGGCACACAGACGCCTTAACATACACACTGTACTTTGACCCTGGGTCTCAGCTGCCCTGGCCACTAACCTACCCAGTATCTCTCTGAGGACAGCCACTCTAGATTCCTCACACAGGCCAACTTGACCATCCATCTGGAAGACCACAGCCAACGCCCCCGCCCTATTCCCTACCAGGACACAGGTAGGAACAGGGTCACATTACGTGCTACCAGCATGGGCCCATGTCACCCAGGTCAAAGGCCGAAGTCTCACCACAGACAACCATTGCTCACCTCCATCCCCCACACCACATATTACCTTGGACTATCAGGTCCTCCTGCTCCCTCCTCCTGCCTAAAGAGCTGCAGGCCTTGAGCCCAGCCCAAGGGAGGCTGGCAGAATCAGCCCACCCAGGGAAACCATGGCCGTTTTGGCCCAGATGACAGCATGTGACCCAGGCAGCCACCTGGGGAGTGGTCATGCAAGACACTGAGATCAGTCTCTGAGCACAGTGGTGAGGAGGACCCACACAGTCATCTCTTTCCCCTGGCTCAGGACAGCTCCTGGCCCAAGAAGGGTGGCCTAGGACCAGAGTATCAGTGGGGCTTCTCAACCTCACAAGTAAAAGCCCAGGCTCCTCAAGGACAATGAGCAGACCACCTCCCCACAGCCTGCCACCTCTTCCTCTCTAGTCTCCTCTCCCTGTCCTGCCCTGTCCCCAAGCAGTACATAAAGTTTGGAGGAGGCCTAGCACCCCTCCTAAGGACTAGAAGCCCCCAGAACAGGACCTCTTCCTTACTCAAAGACCAGGACCAGCAGGGGGTAGGTGAGGAAGACATATGCTGTCCCTGCCCCTCCCCCACCACTGATCATTTAGTTTGGCCAAGGCATCTCCTCCAGGCCCAGCAAGTACCCAGGATAGGACCTAGACACAGAACTACTGATGGACAGGCTCAAGGTGGCTGGTGGGGTTGACCTTAACCTCTGTGCCCTAACAGTGTTTAAAATCTGAGGAGTGAGCACTCAGAAGCCCTGAGGTGGCTGGCTTGCCCATGATGATGGTGCTGAAGAAGGGTCCTGGGGGCCAGAGAGAGCAGTGCAATAAGGGAGAGCTGGGGGAGGGGGTGGGACCCACACTTCATTCTTCCTGGATCTTTGGTCCTTCCAGGAAGTGGGCATGGTACAGGGGTGATGTAATGAGGAGAGCAGGGTCCTGGTGCAGCCGTCCTTGAGCCACCTCCACCATGCAACCTACACCACTCCTGGGGAGTGGCTTGGTCTGCTCAAGGTCTCCCTGGGAGCCCCAGAACTGGTCCCATGTCAACTCACCTGCCCCCAAAGAGGCAGGTCTCTGGCAGGACAGGTAGTGGACCTTGAAATCTATAGCCCTGTTCCAAGGCCCCACTTCTATCTTTGTTCTAATTCCTTATCGAAAGTTGACATCCAAGGGGCTGGGGGCATCGCTCCAGTGTACAACATGAGTACAATATGCTTGCCTAGCAAGCGTGAGACCCTAAATTCAAACCCTAGTATCACCCCCTAAAACAAACCCAAAGTTGATAACCACAGCTAACAGCGACTTCCCTCTCTGGCTCTGAAGGGCATAGGCCAGACACCATCTCTACCAGACTCCTAGTCTTTCTCCGTAGCCTCAGGTGCAGATCCCACCTCCAGCACTTTCCTCCTCCAACTGGCTCTGGCCCCTGGCACAGGGCTGGGAGGTGCTCACTGGGGGACACCGGCACTCCCTCCTCTAGGTCTCAGTCTCTTGGGTGGGAGGGGAGTGTGGAAGGAGCACCCCCAGGACCCAGCTATAGGGTAGGGAAAATCTATAGCGCTCTGTGCGGGGGCTGAGGGGGGGCAGTACCTGGATGCTCAGCCCTGTCAGACACTCAGGCTCATGGGATAGAAGGGACCCTCTGACTCAGGGAAAGCAAACTCTGGGACCCACAGCTGGACCCTGGCTTTCCCTGACAGGCATCAGACTTCTGGGGCTGAGAGAGGGTGGGCACAGGCCGCTGTGATCTCTTGCTCTCATCTGGTGGGTGTCCAGTAAGGTCCCAAGCTCTAACAGACAGCCTGGATGCCATCTTTGCCAAGGAGGAGTTTTTGACTGACCTTTCTGGGCTGGATTACTCCCTCACCCCAAGCCTCAGAGCTCCAGGGCCTGACATTCATCTGACTCATCCTGAACACCTTCCAATCCCTTGTGGTCCAGCGTGCTCCACCCTCCAAGGTCCTCTCAGAAACACCCGCCCAACACACCCCTGGGCTTCTACACCACTGGCCTTTGTCATCAGTGGTCTTCAATCTGCATCCTCACCATGGCCACTCCCTGTCCCCTCAGCCTCACCTGGTCCTGCCACCACTCTGATCCTGTCACATTCCTTGAAAACTTCCTGGGGCTCTTCTGGCCAGCAGAGAAAGTCAGACTTGCCCAGGAGCAAAGCAGGACTTGTCGGGGAGTCTGAGGCCCTGAAGGCTTCTTCCAACCTCCCTCACCCTCCAGGTCAGACTGGTCTGGCTCTGACCATACCATGCTAGAGACTGTCCAAACTCTGTCCACATCCTCACCTGGCCCTGGGTCTCAGCCCACACAACACCCTGTACTCAGGAACACCACTCTCCATGTGCCCATCTTCTCCCTTCTAGCAAGATGCTCCCACCTTGCTCCTGCTTCCAAGTCCTTTGGCTCCACACAGAGTCTGCACCAGCCCCTACCTACACCTGGGCCTGGGACACCTGCCCATTCCCAGGGCCATCCTCCACCATGGCTGGCCAGAGCCAGCGCTTTGTCCCCAGACACACTCCTGCCAAGCCCCTCCTAGGTAGCAGGGATGTCAGGGACTAAGACCCCCTTCCAGAAACCTCCCTCCAACCCAACACCTCAGGCCAGAGGCAGACCCCAACCACCCAAGTCCATGTACAAGCTGGGGGCTACCCAACCTACCCACGAAAGACGGCCCCCGGATGACCCAAGGCCTGTGGAAAGGTGCATGGTGGCGCACACAGATGTGTGGCATGGCTGGGGGAAGCTCCAGACACGTGGACTGAGGGAAATGTCTAGTAATCTGTACTCATTTGAAATGGGAGAAAAATGCATTTTCCGAAGTTCATGTGTGACACCTTCCATGGGGGACAGCCCTGTCCTGGCTGTGCTGGCCCTGGCAGTGGCCACATCAGGGAGGTATACCCTCCTGCCAGCTCATCCTTGTTGTCACCACCAGTAGGGCTGCAGGCACCCAAAGCAAGCTGGCTGGACTTGCTGTGTGTGCAGTGGCTCTGAGGCTGTTCTGGCTGTGGGAGTCCAGACCCTGGCTGTCACACATGCCCATAGACAGCCAAAGGGTAGACAGGGTAGAGGCAGAATGGACAATTCCCCACAAACTGGCAGCAGATACATGCACACATGTCCATACATGTGTGCATTGTACACACGCAGTTGCATGTGTGCACAAATAGGCACATGCACAACGCATAGGTACATATGTATGCATGCACTCACGTATGTACATGTTCTCATGTTTGCATCATGTAGTATGTCCTTGCTGGACATGGGCTCTGTGCCAGGCCTGCCCTGGGAACAGACACTATGCTAAGCAAACAGCAGGCTCTGGAGAATGTAGCCCATAGGTAGGTAGCCCATAGTTACAGCTAGCAACTCTGTCCTAAGAACCCAACTCCTCCAGTTCCTGTGCCTCACCTGGTCCAAGCCATGGGCCCTCCTGTCAAGCTATTGCCCTGCTCAGGGTGCCCTGTCTGCCTCTGCCTTGTGCCCCCACAGGGCTTTGTCCTCTCACAGCCTCCCCCTTGTCAATGGTCCCTCCTCTTTCTTGAAAACAGGCCCCTCCTACCTGGCCCTTCAGGGCCCCAAGCCAATTCCTGCTACTCACTTGCCAGCTCCTGCTGCTCTCACTCACTCAGCCCTGCCCCCCCCCCCAACTCAACTCCACTCTTTTTTACATTTCTCCTCACATGGGGGGTGAGGTAGGGCATCTTGTTGCTGGGTGGTATATTTGTGGTGGGCTTTTGCCTGGAGTGGGGACCATGGAAGCATGTGCAAGGCACACAGCAGGTGATTAATGAGTGGACAGATGTGGGGATGATCCTCAGGATGCCCAGAGGGGAGGCTTGGAACACTCCAGAGCTGAGGTGAATGGAAGGAGCCACCTGGTAGTGGGGGTGAGGCTGCTGTGATAGAGAGTGGTAATGGACAGAAAGGTGGAACCAGATCCTGGAGAACCAGGGTGGATCTGGGAGGGTGGGGTCTGGAGGAGGCCTGGCCAGCTGGGGCTCAACTCCGTGCATGGGGTGAGTACCTGGACAGTACTCAGGGACACTTGAGGTGTGAGATGACGGATCAGGAAGGGGGTGGTTGGTGGGGTTCCAGACAGAGATGCAGTGGAAGGGACAGAAGGTGACAACAGCCTTTGAGAGGCCCCAATGCAGCCATGGAGTAGGAGGCCAGGGCTGGGGACAAGGGGTGCAAAATGGCACATAAATCATCTGGCCACCAAGCAGAAGCTGAAAGGGACCAGGAATGGAGGTCCCAGGAAGAAGCCACAGGGAAGGTATGGACATAACATGTGCAAAGGTCCTGAGGGCCTACACAGGGTGGCATCAAGGGAGGGCACCAAGAAGCCTAGAGCCAGCTGGGAGGAAGCGAGGAAGGTATACAGTGCAGGCTGTTGGTGTGAAGGTGAGGAGCTTCCTAGCAGGAACAGCTCCACAAGGAGGGAAGAGAAGGAGGCCACATGAGGGCACAAGCTGAGAGGGTGAGAAGAAGGGGTATCTTGAGCAAGGGCCAGCAGGGCAAAGGGTGAGGGCAGTAGTGGGAGGTTGGCTGCAGGGGTGCTGGGAGGAGGACGACCTTCAGCACTTACTCTGCACCTGCATGACCTCCCCAAATGTCAGCTTCCCAGTGCAAGATGGAAATACTCTTACACGACCACATCTCCCAGGAGAAGAAACACAGGCGTACCCAGGCCTGGGACTGCCTGGCAAGGAGACCAGAGCTGTTGTTGTTCCTGTCCAGCTCAGGGCTCTACCAACCAACAGGCCCAGAAAATAAGAATCAGACCCTAACCCCCTCTGGGTACTCTGATCCCCCAGAGTGGGAAGTGGGGACAGTTGGTAGGTGCGGTAGAGCCAGAGCCAGGGTGGGAGGAGCACCTATGCTGGGTCCCCAGCACTACAGGTGTACTTCAGTTACTCCCAAAGTGCCACCTCCATCCAAGAGGCCCTCCTGGTCATTGGAGAAAACAGCATAGCAATTACCAACACCAAGTCTGCATGTGAACCATGCCACACCATGGGAAGCAACCAGCCAGACTGGCTGTTGCTGGCTAGGGGACACACCCAGCAGCCCCTGCCTGTCTCACAGTCTTTATGTTTTTTTTATTGTCATACTAGGGTTTGAACTCAGAGCTTTGTACCTGCTAGATAAGTGCTCTACCACTTGAGTCACAGCCCCAGCCCTCAGTCTTTATGCTTTCAAATAATTAAAAATAACATAAAGATTGCCTTGTGATATGTGAAAATGACAGGAAATTGCTATCTCAATGTCTGTGGATAAGTGTCAATGAGCACCAGCCTCGTGTATCCTTGCACATTCTCTGTGCTGCTCTCACACCACAATGGTGGATGTGGAAGCAGTGTATCCCATAAAGCCCTTTACAGCACACACTTGCAATTCTGTTCCACCCACCAGAGGAAGAAGAGGGCAGTGCTCTTTACAGGAACCTGAGCCTGAACGCCCCACAACTGGAGGAGTGACTGGGTTTTATTTAGTCCAGCACATCAGAGGACATTGGGAGAAGCCAGGATGTCCAGCCTTAGTCCATCTTACATTGTGACAAAATACCTTAGACTGGAAAATTTGTAAGCAACAGAAACTTACTGCTCAAAGTGCTGAGAGCTGGTAGGCCAAGATCAAGGTGCCAAAGACAGAGGGCTCTGTTTCAGCTTGAAGGATGGCACCTTCTAGCTGTGCCCTCACTTGTTGAAATGGGCAAACTAGCTCCCTCGGGCCTCTCTGTAAGGCCTAGTTCCATTGATGAGACCCCTTTGGGTGGTCCAACTTCTTAATGCTATCCCACTGGGAGTCAAGTCCAACATATGAAATTCAAGGGGACATAAACACTTGGACAACAGCACAGACATAGGCAGAGTATTACTGGGATAAGGTTTGCATTGTACAGAGGTGCGTAAACATTTGCTGCTTCATGACCATGCGTGGGACCTGCACCCTCACCCCAGCCCTAGCCTAGCCCACCTCACCAGAGCCTCATACATCCTGAGAGTGTGCAGTGATAGGCAGGACTACATATGACAGCAAGGTCTGTGTGAGACAATGATCAATCTAGGACACTCCTAGGAAAATGGGCAGTCCCCTGTATCTGAGCAGTTCTCTCAGCTGGGACAGGCAGAGCTGCCAACCAGGATGTTCTTTTCCTTTGAGAGTTCCAAGAGGAGGCATGAAACTCAGGGGGCTTGAGGCCATGCTGAGGGTGGAGGCAGGTCAGGGCTGCCTGACTCATACATATCCATAGGAAAAGGACACTCTAGGCCAGGACAGATCCCACAGGGTCTGTATCTATCCCCCATCTTTTGTTCCCAAACAGCCAGATATGTTAGTACCAAACTTAGACTCCAAACCCAGGGTAGCCAGAGAGAAATTTCTGACTGCTGAGCACCCAGCCCCACCAGCATCTCTAGTTCAGTGAAGTGACCCTTCCTGCCAGGGCTCTGTCAAAAGGTCACTAGCCTTCATCTGGACATTTCCAGGAACAAGACAACCAGAACTACCCTCGGCAGCTCTGATGGCCAGCCAAGGACATAAATGATCCACTTTCCAGCACCTTCCATGGTAGACCCTCAGTCCCTGCTGCATAAGGACATCTTCTCACCCCTCCTGGGTCCCAGTGCCCTTGAGAATCCATCAGGAGCCTAAGCACTCTTGAGTCAGAAATAGGTCTGATATGCAAGGGCAGGAGCCCATGCCCAGGAGAGCACACTCGTGCCATGCATATGCCCATAGTAGAATCCAGGGTTCAAGAAGGGAAGCCTGGGCCACACTGAGGTCTCCTCACCAGGGTACCCTGCATCAAGGGGGAGGGCGAATTCCTTGCCCTGAACTCCCTCCCCAACCCCTCAAACACACACCCTGCTCACCTGCAACATGAGCTCACACTCATCACGCCCCACAAAGATGAGCTCTCGTGGTAGCCTATGGCGGGTGCCACTGCTGCTCACCAGGAACCAGGAAGTGACGCTCATCTTGGCACTGGTGAGGTCTGACTGGCCCTGGAAAGGGATGGTCATCATTGTAGAGCTCCCTGGCCTCAGTTCCCTGGATATGCTGAAGGTCACACAGGCCTGTCCCTCTGAGGCTCAAGCTGGCTGCTTCCAGAAACACTGGATTTGTCAGGATGGCTGAGTGGTCTAAGGCACTAGACTCAAGCTTCCACTTCCCATAAAAACTGGGCTCCAGCCACTCTAGGTTAACTAGTGGGACTGGGTTGAGTCCCACTGCCAGACCTTTGTCCTGCATGACCAGCCCTCCCCACCACACCCACCTGTGGAAACCCACTCCCAGCCAAGGTCTCAAGACCTCCCCTTCCATCCCCCAGGTCCCACCACACATATTCCTTCTCTCTTAGGTGACAGGATTCATAAGACACTGGTCACACTGTGTGAACTCACATGTCCACATGACCCACACCTCATGGGTGGCACCCAGAATGGCCTATCAGGGTCCAGAGGACACACCCTGACCAGGGGGTCACTCTGGGAGTGCTGGGACAAGGAGGAAATCCTTGGAGCCCAGGACTGGCTCCAATCACAGCTGGGCTGAGGGCAAAATGAAAAATGCAAGGCCTTGTTAAAAAATTACAAATGTAGCCTCAAGAACAGGGCATGAGTACAAGTATGGGGTGTGTGCTGGTGTGCAGGTCTCACACCCAAGAGGACAGTCTGTGCCTGAGTCCGTAAGTGGCATCATGATCCAACTTACTGTGTTGAGAACAGCTGAGTGGGCTGGGGGTCAGTGGTAAAGCACTTGCTTTAGTGTACGTGAGGCCCTGGGTCGCATCCCCAGCACCATGTGCACACAAGTCTCACAAGCTAGGGTGAGAAGGACTACCAGCAACCAGAAGACTAATCAAGAGGTGAGGATAGAAGACAGGAGAGGTTACGCCCCAGGGGGAGTAGAGAACATGAGGATACAAACAGCACACACTAGTTAGAACTTGGACATGAGGGAGAGATGAAAAAGAGTGGGGAAGGACTCCCAGGTCCTGGACAGAGCTGGATAGTTGGGAGCCATTGCTGAGGTGGGAACAGTCACACAAAGTCACACACACATACCACCTTCCAGGAGGCACACACACACAGTCCCTATACACAAGGTCACACTCGTCACCCTCAGCCCTCAGGAAGCAGGCCCTGTCCTGCAATGTCTTCTGCTCAGTTGAGGGCTCTTCACCCAGGCCTCAGCTGCCTTTCAGGTGGGCAGTGAGCAAGACCAACATGTGAGAGTGCCCATCTGTGAATGCATCCCACGGTGCACTATCTCCTTGGCCAAGCAGGGGCAAAATGTAGAAAAATATGCACTAGGAAAAGACATCTCCAGGTGGCCAGAAGTCCCTTCACTCTGAGGCCCCTGCCCTTCCTTAGGTTCAGGCTCCAGAGAGGAAGATAATGGAGGCCAAGGAGGTGAGACCACAATGCCTCTGCAGGCCCAGAAATGACCAGAGACCCCAGGGGCCTCCACAACCCTACATCCCAGAAAGCCCCAATCCTGCTGGAGAATGACAGTGCTCTCCAGAGAACCCTCACTCTGTCACTGCGCCTCCCAGCCCCCAGCCAACCTCATGTCTCACACTCTGCTATCACCTGCTGCCAGCTCCCTGTGACCAGCAGGCCTGGGGACTCTCCCCAGAGGAGGACACAGCCTCTGCTTACAGCGAATGGGGGCCGAGCCCCAGAGCCTGGTCATGGGGCTGTGCCAGAGCCAAGCCACACGCTGCTACAGCTAACCGATCCTGAAAAGGCCTGGGAGCCACCGCTGCTCTCCAACAGCCTGCGGCCGGTTCGGGGCTGGACTGGCTTGGCCATGTTGCTAGGAGGGAGAATAATAAACACCTCAAACTTGTCCCCTCGGCTGCCCCAGCCAGAAGGGCCACCGCCCGGAGGTGAGGAAGGGAGGAGGTGGAGATGCGGAGGGGTAGAGGGCGACGGGGAGGCAGGCGGCTGAAAGAAGCAGACTGAAGGAGGCCAGGGACAGGCAGAGAGGAGGCAGGGACAGCGGGGAGACGGCGGCGGCGAAGGGAAATGAGGAGAGAGAGGAGGAAGACAGAGGGAGGGACCGCGGTGGTGGTGGGGGTGACCGGGCAGAAGGGAGGAGGCCGGGAGGCGGGCAGGCGGGCGCGCCAGGCCCGGAGGGGGAGGGAGCGACGTTGTCTCCTGAATCAGCGCTGGCCGGGGGCGGCCATGGCCGTGCCCGGGCGGGGACCCGGCGCCCAGGTCTACCCCACTCCGCAGGCCGCGTAGACACACACACCGGGCCTGGCCGCATCGAGCACTGGGCAGCCCCTCCCGATCTGGCGCAGACCTGGGCAGCCTCCGCGGCAGCGGGGACCAGCCTGGCCAGGTGCACCGGGCGGCACTCACCCCGCGCCTTTGTGCGGGCCTAGCCCGTCCCCGCTCCCCTGTGCCCCCTCCCTGCTCCCGGTGCCGCTCGAAGACGCACAGGTGCTGCCGATGGGAGGCCCCAGCCACGGCAAGCACGGGGCCGATGCGTCCTACCTGCGGCTCCGGCTAGGCCCCCGACTCGTCCTCCCGGTCCCGGTTTGGTCCGGCTCGGCCCGACCCAGCCCTTCTGCCCGCCCGGCCGAGCGCTGGGCGGGGCCGCCGCCTAGGACATGCCCGGCGCGGCCCGCACGCTGGCGGCAGCCCCGGCCGAGCCCACTGGCAGAGCCGCGGCCGCCGGCCTCGCTCGGCGGGTCCCTTGACGTCTGCCGGCGGCCCGCCCCACCCCGGAACGCCCCGCCCCCGGCCCGCCCCTCCCCGGGTCCGCCCCGCCCCGCCCCGCCCCCCCGCCGGAAACCAGGTTAAGGCGGGCGGGCAGCCACCAGGTGAGCGCGCCCTCATCGGCCCCGCCCCAAGAGGCTCGCGGCCCCGCCCCTGCCCACCCTTCCCCGCTGCCCCCAGCCCCGCCTCCCTGCCCACCTCCCCCAGCTGCCCGCGATCGCTGGCCTCAGCGCTCATTGCGCATCCCCGACCCTCTCCTCTCTGGCCTCGGCCCCACCCCCTATCTGAGCTGCGGAACCGGCCCCTGTGAAGCTGGCGGAACCGGGCGCGCACAGCAGCCCTGAGTCCTGGCCATTGGCCGGCGGGTTAACGCTTAACCACGTTCCCGGAGCCCGGGGCTCCAGCCGCGCCCCAACCCCCAACCTTTGGCCCAAACGACCCAAGCGAAGGGTGGAGGGTGAAGATGGTAGGGTGAATCCCAGAGGACTGGCCCACCCCACCCGAACTCTTCCTATAGAGCCCTCCGCGCCTGCGGGATAGGCCCGTGCGTTCAACCGCCCCACCCGTATCCCCATCTCTCCAGGCGAAACTGGGGGCGTCGGTGATGGGCATCGACGCCGCCTACCTGGACACCCTACTGCGAGCCAGACCTTCTGAGGGGAGGGGTGGAGCTGGGAACTCGGGGGCGCTCCAGGTTCCTGGGGTAAGTTCTCACGGGCTGCTCTCACCGTACCAGGTGCTTCAATAGAGTATCCAGTGTCCCAAGAGCCGAAAGGGGGAAGGGATGAGCGCCAAGGGCGGGGCAGCTTTGGAAGCGTAGCAGAGGGATCGTCCTGAGGGCATTCTTACATTCCAGGTTGGGGGGCGGGGGAGGACGGCGGGGGCATAGGCTTGGACGTGAGCAGCGGAAGTGCAGGACAGGTGGGGGTATCAGGCCAGGGAGTGTGGGTTTTATCCTGAGGGCAGTGGAGCGGTCTGACCTGGACTGGCTGCGACAGTGTCCGCCCGCAGCCCGGCCTGGGTTACTCTACAGCCAGCGGTCACAGTGGGCCTGACCCCAAGCTGGGGACCCACCCGGAGGGTAGAGAGGAGCAGGCCTCTGGAGACTGCGCCAAAAAAGTGTACCAGGCTGTGGTCTCCCAGCGGGCTCATAGGAAAGACCCGCATGGGGGAGCCCGGATTGCAAGAGACAAGGGCTCTTATACTCTGTGATCAGGCATTTGGACTCCATCCCATGGACAAGGTGGCGCCAAAGGTTTGTGCTGGCTGAGACCTGCTCAGATGAAAAGATTTTGGAGAGCTCTCTGGGTGTGGGGTGGGAGAATTTGGAGGGGGGAGGCCAGGTGTCCTACCAGAGGTCTGGGGCTGACAAGGATGGAAAAAGAGGAGAAGGGAGGGTAGATTAGAGGTAGGGGCATAGGAGGAGGGGAAGGTAGACTTTTCAAGAACTAGGAAGAAGTAGTCTGGGTCCTCTCAAATGGACCCATGTTCCCACTCCAGCTGCCCCTGCTGGAATGCTTCAGTTGGCCCCACATCCACCTTATTGGTTTCTCTGTGAGCTTAGGGAATTTCCTAGACTTCTTCCCTGATGTCTCAGGCCCTCCTGTTCCTGAAGCCTTCTGTCCTCTCCGACCTGTCTTGCTCTGACGCCCCAGCAACATCATCTCTCTTTATTTTACCCACCCTTTCTCCGTTGGTAAATGGCTGTTTATAAAAGTCATTTTTTCTGTTTGTGTCTTCTTTCTGCCAGGATCCTGACTTCCTCCAAGGTAAAGGACAGTGGGGAAAAAAAGGATGGTGCCACAGGTTCTGCTTGGACACCCCCCCCCCAGCCAGCTGTGCAAGTGTCAGTGGACTGGGATACCCAGGCCAGGAGAGTAGGTGTAAAGGTGTGAAGTGCTAGCTAGGGAGGGGCAGAGAGACCTGAGCGCATTGAGGTAACCTGGCCTGTGGTAGCATTTGGAAGCTGAGGACAGAGTAAGGGAGTAGTTTTAGTCCTTGTCAAGTAGAGGCGATACTTAGAGCCATCAGTTGGGAGTAGAGGCCCCCTTGGTTCAAGCTAGGATTCCTCAGAGGAAACCAGGAAAGGAAAACCAAGGAAGGGTGAAGTCCAGCTCCCCCAGATTGATCCATACACTGAACGAAACCCCAGTAAAATTAGCTTCAGGATAGCTCTATAAGTACACAGACAACTCTGAATTCCATGAGGAAATAAAGGCACAAGAGTGAATAGTCAGTCTTGAAAA